AGAAAGAAAGAAAGAAAGAAAGAAAGAAAGAAAGAAAGAAAGAAAGAAAGAAAGAAAGAAAGAAAGAAAGAAAGAAAGAAAGAAAGAAAGAAAGAAAGAAAGAAAGAAAGAAAGAAAGATAGAAAGAAAGATAGAAAGAAAGAAAGAAAAAACAGCATTGCTGCTGAATTAAACATACTTACAATTTTGACGTTCTGCACCTTTGTAATGCAAAAAGTGAAATTACTCAAATTTCACACAAGAATACCTTAGGGTTCCACCAATCGATCGACAAATCTTTTTTTCAGCATCCGGTAAGATATTTTCTAGCAGTAAGGCTTACCCGTTAGTGTGGTGTGTGTCCTCCTCTTGCGTGGATCTGTGACTGACATCTCCTGGGCATGGATACGATCAGATGTCCGATGTGGGCATGTAGGATGGCTGCCCACTCTTCCCGGAGTGCTTGGAACAGATGTCGACCATTGGCTGGAGCAACGTCTTGTCGACAAACAAGTCTTTGCAGCTTATCTTACATGTGCTCAGTCGGACTTGTGTCTGCAGACCATGATGGCTATGGAAGGGTTTGAATGTTTTTGGCAGCCAGGAACAGCGTGGTCAACCGTGCAGAATGGGGTCTGCCGTTGTCCTGTTGAAAAAGATATCTGTAAGCATCCCAAAATGGAAGGACATGTAGTCGAAGCATTTCATCGAAGTATCGTTGCGCGTTCAAGCTTTTTCTGTTGTAACTGATCCTTTCCCACACCATTACACCTCTACCACAGTGCAGCAGAGCTTCGTCAACATAATTTTGAGCTAAATTTTAACTTCGCCTGCGGTAGACCATACGCCGTCTATCATTAGGCTGCAACAAAAAGAAGAATTCGTCACTGAACCAGACACATCTCCACTGATTGTCACTTGCCCAGGGACGATGTTGGTTGGCCCAAACAAGTCGATTGTGGAGATAGCGAAGCTTGAGGACAGGTCCTCGGTGTGGTCGTTGTACCCGAAATCTAGCGACATGCAGTCTGTTCCGAACAGTTTGATCAGACACATGACGTCCTGGAGGAAATGTCTGCGCAGTTGAGGAGGATTTTGTAAACCTGCCTCTGAGGTGACAAATCCGAATAAAGCGATTCTCCGTTGCTGTTGTTACTCGGGTCGTCCACTGGAATGTCGGTCTTCAACTGAACCAGTGGCTTGGAACCTATGACAAAGTCGACTTATGGTATTCTGATGCATGTTTAGATGCCTGACAACCTGAATTTGACTTTCTCCTGTCTGCAATCGGCCAGTAGCAATATCCCTTGAATGTATCGATAGAGGCGCCATTCGTGACTGCTTGACAATGAACTGAATGTTTTGGTGTAGCTTTACCCTTTTACAGAGTTTTAATTGCGTAAGCAGTGAATAGTGTTCACCCAAAACTGTGTTGCTTTCTCGTGCGCGCATTATGAGCTATGCTCACAAATATGGTCTTAAACACAATTGACCACTGCGTTGTAACGATTACAAAAACCCACGCAATTCACACCCACATGTCCACTGGACACGGTAAACAACATTTGAGTGCTTTTCACATACCAGGGTACGATATTTTATTTACAAACTAATAAAAACGCACAGTCAGATAACTATGCGTTTATTTTTATTCTTATTTATTATTGTCTTTAATATCATTCCATAAACTATTTCTATGTACACTATCATATTACTATTTAAAATTCACAACAAACATGTACATCTCTTCTGTATTCTCGATTTTGGTGTTCTAATTGCCATAAAATAAATATCTGATCTATTATTGACTGTTCTGTCGGAAATCCGATTGGGTCATCTTAGTCGATATAATTTTCAGTGATTTTGCAAACACATTCTTTATTATTTCTGTCAATAAGAATTAAACGACAGCATATTTCCACTATCAGTATATTTAAAACTCGTAAATATTTCAAAGTTGTCTGAGTTTAACTGATCCTATTTAAATGGTAGGCCTCAAAGCATTATATAGTTTAGGGCCTCATCAAGTCTAGAATCATATCTTTTTTTAAAATGCCTTATATTATAAATAATGCGAAATTATTAAATGAAGAGCGAGAAGGAATAGCGAGATATCATCATCATCAGGTGCCTTGCCGATTGGCATGGGTGATCATGCGAGCCGACACACCTCCATGCCATGCAACAAGACTGTCAAGCATCTTCTCTCGTTGTCTTCCTCTTTCTCTCCTTTCACATATCTTTCCAGTGGTCACAACATGTTCTATTTTCCCTCTTCTCATAACATGGCCGAAAAATTATGACTGTCTCTTTCTGATGTCTGTGATAAGTTGTCTTCCATGTGCCCAGATACTTAAATTTATGTACCTGTCCTAAAATAACACCATCAACTTTTATTACACACTTAGGAATAATTCGTTTCTTTGATACCACCATTACTTCTGTCTTCCCATTATTCAAACTGAGGCCCATTCTTTCAATTTCTAACACCACAATGTCTATCATTTCCTGATTATATATCTCGCGGAAGGCAAGGGGAAACCACCGCTGTACTGCTATGAAGCCTCAGAGATGTGGTTTTACAGAAGAATGCTTAGAATACCTTGGACAGCCAAAAAGAGCAACCAAGAGGTTTTGAAAAAGTCGGGAGCCCGAAGACAACTTATCACAGATATCAGAAAGAGACATTCATCATTTTTCCGCCATGTAAGGAGAAGAGGAAAATAGAACATGTTGTGACCACTACAAATATCTGTGGAAGGAGGGATAGAGGAAGACAACGAGAGAAGATTCTTGGCAGTCTTGTTGCATGTCATGGATGTGTGTCGGCACACGAACTGATGCAGAAGATCGCAGATTGTGGAGAGGCATGATCGCCCACGCCAGTCGGCAAGGCACCTGATGATGATGACGATAATCAGTTTAAATTACTACCAATAACCTGCACCATGAGGAAAAAGAAAATGCAATGGTTGGGGCATCAAGCGAAACGTCATACTTAGAGCCAGGAAAGGTCTAACAGCACTCAATGTGCTAGCAGGAGCTGATATTGAACAACGCCTACTTTTCCTTTTCTGTCAAGGACTTGTATTAAGCGTCATTGACTATGGTCTTAGCCTCCTCACTGTCAGCAAAACCCAGCTAGAAAGACTGGACTGAGTCCAAAATGAGGCCATGAGACTCATACTTGGCTGCACAAAAGACACCTCCTGCAACGCCATGCGTTATGTCCTGGGTTTGCCGACGATGACTAGCAGATACAAAGTCTCACAGGTCAAGGTGTTCATGAGGGTATCGGTAGAGTTTAACCACCCACTGCACGAAGCTATACACGAAACAAAAGGAAAGCGTCTCAAAAGAGGCCGCTCTTGGATGGCAAAGGCTGAGGATTTAATCCAGCAGGTATGTGACCTAGACGTGATCAGTCACGGAAAAGAATGGAAGAATACACCAGTAGACATGCATGGCATCTATAAGGTGGTCATCACATTCTAAATGTACAACAGGGATCAAATTCCTGCGGCCGTAGACCAGAAGTAAGGGAACTAATAGATCAGCATTCAGACCCAGAAGATATCATTATCTACACAGAAGGATCCGTGAAGCGCGAAACAAGGTCAGCATGAGCATACACAGCGCAAAGAAGGGGGAAAACAATACAGGAGGACAGCGGCGCTTACCAGACAACCACGTCAAGCATGACCATGGAAATAGCCGCTGCTTCTAGAGCTTTAGCATGGGTATCCGAGCAAACCGCCACACAGGCAGTAATTTTATCAGACTCCATGAATATTCTTTAGAAGATAGGAACAGGCGGTATGTGCTCTGAATGGGTAGAACGCACTAGAAAATCGCACTTAACCTGCCTCACCTGGATCTACACATCGGGTTATGCGGGCTTAAAGGGAAATGAGCGAGCGGACCAACTGGCAAGCAATTCACTAAGGATTGCGGGAAAAAGCACGGACAGAGCAGATATCGTCAACGCTGTACGAACTGGGCTAGTGGGTAAGAGGAATCCCTGTTACTAACATGATTGCGTAACATGGGAGTAAAGCACGGTGAAACACTTCTATGGGGTCTTCGAGACCAAGATAGGAGACAATCTAACCAGCTTCTCATGGGAACAATTAGTAGAAGTACGTTGGAGTGGCTGCTGCATCAGAGGACTGAGCAAGCATGGGAATGCCCAATGTAACGTCGATTGTGATAACAACACATAACATAACATCTAGCGAAAATGGCAAGAAACAGAGGGACCAAAAAAAAAAAAAAACCTGCAGATCTAAAAGAGTTCTTCTTCTTCTTCTTCTTCTCTTCTTCTTCTTCTTCTTCTTCTTCTTCTTCTTCTTCTTCTTCTTCTTCTTCTTGGTTTTCACCATCTGTAAACTTCAGTGGAAATTTCTAGTTGTTCATCTACTTCTGGACTTTAGTCTTGTTCCACCCAGAACATTAGTTTTGCGTGCATATCAGATTTACAGATTTGGCTTATTGGTATGCAAACTGTAAGTTCTCTCCTCTCGAGTAAATGCACTCAGACTTCGAAGAAACATCCTTATTTTAATCGATGTTCACGACATGTTTGATAGGGGGTGGAGAGTCGATTCTTGTTCCCCACAATAGGACCTAGGGACTCACACGAGGGGTGCATAGAGTTGAATGGAAATGGACCAAGAGGCAGAGCAAGACGATGGTGAAGAGATGTCACGAACTGGAAAGAGAAAGCCAACTACATTAATGAATGGAGGCAGATGAAAGCTGTAGCAGGAAACCTTAATAGCTGGGAATGTTGAAAAAGTAGAAGAAGGAGCAAAAGAAATTATTAAGATTGCCTAAAATGCGAACGTAAATAGTAAATAAAAGACTCTATGATGATAAGCGGCCAACGCATTGTTGGATGAGGCAGGATCGCACCTGCGCAGAGACGACCATCCGGGCAACACATCCCGTAGGGCTCTATAATGTATTTTTGTAATGGCGGTCAAGGTGGTTATGTGATCATCATCAAATGAGAATGATTTATGCTGTATAAAATTGACCACTGTGTTTCTACGTTCGCAAATTTTATTATTCATATGAAAATGATGCAAGAAGTGAGTGTCGATAAAGCTAAGGAGGAGTTGAGAACTATTGAAATCGAACCTAATCATGATACTGCACCAGCCATTTCTTGTTCAGGAAAAGTCGTGGAACCATACTCGAATTTTGGGCAGGATTTGTCGGGAAGCGATGACGACGAAGCTTCCGAGGTAAGATTGAAGCAAAAATATGTACATTTTGAATGATTCCATTACGCTTTGGCCCAGAGTAGAAGGCTGTTCAAACGGTAAGTTGTTTAAAGTCCACGTTGGTGGTGGACATTTTCGAATTCGACGATGGAGGCCAGCAGGCAGACTATGAGACGCACTTTTGTTTGTCGCCTAGTCGGAAGAAATTTCATGTTAGCGACGAGATTTAAAAGAATTTTGACATTCAAACTGATCTGTAGTATTGCAGATACATTGTGCAGTGGAAAAATTGGTGGCTTTTTTGCCTGAGGGTGGTACATTTTGTCCGTTAGACCCGTTATGTTGTCAACAAAATGAGCAGAAATAGGCCATGTCGACCCATGTGGTGATGTGATCTCAGCAATGGTTCTCATTTGACACAGTTGCAGCAGCCACGGAAAACTGGTGCGTGTCGCAGTTTTACAGCAGGTTTTACCCCCATTGCTGAATGAATTTTTCTGAAATTATCACAGATGGTGCACAAATGTGTATGCTGTTTAGACTCTTTAGACATTTCCTCCATCATTTACAACTTCTACTTCTAGTGCTGTACTACTGTACTGTTTACTGTTTACTTTTTAACTCTTTATTTATAAAGAAGTGGCTTTATTAACTTTAACAAGTTTAAATCAAATATAACAAATAACAGGCTAATAATTGCAAGAGTTAAAATGTGAATTCAGAGGCTTATTAAATGTGGCACTGCTGGCTTTCACAGATGTTAAAATGACAAGTTGACATTTCTTTGTGATTGGAGAACATTTCCAGTTACTATTCTGAATTGTGTGGTTTGAATATAAGTAAGAATGAACTTCTGTGTAACTTAATGAAATCACTGAACTATGAAAAGTTTTTCAGCACTTTTTTTATGTGACTTATGCGATTTGGATCATTTGGCACCAGTTAAGAGAATGCTGTTATTTCAGTCTGGAATTCATTGTATCAAGGATATTTGTTTCTTTGACAGCCTTATCTGCTTGCTTCACAGCCAGCTTTATTTATTAAGAAATAAGATAGGAAGTTGCAATGTTCTTTTGGTCATTGCACTGACATGTTGAGTTTGGAATGGCCATACAGTATTCTATATACTGTAAATAAAAGGTATAAATACTTTCTCCACCACTCAGGGCAGATTTGTGTATTTCAGTCAATCCTTTGTGGAAGAGAAATATCATTTTTCCACCTTTGCTTCCCATAAATTTTCCTCAGCAGGCAAGCCAAATTGGTCGTCTATCCCAGTCAGCAAGGATAATGACTGAATGACTGTAATGCTGAATGTAGTCAGTCAGTCAGATGCTATCTCCACACTGAAGACTGGCTGCAATGGATGTCCAATACACACTCTTCTTTTTTCACGTTCATTGGCTGTAGACTGGCAGAAAGTTCTGGTTGTTCATCCACTTCTAGACTCTAGTCCTTTTCCAAAAACTGTGTACACATCTGTTTCACAGGTCTGACTATTGGTTTTTTTGTCAACAGGTAGGTAGACTTTAAAATAAGCCCCCAGCTATTCGACTCTAACAACATACTTTTGGGCAGGCAGTGGGTCTCTTTGTGTTTTCCCAACAATAGGGCCCTAGAATCCACATGGGAAACTGTCTCTTGTCTTAGTAGTACACTCTCAGGCTGCTATTTGTCCATCTGTTAATGTTGTCCTCCCACCTATATCATTGTCTACCTCATGCTGTCTTGTTTCAAAATTGTCCTACCAGAATGGTTTTCAGGTATGTTATGTCTTTTAATGTGGAGGAAATATTTGTCTCTTTATTATTTCTTTAAGCAAATCTCTCTTCATTCCCTGTCCAACATGACCCTTTGTTAAGATTCTGTTAATCAAAATACAACCCAGCTATCCTCCGAATAACGGCCACATATTATGGCGGCCAAAAAAACACCCTGACAGGGCCTCAATTATATGTAAATTGCTGACTTCTTTCTGGCGAATATACAGCAGTAAAAGTATGATAAATTGCCGGCGATGATGTCGCAAAATGCAACAAACCGCTAAGTTAAAGCCTTTGAGAATTCGAGGAGTGGGACTAGACTAGATGGCTGGGACTCATGAGCAGCAGCTACCGCATCATGCAGCTTCCTCATTTATTTGCTTGTGAGCCCCAGCCATCTAGTTTATGAGATCTCCACGCCACTTGTGCGATGCAGGGGATACCCACAGCGGTGAAAACTGTGTTACCAATGCGACACTAGACGCGCCTTGTTCCAATCATATTTAGCCACGTTTCAATGGTGCCACAGTCACAAAAAGCAGATTTTCGGGCACTATTTGCAACTACTGTGCCACTATTTTCAAATATAAAGGCCTCAGTTATCACTAAATAGTCGATTTCGTCATTTTCCCTTTCTTTTTGTTTCTCATTATCGAGTTTTTGAATGTTTACAACCTACGGCCTAATGAGGCCCTGTCAGGGTGTGTTTTTGACCGCCATAATGTGTGGCCGTTATTCTGAGGATAGCCTGCAATCCATTTTTTATGTCCATATACCCTGAGACAACTCAGTTTTTCTGGCTGCCTGTTCATTGTCCAAGTTTCACATCCCACAGTAGAGTTGAGTACTCTTAATATTTGACAATTCTCATGTTCAGTATTTTTGTCTCACTGTCTGTAATCTTCGCATCCTCTTGTAGATATTTGTAGTCATTTTTATTCTCTTGTTGATCTCTATTTCACTTCTACTATCACCTGTTAGCTTTGTATCACAGATAGGAGAAACTTGTTACATGTTACATGTATACTTTGATTGTGCTCATTCATCTGAAAACAAGACGCTTACACCGGAGTCCTTGTACCGTAATAAAAAAGAAAAAGTCCTGTGATAGATACTGATTTAAATCAAGTGCCATCTCCACACTGAAGTTTGGTTGTGGCGGGTCTTCCATCAGTTGTCTGTCTTTCTTGCTGTGAATGTACACTTGGAAGAGTTAGCTGTCTTCATACTTATCTCACTGTCTACCTTCTGCTTCTCTTCTCTTTGATCCTTTCTCAACAATATATGGCTAAAGACATGGAACGGAAGTTAAATGCATTAAAAAACAAATGCCTGAGAAAAGTATTGAATGTAAAGTTTGAGAAATTTAAGAGCAGTGAAGGAAATAGAGAAATATCTGGGCAATAATTAGTGTCACGTAATAAAGCAGAGAAGGTGATGCTATACTGAACACATTCTGAGCATTGACGAAAAGTCACCAGGCAGGCACTGAAATGGGAAATAGATGGATTTAGAAGACAAAGACATTTGAGAGAAACCCTAACACAGGTGTTGATGAGAGAAACCCTAACACAGGTGTTAATGAGAGAAACCCTAACACAGGCGTTGAGAGAAACCCTAACACAGGTGTTGATGAGAGAAACCCCAACGCAGGTGTTGATGAGAGAAACCCTAACGCAGGCGTTGATGAGAGAAACCCTAACACAAGCGTCCTAACACAGGTGTTAATGAGAGAAACCCTAACACAGGCGTTGATGAGAGAAACCCTAACACAGGGGTTGATGAGAGAAACCCTAACACAAGCGTTGATGAGAGAAACCCTAACACAGGCGTTGATGAGAAACCCTAACACAGGCGTTGATAAGAGAAACCCTAACACAAGCGTTGATGAGAGAAACCCTAACACAAGCGTTGATGAGAGAAACCCTAACACAGGCGTTGATGAGAGAAACCCTAACGCAGGCGTTGATGAGAGAAACCCTAACACAGGCGTTGATGAGAGAAACCCTAACACAGGTGTTGATGAGAGAAACCCTAACACAAGCGTTGATGAGAGAAACCCTAACACAGGCGTTGATGAGAGAAACCCTAACGCAGGCGTTGATGAGAGAAACCCTAACACAGGCGTTGATGAGAGAAACCCTAACACAGGTGTTGATGAGAGAAACCCTAACACAGGCGTTGATGAGAGAAACCCTAACACAAGTGTTGATGAGAGGATTCAAAGATGCTAATTGGATTCCATTCATGATATCGAAGTGATTGGACAGAATAGAAGAATAGACTGCGTACCGTATGTGACATATAATAGCACAACAGAACAGTGAATGTGGCTTAAGAATTTCATTGAGAAAGAGGCGGGAGAGTTATTTGTTACTTTTGTAAGCTTTTTTCTTTTCCCAATTTCATCCTGTCATTAGCGCTCACCAACTGGAAACTCTGGTGGACAATTTGGGTTGTGCATCCACTTTTGCAAATGTACTCTTGTTATGTAATTTTTTGTCCGTTGTATCTCAGGCAGATACACTCTGACCTTGAAGGAAACACCACGAAATGGCCCTTTTATGACAGGCTTGATGGGGGGGGGGGGGGGGCATAATGGGGCCCTGTAACCAGTATGGGGTACAGTTATACACTGAAATCCTTAACACTTCTAAAAAAGAACAAATCTCCAAATAAATACTAATTTAGAGCAAGTGCCATCTCCGCAGTGAAGGTTGGCTGCAGTAGGTCTTCTGTCATTTTTCTCTTGCTGTCAGAAGGCTTGTGCTTGTTTGTTTATCTCTTTATATAGTATCTTTACATTTACCTCCTTGTGTGGCTTCTGAGGCTACAAATGGCGGGGGGTAAACCCCTTACTCACAAAGCCTGCCGTAAAAGGCAAATACTTAGGAGTATCTTCTTCTTCTTCGCGTTCACCAGCTGTAAACTCTGGCGGAAAGTTCTGGTTGCTTGTCCACTACTGAACTGCAGTCCTGCTCCAGAACCTGAGTGTTGCGTGTGCATCAGTTTTACAGATCTCATTCTCTTGAATACAGACTGTTGGTTCCTTGCCTCTCCGGCAGATGCACTCCGACTTCAAAGAAAGCTCCCCAATTAGTCGACTCTTACGACATGCTTTTGGGGAGGCAGTGGGTCTGTTCTTGTTTTCCCCACAATGGGGCCCCGGAACCCACATGGGGGACTTAGGAGTATCAAATCAGATGTGTTAGGTTGAAAGATGTCACAGGCTAGCTGTAAGCCACAATGCAGCATACAAGCTGCTCTTAATGACAAATGCAGAAAAAGAAATCTTATGATCTCTTGCTTGCCAGTTTTCCTAATGATATATTGATTATGAGAGTCATTTTGTTTTATCACTTTCATTTTTTAAATTTTCAACTTTAAAACGACCCCCCCCCCCCCCCCCACCCCCCCCCCCCCCCCCCCCCCCCCCATGTTTCTGTGAAATAGAAGTTAGGTTTTCATAAGTACTGGGTGACAGCACAAGGAAATGAAGTGACTGGCTCTACTTGTCACCACCTCACATTGTTCGGGTTAATTGTATATCAGCTTATAATGTAATGCTTTATGTTTGGGTTCTGGGCCTTATTGGGGTGGGTAGGGGGATAGAGCCAGTGCCATCTAACAAGCATGTTGTGAAAGACGACTAGTTAGGCAGTTCCTTTGAAGTCGGGGTGCCTCCGCTTGAATGAATGAATCAACTGACATCCCGGCACTCGTAAAATTCCCACACAGTGTCTTTCCTCTTCCTTAGTGTCAACAAAGAGCTGATATGCTCTGTTTCATCTTTTATCTTGCTGTACCTTTTGAGGTGAAGTATAATTTATGGGAAAGATCCCATTTCTTTGTTTCACAAATTGGGATTCCTGGATACTATGTAATTCCCTCTGCCCATCGCTTGCATAGTCGGCCTCTTCTTAATTTCCCACCTGGTCTGTACATCATTGCTTGCTGTGGTAATATTGTCTGCTGACATACGTGTTATATGGCTAAACCATTTGACCAGTTGTCTTCTGATGAAATCCAGAGCTTCTGCTGACCCCCATTTTCCTCTGGATTACATTGTTTCTGATCATATCTCTTCTGGTTATATTGAGAGCTGTTTGCAGGATATACTAGTAGTACCAATTGCAAGCTATTAATAGTTTTCCCCTTCAGTGTTGAAAATCTTTAGAGCCTTTGCTGAATTAGTTTGTCAATGTATGGATGCTCTATTTCTTCTTTTGCACTGTCCACTTGATCTCAGAGAACCCCCACCACTGTATTATGCAGCCTCTGCTTGAGAGGTGAGGAACTGCCGGTCTGCACACAAATAAATCAGATCTGTAAAATAGATGTGCATGCAGAACTCAAGCACATCAGGCTTTAGTCAAATCATGCTTTGAGTACGGCACAGCAGTCAAATCATACTTTAAGTACAGCACACCAGACTTCAGTCATATCACACTTTAAGTACAGCACACCAGACTTCAGGCATATCACACTTTAAGTACAGCACACCAGACTTCAGTCATATCACACTTTAAGTACAGCACACCAGACTTCAGTCATATCACACTTTAAGTACAGCACACCAGACTTTAGTCAAGTCATACTTCAAGTACAACACACCAGTCAAATCATACTTTAAGTACAGCACACCAGACTTCAGGCATATCACACTTTAAGTACAGCACACCAGACTTTAGTCAAGTCATACTTCAAGTACAACACACCAGTCAAATCATACTTTAAATACAGCACACCAGACTTCAAGCATATCACACTTTAAGTACAGCACACCAGACTTCAGGCATATCACACTTTAAGTACAGCACACCAGACTTTAGTCAAGTCATACTTCAAGTACAACACACCAGTCAAATCATACTTTAAATACAGCACACCAGACTTCAGGCATATCACACTTTAAGTACAGCACACCGGACTTCAGTCATATCACACTTCAAGTACAGCACTCCAGACTTCAGTCATTTCACACTTTAAGTACAGCCCACCAGACTTCAGTTATATCGCACTTTAAGTTCAGTACAACACTTCATACTTTAGCAAAACACATCAGACTTTAGCACAGTGCATCATATTTCAGTACAGTACATCAGACTTCAAGCACATTTATATCAAATTTAAGCACATTTGCAGGTGTAAGTTTACCTGACTTCTTTAACACATGAAACAAATATTCTTTTGTGAGTTGCTTTTTTTTTTGGCTTTCTGAAATTTGACCTATCTTTTCTTTTGAGTGTAAAAGTGGTTTGAGCAAACTAAATAGGCCTTTGTATAATTTAATTTGATCTTTTTTTTTTATCACCTGTCTCAAAGAGAGACTTGCTTTGTGGATATTCTGTTACATGTATACCTCTGGATTTCATGGGGGCAATTTTGAGAGATCCCAGAAGAATGTTGTTGGAGCTGCGAGGCTCATGCTTTGTCCAACACTCCCAACACCTGTTCTGAGGATATTGAGACAGAGGCAATATTACATTAAAATTACATTATTTTAACCTACACAGCTTATGGGGACCACTAATATATGTAGCCAAAATTCTGAAGCTTAAATGACCCCTGCTCACATCACCCTGTAAGTGCAGTAAAAGACAGTTTAAATCTGAAGTCCAGCTAATCATGTTATGCCCCACTAGCCAGATACGGTCACAGAGCAATTTATTCTTTAACCACATTCTCTACTGTTCTGTGTTTCCATATCCTTGTTGGAATCTAGTCAGGAATCTCTAGCCATTAGTTGTTTTCCAGAACCTAAATTTTGCTTGCAAATCCATTTAACAGATCTGGCATATTTGTGTGCAGACTGTTGGTTCCTACCCTGTCAGACAGATGCACACCATCAAGGGAAACAGTAGACTGTTCTTTTTTTTTTCCAACAATGGGGCTCTAGAACCCGCACAGGGAGTTATTTAATAACAAAACAAAGCTATGGGGGTTTAGCTGGGAAAAAATACATGAGAGGAGCATATTTTACACCCAAACATTTGTTCTTTAAAAAAAAAAATTAGCGCAGTTAAAGAAAAATTATGCGCTGCATGCACATTGTTTCCATTGTAGAACTGTGTTAAATGAGCCATTACTGTGATTACATCCCCACATGGGTCAGTCTGACCAGCTTCAGTTAATTTGTTAAACTAAAGTGGAAAATGTACAGCAAGACATTTTGCAACTGGCACTATGTACCTCTGAAGGGGGAGCATCATCTGTGTTGTTGAAATTATCAGTTCCATCCCCACTTCCTCAATATGTGGGTCTTCTACTGACTATTGTATATTTGTTAACATAACTATTTAGTTGACGACTTTTATTTACAGTGAATTCACACAAGGATGCTAATAATACCCTCACCTCTGGATCAGAGTGGTTTGGCCATGTGGGTTATGGGACTCATTGTGAGGCAGGGATCCATTGTTCCCTAACACACATGGCATAAAGGTCAACTAATTAGGGGTGTTTCCTTTTAAAGTAATAGTGTGTCTCAGAGATGAGCATCTGACAGTCTGCATATAAATAAGCCAGATGTGTCAATTTAATGTGCATGAAAAACTAAAATTCTGGAACATTACTAAAATCCAGAAGTGGATAAACATCTTGAACTTTCTGCTAGATTGAAGACTTAAAAAGAAGATGATGATAATTCTTAATGAAGCACCTAATCTTCTCTTGATGTGGCAATCAGACTGGTGCTGAATCCTGTGAACCGTGGCAGTTAGATACTATAAACTAAGCCACAGTTGGCTGTTACCCTAACAGTTTCCGTCATCATTATCGAATGCCTTTTGGACTTCTGTTCATGCCTCTCAACTTGTGATCTTTAATAGTTATTAGCTCACTTGCTGACACTCCGTAATACCATGAGAAAAGGCTGTCAAGAATATTCCTGTGTTGTATTCTTTTTTTTTTTCTGTCCATACACCTTTCTGTGGTCATTAGTTCATTTCCTTCTCAAAATATGGCTAAAGTCTGGTAGCACCAAGACCCACAGCCTCCGATCTGCAGGCAAGTAGAGTATCTGGCTGCCACACCACGATGGCCCCCGTTCAGCTATGTAAACCAGTTATCAGCACCTGACAGTGACAGGACCTGCAGTCCAGTCTGGACTGGGAATAAGTGCAGTAACCCACGTAGCGGCTAAATGATTCCTACAAATTGAATGTGGCGGCATATACATCAGTTTTGTGTCTTTTGTTGGCTGTCAGGTGGGTCGCTGAACAGATTTCCTGTTTTTTTTGGGGGGCCGCGGGTGTTAGTAGGTTGAGAAACATTACAGGACAAGACATTAGAGAACCAACCCCCGGACTGTTTGACTTTGCTAGGCAGTTCTCACATTCAGTAGTTTAAGATGTAAAATAATGTTTCAACATAGGGCATAGACTCGCTGGGGTGAAGCCTAAGTTGGTTAGGCTTTCTTCATATATTTGAGGTGTTTCATTATCAACAGCTGGTTTGTCTTTTATTTGTTGGAATTTTGGGATGACTGTCACAAAGTCAGTGTGATTTCTCTTGTCATGGTCCAAATTTTGAGACTGACACAGTCATGTAATTTAACTTGTCATTGCCTGAATTTTGAGACGACAGGCACTGGGTCAATGAATACAAATTGTTAGATTTTTGATGATTATTCAGATAGCTATCTGGTGTTAAATTGTGAACATAAATTGAATGCAATCATTTTCTTCTTTTCTCCCCCCACAGGTTGACTCATTTATCTTGGAAGATGACAGTGAGCAAGGACTGGAGGCCTCCAAGTTTTTGCTGGCTGCAGAGTCTGATGGGCAGGGCATCCAGACTGTTGACCCCCAGACACAGGCAAGGCTAGAAGCTTTGCTGGAAGCTGCTGGTAAGTAGACTGTCTCTGCTAGGTTTTAAGAATATTGTATAATATTTCCAGTCTTTTGCAGACCTCGTGTCTGATCACTTAAAAATGTAATCAGCAATTCAGTTTTCTGTTATTGCATTCATAAAGTACCCTCTTCTGTGCCTTCAGTTATTAGGGCTAGACTTGTATTTTAAAGACCATTTGTCACTTAATGGCTGATGTGGGCCACCTTTACTTCCCAGGACTTCAGCTGGTACCCATTCAAGAACCATCAGGAGCTGAACCTTCAACCATCCGCTCTGCAGGGGAGCATCTAGCCGCTACACCACCACATTAGTGAACAATGATATCTTCAAAGAGGCTCCTGTCTGTTGTATTTTATAAAATGATGTGCACATCTGTCACAGTTGATCAACTAAAACAAATGGGAAGACTTCCATTTAAGTTGAGTTGAGTCAAGAATTGACATCAGGAATTGACATCAAGCATTTGGGGCATTTCCATGCATGCTCCATCCTCATCTTCAGCGGCCAATGCAGAGTTCCAATACTGAAGGTACCAGTCACAATCTGGTTAAATATCCCTCTTGCCTTTTCTCTGAGTTTAGTCAGCCGGCCAGACCCTCTGGCTACACCCAGGTGCCTCATTCTCTCCAGGCCATAATAATCTTCTTCCATAAATTCTCAGAGATGTAGGTTTATTACAAAAGAATGTCTAATATAGCTAAAGAGAACGATCTGGATGCTTTAAAACAGTTGTTTAAAGACACTAACATGTATCACAGAGGTCAGAAAGAAACAGTCATTTATGGGTAACCTCATAAGGCAAGAGGAGATATTTATGGAGCAACAGAGGAAGACGGAGGTCAAGTGACAATTTTTGGACATAGTCATGGCACAGTACTCATATAGTTAAAAGATGTGGACAAGCATGATTACCCGAGCCAGTCGGTAGGTACTGGATGATGATTTGTGGTTTAAAAGTGACATGGCTGACAGGTCATAAGGTCTGAGTAAGTCTCAATATTGTGTATTGGCTGGAACTGTTAGTTTCTAATCATGCAGCCTGCGCTCTCCCTTCCCCACACTTTTTCTTGGGCATAATTTAAGAAATACCCTCATTAGTTGTCCTTTATGGGGGGGGGGGGCTACATAACAACCCTCCTTCCCCAGCAGGACCCCAGAACCCCCGCAGAGAGCAATTATACAGCTATTGGCTGTTATACATTTATCTGTTATATACATTTTAACATCTGTTATATACATTATACAATTTAGAGAATTTTTTGTAAATCTGTTCTTATGTTTTGTGGATTATTCAAAAGCATTTGACTGTGTACAACATCAGAAGCTTTGGGAAATCATGAGGAATATGGGCTTTCCATCACATATAGTGCAGGTCATTAAAATGCTCTATCAAGACCAACAAGCAATAGTCAGAATAGATGGAAAGACATCAGACTGGTTTGGCATCAAGCAAGGAGTCCGTCAGGGATGTGTGCTGTCACCGTATTTGTTCAACCTGTACGCCGAAAATATAATGAGAAATGTAAGAGATGATATAAACAAGGAACAATATGATGCCCTAAACATCGGTGGTCATGAAATACCAGAAATTCGTTATGTTGATGATACAGTATTACTATCAACATCACAAAATGGTTTAGAAAACTTATTAACCTCACTCCAAAGAAATAGTGAAAATCATAACTTATTTCTTAACATAGCAAAAACAAAGATAATGCATACAAACAAAACTGCCATGGAGAAGGAAATATATGTTAATGAGAAAGATTGGAAGTGGTGGAAAATTTCGAATATCTTGGGTCACTGGTTACCAACAATGGTGACACAATGAAAGAAATTAAACGGCGACTATCAATTGCTCTTCAAAGACTAAAACAACTGAATAAATTATGGAATTGTACAGATAGAATTACAAAGGTCAGATTTTTAAGAGCATGCATCTTTCCCATTGCAACATACGCCTGTGAGACCTAGACACTTACTAAACAAACGGAACAGCGCATAAATGCATTTGAATATAAATGTTACAGACAGGTTCTAAGAATATCTTGGGTAAAGAAAAGAACAAATGCATCCATACTTCAAGAGCTGAATATTGAAGAGGGTTGGCTAGTAAAGACAATAAAACAAAGAAAATTGAAATATTTTGATCACTTGAAACGTCATAGAAGTCTAGAGAGAAGGCCAAGGAGAAGATGGGTGCAGGATGTGGCAGATGATCTTCAGATGGGTGTATCAGACGCAGGACATCTTGCTCAGGATAGGAAGGTTTTCCGGAGGGTTGTTATGGCAGCGAGGTTCCGCGAGGGACATGCTACTGAATGAATGAATGAATACATTTTAGCTACTTATGTTGTGAACCATAATTGTTGGCTGCAGGCACAAAATATGTGCTGCAAGCTAATACTGAGGAACTGATGGTAGTCAGATAGGAAAATTCCATTTGTGGGTTCCAGTGCTTCATTTTCGGAGAGAAAAAGACCCTCTACCTCTTAACTGCCCTTCATAAAAGATGACTGGTTTGCTGAAATTAAATGGCTTGGGAGAAAGTGGCAGAATTCTCTACCTAGCTGTAAACTACGTCACATTGTCCTAACTGCCCAAATGGAGAACAGGAGAGGAAATAAATAAATTTTCGAAACCTCTGTAAGCTGCTTTCTGAATTGTTCAAATTTACTAATTTCAGGAATCAGCAAATTGTCTTCAAAGGATGGCAAAGCTCTCTCGGACCCGGAGGTACTGCGCACACTGACCTCATCTGTAAGCAGTGCCCTTGATGAAGCAGCACAAGCTTTGCACCGTATGAGAGACACCCAGGGACAACTGCCATCTGGAGATGGGTATGTGTCCTTTTGCTGCGTGCAACTTCTGCTTCTCCTCCTCTGTTTATGTTACTGAAGTGTTTGGAACAGATTTAAGGATTTTTTGGTATTTTTTCTGATGTGTTGCATAAGTTCATCATGTCTTTAGGGCCGTTCTTGATGCCATCATTTGGTATTCTGCATGGTCTTTCCTTAGGTCTGTATTCATTTTATTACTAACAGCATGGCTCTCTAGGACAGCTGGTACCAGGACATTTTCGCCAGATGGCCAGACCATCCTATCTGTTGCTCTTTAATAAACTGTATGACTGGTTTGTCCTAGTCTTCTTGTATCTTAATTTTTTTCCCCCGTTTTTGTTACTCCATCATCTCTCTCAAGGCATGTTGCAATATGGGTCTGTTTGGCACAACATGGTTCTTTTTTGATTGTCCTCAATTTTACAGCCGCTGTTTTTAAAAAGCAGCATTTCACAAAACAAATATTTTATGCAGTCTTTCTTTGTCAGCTGAGACAAGAAAGATAATTCTTAAAAGCTATATAAATCCTATATTTATTTAGGAAAGTAAATTATGGACAGTTGATAAAAAAGTGAAAACTTATTTGGAAGCTGCGGAGGTGTAGTTTTATAGATGAATGATAATTCCTTTAACAGATAAATAGAGTAATGAAGCACGTCTTGAAAGAAACTGACGGACGAAAAAAACTGATTGCCTGCATCAGAAATGTCAATCTACATTCTTTGGTCACATTATGAGGAGAAAACCGAAGTATATCGTGATAGTAGGAAAGTTGGAGAGAAGGAGAGGAAGAGGGAGACCTTGAGACAGATGCTGAACAGTTTGACATCATGGCATGGAGGATCATCTGTACCAGTTGATTAAAAGTACACGAGACAGAAGGTTGTGGATAGACATGAGTACCAACGCCGCACGGCATGGACGTTAAGAATTTTTAAAGTAAGCTTGCTGATGTTTAGAAGCAACTGACCTAGCAGCATTACTATTTATATCAGAATCTCTAAGGCTGATCAATCAGTCAATGTGCCGTTTCTACAGAGGAAGCGGCTTTGATAGCATCCAGCCTTATCTCTCTGCACCTTGGTTGTCCACTCTGATTGACTGCCGTTTGTCCCCCTTCATAGCTTCCCACTTGTATCACTGAATACATCTTAATTTTCCCTGCAGCTGGGCACCCCTCTTGCACCATGAGAAGGCTAAATCTAGTCACTTCCAGTTGTAGCACAGCTCCCATAAATGTTGATAAATCACCATGTCGGCAGTGACCTGTTCTCGAAAGCGTATTCAATTTTTATTGGCTCTAATTGCTCATGTATGGTGTTTAATATGGTATCTATTTTAACTATAAATAGCATTTAGGTTTCCTTATGACCTCACTGAAGGCAAACTTTTATGCATATTATTTTTGCAGGCCCTGGGGAATGTATTTAGAATGTATTCTGTTTATTGCTTCACTGTTCATGATTATTTATTACCCCTTTTATATTAAAATTTTATCTTTATGTATTTCAAAAAAAAATTTAAACTGGAAATACATGGTTTTAAAGTTAATTAGTGACCAGTGTAAAGTGTATTTTTAAGGAAATTCTCACATGCCCCTGATTTTTTTAATTTAAGCATTAATGGGACGAAAGAATTAATGCATTTAACATATTTTACTTGTGGTTTTTATTCCAAATCACTGTAAAGCCTCTGCATGTAATAGTTTTTGTTTCCATAAAATCTAGTATATTCTTGGACTCAAAACCATCTTTAGAATACCTACACATTGACTGAACAGTCAGAGGTGGGGAGAGCAGACCAAAACAGCATGTGGGGGAGGGGGGGGATGCATTTGGTCACAGGACTGGTGAAACAGTACAGCTGTCATATATATATTTTAGCGTACCATTCTTCAGCCTTCTTACACACAAATTCTGATATAAGGGTTGGAGCATTGTTTCTGAGAGTCAAAGCGCTGCAATAACACCCATTGTTACAACTCTAGCCTCTGTATGATTGGGCCTACGTTTTTGGCTGACCACCTGCACATTTCTTTGAACTGGCATTGATCTGTGGACAGCCTGTTGAAGAACACTGATTTGGAAGACTGTCATTTTAAAGTTGACCTGTATAGAACTGGGCGTGGCTTCTATAGTCTACATTGTGTTGTAGTCTGCATTGTGTTTGAGATTATCTGCTTGATGTCCTCACAGAATGCACATGGATGCAAACGGGGAGAGTGAGTCTATTGGTCATCGATCTGGCTCAGGCAATGTGGCGGATGCTTCAGAGGAAGGTGAAAGCTTGCTGTCATTGGCCTGTTCTGCTGGGTACTACGAGCTGGCTCAGGTATGGAACTTATGTTTATACATAGAGATTTGGAAGGGAAAAGAAAACGGGTAGACCAAGAGAGACCCTGTATAGAACCATCATCAGGGAGGGCTCAACCATAGGCCTAATGAGTATCCAAGATCTAAAACAGGTGGCAACGAACTGCCAGACATAAAGCGCTGCCTCAGGCTCAAGAGTCAGACTAACTAATATAGATTTGTGTTTAAGCCTCTTAACCTTTTAACCATGTTTTGTAATAGGTGGTAACTGTACTATCTACATCTCTCCATCCTAGAAGCAGGTTCCCAATCAGGAGCCCAGTCTGTATAGATTTTACCGACTGTTTCTATGAAGTTGGGAGTCCGTCTGCCTGAAAAGCAAGGAACCAACTGTCTGCATATAATCTGGGAAACTTGCATGCAACAGATCCTGGAACAAGGCCAAAGTCGTAATGTGGGTGAACAGCTATACATTTTTCTGCCAGAATTACAGCATTTTTTGCTAAGAAGAGAAGCAGGAGGTGAACAGTTAAGTATACTGAGCAGCAGACCCAGTTTTGAATCCTTTGTAAGGCTGTGGATTGTTTCGGTCGGGCCAGAAATACAATTGCAACCTGCACTGGGCATGCTGTACATGATCAGGCCCAAATACCTTCCTTCCTACAACACAACATTTGTATGTACAGGCAGTAGTGCTTAGAAAAAGAAGCCTGTTAGAAGCTAAACATGTGGATGTGAGGTTAAGCGGCCATGTGATGAGCCTGGGACCAGAGCGTCATTTGTCAGCTCTGCATTTATGGAAGCCTCCTTGGATGGTGTGGAATATCCATGATCTGCCCTTGCCTTTTCTTGAGGACCGACCTGTCTACATGTGGTTGCCCTGGACAGGTTCTCCAGTAGCGGCTCCTGCATATAAGGATCCCGAAAAAAAGGCTTTGTCATGTCCCACAAAACTGTCCTGAGTTAACCCGGTCAACAAATACTCGTTAAAGTTGGATGTTTTGGCCAAACGGTGTAAATATCGCAGCTTTGCTGTAAACAGCTACATCGCTTGATAAACGAAAAGAAGAAGATGTGAATTTAGCTGTACCGTGAGCTGTCTAACATTTGGTTGTATCTCCAGGTCCTGCTGACCATGAAGGCTAATGTAGAAGATAGAGGCATCAAGGGAGACTGTACTCCACTGATGGAGGCAGCTAGTGGTGGCCATGTAGATATTGTAAGGCTGCTTCTGCTTCATCATGCCGACATCAACGCTCAGTCCTCCGCTGGTAAGTTTCACTGCATACTTTTGCATTGTTCTGTTCAAAGCCGATTATTGTTACACTGTGGGAATGTCCACAGATGTGCCGATTTGTTTGAAGGTAATAATTATGTGTCATCGTCTGGAAGCTAGCTGCTGAAACAAGCTTTATTGTGTATGAGTTTTTTTATAGCAAGCAGACAAGCTGAAATAAATTTACTTGCAGCAGTGATGTGATTTTTGAGAAGAATGCAAAGAATATTGTGGAATCAAGGAGACATTAGTACCTGGATGGTTTGAGCATATGGGCGGGACAAGGCAAGCACATTGACCTGATCTGTGATTCTTGTGATCATGTGAGATGGTGAAATGTGACCGCCTACACTTATCAGCAGGACACTTTTCTTTTGACATGGTACCTCTTTCACTCCCAAGCCACTTGCCATGCATTTGTAGGTTTCTGCTTATGTGCTTTAATCTCTTTAACTCAAAGTCCTAGCCAGTTGTTACTTCAGCTAAATCTGCACCTACAGCTACTTTAACCATTTCTATCACCTGCTTATTTTGTAATTGTAGGGAAAAAATATTGATTAGATAAATTAAAAATTTCTTATGATATAATAAGTTAAAATAAAATGTGCCTGGAACCGAAAGAGTTAAGTGCCATCTCTCTGGGGACAGTCAGTTTAGCAGTCTTCCTTTTCCTAGGTTAAACAACCATTGCAGAAAGGATGAGAGCTGGGAGTCTGAGAAAAAGCAGACTAAATGCAAATGTTGAGAACAACGGTCCTGAAATCTCATGCTATAATTATAGAAGACTTTGTCTTAACACGGGCCGGTTTTGCTGGTCACACTTACCATCGGGATGGCCTGCGAGTCCCATGCCTCCTCATAGCGCAATATAACAGTATAATCTGGAAAGACGGAAAGGTCCCAATCATGTGTATTCTAAGAAACTGCTGGCTGAATTGTTGGAATGGCAGGCTGTCATGTGGGAGACCTGGGTTAGAAACCTTGCTAAGGTTGCAGTGTTTTTCCGTTCTGTTTTTAGACAAAAATCAGCATCCTAACTTGCCCGCTTTGAGGCAGCTCCACTAGCCATGCAGTCTTAAATCCTTATTTTGAAGACCATGTCATCATGTACCATATGAATTTGTTTACTCTGATAACTTCAGCACATGAGTCAATCGACTATGGTTGCTGTCCATGCATCTGTGGTTACACTGTATTTTGCTGTTTGTTTCCAGGCCCATTTAGCATGCCATACTTATACTCTGATGTTATGTTTGATATTTAGGTAACACACCTCTTCATTACGGAGCTTGTGGAGGATTTAAGGATGTAGTTCTGGAGTTGGTAATGAATGGAGCCAATGTGGAGATCCACAATGAAAATGGTCATACTCCTCTGATGGAAGCCGCTTCAGCTGGCCATGTAGAGGTGGCAAAGATCCTTCTGGAGCATGGGGCAGGCATCAACACACATTCTAATGAGTTCAAGGAGAGTGCATTGACTCTGGCCTGCTACAAAGGTGAGCTTTTGTTTTGCTGTCTTCTCAGTGGCGGTTATCTGCAGTGTCCATGCTGACTTTAGGAATAATACTCTGTAATGCCACAATGTCTTCCATGGTGTGACTCTCTTGCCATTGCCCATAAACCGACAACATGTTTTAAAACGAATTTGAATAAACTGTTGCAGAAATCGTACTGTAGGTCATGGGTCATTCACTTAACCCACTGAGCCACAGAGCAGCACACATGTATTGTCTGTTTTATCTCTTTTTGATCTTTTCGACAGTTGATGACTGTGTCAGGTTAGAGCATGTTTTTTTTCTCTCTCTCGACTTTTACTCTGAAAAATAATAAACAAACCCAGGGTGTTGTGGCAACAAGACCTCATTAGTAAACAAAATACACCACCTTAAAGGAAATGGCTATGAAGTAACTACATTAGTGTCCAGATATTACTTCAAACAAATGAAGTGCAAAAGTGATACTTTAGCTTCAGGTGTGGAGACCGTGCCCTTTAAGCTGGAGATGCTTGTATATAAACATCTTTCTAAACGTGATCTAGTCTGATGGTGTTCTGGCCGTGTCCTCTTCCTGTCTTTAGTTGTCTCGACATTCTACACTGGTTTGTAAACATTTTCTGTTAAGGTTAGCTATTTAGCGTTACCCAAGCATTAAATGAAAGACATCCTACAGAAAGATAGCCCTCATTTCTGCTATGCCCACCCTTAAAAGAACAATTTGCATGTGATTTACAGCTAGGCTGCAATGTCTGTGCCTTTCGGCCCAACTTATCTGATTTCAGGAGAATCCAGATTGGTAACACTTTTGACATACTTATTACAGGCATAAGTCATTCTGGTTATGTTGTCACATTTTCCTAATGTTTGGCTTATCTAGCATCTTTAATTTACCTTTTTTATTCATTGGAATTTTTTAAAATTGATTGCTTGTTTTTAAAAAAAATTATTTAGTTAGGCTTGTGAAGAAAGGGGTAGAAAATGTCACAACACAGGTAACTAGACCCACTGTGCCCAGACATGTTTTAAAATATGACTCATTAGTTTTCTTGTGAACTGGTAAATGATTTTATTGGGTCAGAATGTAACAAGATCAGCCAGCAGTTAAAGCGCACTGCATTAGAAAAGCAGGCAAGTGGGCGACCAAGAAAGACATGGGTGGAGGGAGTAAAGAGACACTTCTGAAACTGCAGTATGACATTTAGCACAATCTGTGCAGCTAGCAAAAGACAGAAAACTACAGCTAGCTCCTTTTTGTGACACTTTACGGCAGGGCTATTCAACTTTTACTGAGGGGCCACCATTTTGAAAATACAGATCGTCACAGGCCAAAGGGCTCAAGTCCCAGTACAGATGGATGAATGATACAATACAACTGGCAATGATCCGTGGGCTACTTACTAGGCATCCGCGGACCACATATGGCACTCGGGCCGCCAGTTGAATCACTCTGCTTCATGAGCATTAGGACTAAAGAAAAAAATAATTATTTTGTGGAAAATAGATATGTTGGGCTGATATATGTCACAGCCTAGCTATAAACCACAATGCAACATGCTAAAACCACTCGTATAAAAGTGAATGCAGAAGGTGAAGAAATACTTGAAAATGTGATTAAATATGTTGGTGCCCTAAGTGGTATCTTACATGTTTTGATGATTTTGTTGTTAATTGCATACATGTTTTAATGATTGTTTGTTGTTTATTGCTTACATGTTTTGATGATTGTTTATTGTAGGTCACCTAGAGATGGTGAAGTTCTTGCTGGAGGCAGGAGCTGACCAGGAGCACAAGACAGATGAGATGCACACAGCTCTGATGGAGGCGTCCATGGACGGGCATGTGGAGGTGGCACGCTTGCTGCTGGACAGTGGTGCTCAGGTACTGCATCCGCTCATACTTTATTCATTTCTCTTTGGTCAGGTGTGTCTGGGAACCTGGTATTGGTATTCAGGTATTACATCTAATTTTTCTTTAGCCAGGTGTGTCTGGGAACCTGGTATTGGTATTCAGGTATTACATCTAATTTTTCTTTAGCCAGGTGTGTCTGGGAACCTGGTATTGGTATTCAGGTATTACATCTAATTTTTCTTTAGCCAGGTGTGTCTGGGAACCTGGTATTGGTATTCAGGTATTACATCTAATTTTTCTTTAGCCAGGTGTGTCTGGGAACCTGGTATTGGTATTCAGGTATTACATCTAATTTTTCTTTAGCCAGGTGTGTCTGGGAACCTGGTTTTGGTATTCAGGTATTACATCTAATTTTTCTTTAGCCAGGTGTGTCTGGGAACCTGGTATTGGTACTCAGGTACTGCATATCAATTCTGTTTGGCCAGATGTGTCTAGGTACCTGGTATTGGTACTCAGGTACTGCATATCATTTCTGTTTGGCCAGGTGTGTCTAGGTACCTGGTATTGGTACTCAGGTACTGCATATCATTTCTGTTTGGCCAGGTGTGTCTAGGTACCTGGTATTGGTATTCAGGTACTGCGTATCATTTCTGTTTGGCCAGGTGTGTCTAGGTACCTTGTTTTGGTACTCAGGTACTGTGTATCATTTATTTTTGGCCAGATGTGTCTAGGCACCTGGTATTGGTACTCTGGTTTTTTTATGGTTTCAATTTGGCCAGGTGTGTCTAGGAACCTGGTATTGGTACTCAGGTACTGCATATCATTTCTGTTTGGCCAGGTGTGTCTAGGTACCTTGTTTTTGTACTCAGGTACTGCGTATCATTTCTGTTTGGCCAGGTGTGTCTAGGAACCTGGTATTGGTACTCAGGTACTGCGTATCGTTTCTGTTTGTGGCCTGGCATTGGTATTCAGGTAAGGTTAGTTGTGTATCCTTTACAGGACGTTGCCGAACCAACCCCAACAGCCCCTGGCTGTTGTGTGGTTTTTATAGGAAAATTTATGTCCAGTAGTTTGCCATTGCTTTCTGGGCTGTCAGCTTTCTTGATACCACCGTCGAAACCAACGCAAGGCGCATGGCCCGCAGCAGGGATAAATCCTGGCATTGCCAAGCGTTCGCATCTACTTAGCCACAGAGCCGATGGTAATCAGGTACTGCATCTAATTTTTCTTTGGCCAGGTGTGTCTGGGAACCTGATGTGGGTACTCAGGTACTGCATCTGATTTCTCTTTGGCCAGGTGTGTTGGGGTCTTGACAGTTGTGCAGGAGAATTGAAACTTGGGTACAGAATCTCTTCATACTTTAATCACTTCTCTTGTCACATATCTGAATCATTTGACCTCATAGACATTTCATTATTGTTTTTGATTTTGCTTTTTCTTTTGTTGTCATTAATGTCCACCTTTGACGTTGATAAACACAATGTTTGTTAAAAATGCTGTATTAAATGGTGTTACTTAATACATGTTTGTTCTGTAAAAGTGGTGACATATGTCCAGTAACTTCATCTATGTTCTATCTTGTTGAATTTTTGTTCCGTAAAATTGTCTATTGACTTCATCTATTATCTACTTTTGCTTTCCTTTTTCTGTTGGATATTATGCTCCTGGAAAATGCGTATTCTTTTGCTTGTTTGAATTGTTAGAATTCAGTGCATATCTTGATGGTTGCTCTGTTCTTGCATTGATCATAACTTCTTTTGTAAAAAGGAATTGTCATGTTTTCAGTGTACTTTATCAATATCTATCTGTCATGTCCCCAGGTTAACATGCCCGCTGACAGTTTTGAGTCACCTCTGACCCTAGCAGCCTGCGGAGGACACCTGGAACTAGCCGGCCTCCTTATCGAGCGAGGGGCCAACATTGAGGAGGTCAACGATGAAGGGTACACGCCCCTGATGGAGGCAGCAAGAGAAGGTCATGAGGATATGGTGGCACTCCTGCTGTCTCAAGGTAAAGTTGTGACACTGTTCTTGCAGATAAAATCTGAAGTCAAAGAGAAATCTGTATGAATATATGACCTCCTCTAGCAGCATGTGTGTTTCTGTTGATGATAATGGACATTAAAAACTGGAGAACAGAGGGGTGGTTGATTTTTCTAAAACTCAAGAAAAAATCAAAGTGTTGTGATGTCAACTGTAAAAATACTGGTCCTATTTTGAAAACTGACAGCAAGAAAACTCAAGGATTAGCTGTGCATGCTGAAGTTTACTGCTCTTGTTGTGAAGTAGTTTGTGGAAGATACTTAATGTGTCTGTTTATTTTGCCATCAACAGCCAGTCTGTTTATTCTGCATTAGTTTGTGGAATGGGTGCCACAGCATTCAGTAATTTTTATGAACATACAGATCTGCTAGGTCTTCATCACAAAACATTTTACAACAAAGCAAATAAATAAGATTCAAAGTTAGAAGATCTGAAGGACATGGTTTTCTCTCATACCGTGAATTATGTTCGGCAAGTTCATGCTCAGCAGTCGGGCACCACTCTACATGACAATAATGTGCTAGATATTACTGTCAGCTTTGATGGCACTTGGCTGATGAGAGGCCACACATCCTACATTGGGGTTGTACTTACTGGACTTTGCATAGATGTGCATGTTATGTCCACATTAGGTCAGGTGTGTGAAACCACTGGTAAGCGAGTTTCCAAATCTAAACAAACTGAATTTGAAGCATCGAAGGCAGATTATCTTCTAAACTGTGAAAATAATTTCACAGGATCTGCTGAATTGATGGATGTGGAGGCTGCACAAGTGCTGTTGCCCATCATAAGCTTGTTATGCATCAATACTTCCTGATGTTAATGCTAAAACATTTGCAGAGCTTACCAAGATGGGGTGGGGGGGGGGGGCAACCAGGATGGGGCTTCATAATAGCGAGAAAAAAAATGCCATATGGAGACAGATATTTTAATTGAATATTATTCTTGTGAATTCCACAGGGGCTGATATCAATGCACAGACTGAAGAGACCCAGGAGACAGCCCTCACCTTGGCTTGCTGTGGCGGATTCCTGGAGGTGGCTGACTTCCTGCTGAGATCTGGTGCCCACATTGAGCTTGGCTGCAGTACACCTCTGATGGAGGCCGCCCAGGAGGGTCATTTAGAGCTGGTATCCTTCTTATTGCAATCTGGTATGCAATTTTGTATGATAAAATAACAAAGTTGGCATGTTTGAATAACTTTTTTTTAGCAGTTGGCTGATGTAAAAGTTCAAAATGCTTGAATAAAATTTGAAATTATGTTTGTCTCTGAATCAGTGTGGAACTTTTGACCTTTTTACTTGAGGTTGTCTCTGTATCAGTGTGGAACTTTTGGGTTTTTTACTTGAGGAGTGTCACTTGTGCCTGAAATCCACATAGCGCTTGCATCGTTAGCTGTAAACTTTTGGCCCCCAGAAGGTGATTGGGGGGGGGGGGGGGGGGGGGGGGGGGGTGTCAAAGTAGGAGAAAAACACACGAGGAAATCACAAGGGTGCTGCTTTCACAGAAGCTAGTGCACATTGGATGTAACTGGAAGAAGGTGTGTGAACATGAGTGTTCAAGTGTGTGAAAAAGTTGGGTTGGTGGGGGGGGGGGGGGGGGGGGTGTCACAAGTAAGAGAATAATAGTGAGATGGTGTGTGTGTGATAGTATGTAAGATCAAAGGTTTAGGAGTTGTGAAGGCACCTCGTTCTCTCCCTCTCATCTCTCTTTCTTCTCTCTCTGTTTTTAATGGTAGAAGTGTTTCTTTATTCTCTCTCCACAAATTTACCTCCCTCCCCTCTGTTAAGTCATCTCTTACATACAAGGTCGGACAATTAACTAATGAGACTGATTTTATTTTGTCCAAGACAAAAAATGCCATCTATGAATTACAGCATAGAGAACCCAAAGAGGCAACCTTCGTCTATGATCTGAGGACTTTTCATCGCCGTCCAATAAACAGACAACAAACAAGCTACAATTTTGTTAACCTTGTCAGAGGTGCATTGTTACTTAATCAGCATGGAGCAAAAAAAAAAAAAAAAAAAAAAGCTAACATTAAATTTTGTTTAAAACTCAGAAAAAGCGTCACTGTGAGAGTTGAATTAATGCGACAAGTTTATGGGGATAATTGTTTATCTCGTGCACAGATTTTCAGCTGGTACTGAGGATTCATAAGTGGTGTGGAAATGATTACTAATGCCGCTAGACCTGGACACCACATTTCTGTTTATAATGAGGAACTTGCTGCAAAATTCTGAGAACGGATGCAAGAAGATCGTCGTTCGACTGTGAGGATGATGGTAGATGAATTTGGTGTTAACTATTTGTAAAATTTTAGTGGAAGATTTGGGCAAGAAAAAAGTTGTATTCAACACCAGGTGATTTTTTTCATTTTTTTTTTTTCATGACAATGCCCCAGCTTAAAGGGCGGTAGCTGTTCAGGAATTTTTGGCCCAAAAACAAATCTGTGTTTTCAACCATCTACAAAAAACAGATACATGTTTTCAACCATCTACCCTATTCCTCAGATTTGTCTCACTGTGACTATTTTCTATTCCCAAAATTAAAGCTGATATTGAAAGGACACTTCTTTGACAATATTGAGGGCATCCAAAGGGCTGTAACATTGACTTTAAGGGCCATAACAATCGAACAATTACAGAGGTCGTTCTATTGTTTGTTAGATAATGCCACTCTCTGTATCAATGCACAAGAGGCTTACTTTGAATAAAATACAGGTTATATCTTCAACTGTTGATTATTTGAATTTGTATGGAATTAGTCTCATTACTTAATTGTCGGACCTTGTACTTTCACACCCAACATGCACACACGCATGCTCTCACACATACACACCCCCTCTTTCCAGTCTCTCACAAATTGCTACTTTCTTTTTCTCCTAAACCCTCTCTAATATACTATCACCCACCAGCCCCTCCCCCTCTCTCTTACAGATTTCTCTCTCTCCCTCCCTCTATCTCTTTTACTCCCTCTCTCTCTTTCCCTCCCTCTCTCTCTCTTCCCCTTTCTCTCTCTCCATCTTTCTCCCTCTCTCTCTCTCTCCCTCTTCTGCCTGCCTCTCTCTCTCTTTCTCTCACGCACACACACATCTAGACTATTAGTCAACAATGAAAACACATTTTTTGAGTACAGGATGTGTCATGGCATACGACTGTTAACTTCACAGGTGCCAATGTTGAGGCTCAGACAGGAACAGGTGACACAGCCTTGACTTATGCCTGTGAGAACGGACACACAGATGTTGCTGAAGCTTTACTTGAATGTGGAGCTAACTTGGTATGTACATCACCACCCACAGTTTATATTGCCAGACCTGACCAGGTTGTCAAAACTTCTTGTATGGCCGGTGAACCTTCTACGATCTGTAATAATTGCAGAGCCGGCCAGTCTCTCTTTGATTGTCAACAACAAAAGCTACAAAGGATGTTGCTACATCAGCCTTATTTTTAGGCTTCCTAACAAGCATTTCATATTTTTGAAATCAGATGGGTTGAGCTGAATGCTGCAGATATCCAAACCTAGCTGTATACAACGCAACATGCCAGCTACCCTTTTAAAAGTAAATACAGAATAATAAGCCTGTTGAAAACTTCAGCATCAAAATTAAAATATTCCGGTTTGCAGTGTTGGCTTGAAAGATTTTTCTTCCAAATATGCAAAGATATAAAAAGGGATAAGCAGTAAACATGAATATAGTGAAGCATTAGATGCAATACATTCCCTGGCGTTTAAAAAAAAAGGAATGTGTATTGGGTTACTTATGCCTTGACCCTGTCACCTCTATCACTGAGGCGTAGAGGAAAATTTAACATCAACCTGGCTTTTTTTTTTTAAAGGCGGGGTCATAAAGAGACAACCCCGCCCCAAGTGCTATTTTGAAATTAACATTTTTCACTACAGTCGGACCAATATGTCTGCATATTAGGTAGTTTCACAACCAGAAGTGATGTAGTTTTGTTGAGGTGAAAGGGTTAATGTATAAAAGCAGTTCTGATGAATCGTATCTGTAGATCCAAGTGCCCTATATTTTAATTCTATGTGTATCAGGAAATCTAATTATTCCACAAAAACCTTTAGTCAGATGTACCAACAGAAAGTCGCAAATTGCTCCTCCATAAACTTACACTATGCATTTATGTCCAAAACTTAAAAAAAAAAAAAGAAAAAAATTGGAATGATGAAGTCTGCGAGCAAGTGGCCATGGGATTAGCATTTCTGTCTCTCATATTATGGAATGGCTTCAGTTTGGGAGAAGAAAAGAAAAGACCTATCTGCCCGGTAACAAGAATGTTATAAAAGGCGGCTAATTAGGGGTTTTCTTAAAGGTGGAGATATCACAGCCTAACTGTAAACCACGACACAACCTGCCAACCACACTCTCAGGGTGAATAAAGAAGTAGTATGTAATGGAATTTTAGTTTGTTTCTTCTGTGGCCAGGGATTTTCCTAGATCATTGGATGTTCTTAGCACACAACCTGGCGACTGCTTTAGCAGACAACCTTTACTTAGCTTGAGACAATCCTTTCCAACACACTAGCTCTTGTACAGGGTGCTCCCTGTGTGGGTTTCCGGGGCTGCATTGTGGGGAAAACGAGACTAGACCCACTGCTACCCCCTTTCCCCAAGCACGTCAAAGAGTCAACTAATGGGAGCTTCCTTTAGGAGTATTACAAGTCAGTAAAAAAGGGTCTACACGCAAAACTTAAGCCCTGGCACAAAGCTGAAGCCCAAATGGACCAACAGGCAGGACTTTATGCCGGAGCTTACAGCCGGTGATCAAAGAACTAGTACATGATGCTCTCATGATAGTTTAGCCATGGCTTCAGTTACAGGACTGCCTTTATTTACCAGGACATTAGCTGGAGCCTATTTGAGGCTATGTTGACCATATCCCCTATTACACTTTATAAATCTGTTGTAATGTCTCGGTTTTTTTAAATTTGCCAGGAACATGAATCAGAGGGTGGTAGGACTCCGCTCATGAAGGCTGCCAGAGCTGGGCATTTGTGTACTGTCCAGTTCCTCATCAGTAAAGGTAAGACATTGACCAAATTAAACAGTTTAGTAATGTGCAACAGAAGTACAGTCTTTGTTTTGTTCGTCCTTTGAAGTGTTTTATTTTACTCTTTTGTAGTTAATATTTCTTCTCTGCAGTGGCGATAGTTTTATTTTGCTGTTTGGTGTTATTTTACATTTTAACAGCAAAATTTTCTTCCAGGCAACTCAGAGGGATCAACGAGAGAACTGACCCGCCAGCTAAACAAACTAGCAGAAACAATCAAATCGTTCTGCAGTGGATCCTGGCTCACTGTGGCAAACCAGGAAATGAGTTAGCAGACAGACTTGCAAAAAATGCAACAAAGGGAAAACAACACAGCCATTCATTGTTTTTACCAGAAATCAGAACACTTATCAAGGTAAATACAAGGAACTGTGGAGAGAACAAATGGTAAACATCCACAAGACCCCATCAGCAGACTCAACAGAAAGCACCATACAACAATTTTCCATCTACAAACAGGACACTAGGCTCAGCTACCACATTTATAAAACAAAGACTACCGTCCCCACAGTTTGCCTGTCAAATAGGTCCACAGACACCTGAGCACATTCTGCAGTCCTACCTACCTACAATTCAAAAAGTCACCTGGCCTCAAGGGCAAAGTGTGCAGAGCAATCTAGGAAACCATGAAGGACCTGCAGCTGACATGCGACTTCATAGAAGCAACCCACCTGATGATCTGATCTGAGCATTCGAAAGCAAACGCAAAGAAGAAGATTTTTTATTTGTTTGGCTGTAGTTTATTTTTTGGTTCTTTGCAGTGTTTGTTATTCAGTTCTTTGCAGTGTTATTTTGTATTCTGACATAACACAGGGACGGTACAGTACAGCTGTGTGCACATTCTCTTCCTTGTAGGTGCCGATGTGAACAGAGCCACTACCTCCAATGACCACACAGTCCTGTCACTAGCCTCTGCAGGGGGTCATCTAGCTGTGGTTGAGTTGCTACTGCAGCATGGAGCAGATTGCAACCATAAACTCAAGGTAATTATCTAGAACTTTGTCACACTGACCACTTTTACAGGAAGGATAGGAATTGCTGGTCTTTAGTGTTTGTGAGAGAGAGAGAGAAAGGGTGATCGATTGATTCCTATGGAAGCACTGTCCAACCTGCAAATACTCAAATATAACAAGCCCCAAGAACTTCAAAAACTCATCATTGTGTACATTGCCGGATGGCTTGGGCATTCATTTGTCCCCAAGATTTAGGTCATTTTCTTCTTCTGCGTTTTGCTTTAACTCAGGTTTATGTCAACCCATCTTTTTTTAATGATTTCTACATGTCTTTGGGCAGTGGTCATTATGTCTGTATAACAACTTTGATATTTGCATGGTCATTACATCTGTAAAACAACTTTGATACCGGCTGCAACTGAATAGTTTGTAGACTGGGTGGGTGTGGTGATAACACACATATCTCCCCCCCCCCCCCCACCCCGACCAAAATGGGGACATTGTTAAAAAAGGGTGAATTTTTTCTGTCAAACGCATCAAAATAAACTGAGAAGGGCGAAAACTTGCAGTTTATTCTTCGCTGTATGTGTATTTGGTGATTACTTACTTTCAGGTTGCCCATCTGCCCTGTGGTTTTTTGGGATTTAATCCCTCTGGATTTTATCCAGTACTTCAAGTTTCTTCTGCTCTTCCTCCAGTTCTTTTACAGTTGGTTTTCAGAGAATTTAAGGATGCATGTTTTTCTTTAAGAATTTGGGAAAGACTTATTTAGGTGAAAAGATTCTGAAAATTCACAATAAAACAAGTGGCCGATGAACCAAGCACTTCAACAGGAAAGTAAAGTAGGTCTAGGCTTTTCACAGTCCAACAGGTGATCAATACTTTGCTTTATTCTGACTCTGCAGAGTCATAATTTCATGAAGAATACGTTCACAGTTGAAGTGACACATTCAGCTCGAATAATGAGGAGAATCTTGTAAATTATAAATCTAGAAATAGATTGATAGTTAGAGAAGGGGGCGTGATCCTCAAACAGCAACATCTGGTGCTCACTTTGTGAAACAATCCTGATCCTTCTGAGTGGATTGGTAGATAATTGGTAGTGGAATATTGGCGCTAGATAAGCCTATTTACTACAATGTCTCCAAGTTGCATCTTATTCTAGTCACTTGTTTGCATGTAACTAATATTTTTGTATATCATGTTGGTTTTTTCGCGTTGATGCCCAGGAGCTCAGGTATAGGGGACAGTTGTGTTCAGGGCCTCAGGTCTGGTAGGGTTAAAGATTCTTACTGGATGAAAAGGTTGAATATGTGATTGGCCCATTATGTTTTGTTTTTACATTAGGTTGCAGTATCTGTGCCTCTCAGTCCGACATATCCTATTTTAGCTTACTCGTAATTATTCATCTTTCACAACATGATGGGAGGGGGGGGGCAGTGGGTCTATTATTACCTCAAAGATGGTGCCCTAGAACCCACTTGGGGGAGGATTGATTCTGCTGATGTTAATCCTCTATGCTGTCACTTCAGATTTTCCAGCATAATTTCTGTATCTGCCAGAAAATGGCTCAAACCTTGTTGGACATTTTGTTATGGTCTTCATAATGGAAATATTTTTGTGGTCATTTAGGATGGCTCAACAATGGTGATCGAAGCAGCCAAAGGAGGCCATACCCAAGTAGTCAAGCTTCTTTTGGAGTGGCCCAACCGATATCTAGTCCACTCTGCTACTGACCAGCTCGCACATTTATGTGTCAATGATGTACCATATGAAGAGGTGAGTATACCTGTTGGCTGATTGTGGTTTTGAATGTTCTCGCTTTCCTTGCTCGCTGAACTCATGTCTGTTTAGGATGTGTTTGTAGTGACTTTTTAACTGTTGGAAGTATGACTTACATGTGTGAAGTTTTTTTTACTATTGGAAGTATGACTTACATTTGTGAGGTTTTTTACTATTGGCAGTATGGCTTACATTTGTGAGGTTTTTTACTATTGGAAGTAGGGCTGTACCGAATATTCGCTTCGGGGCCGAATAGTGGACCTATTGACTTCAGTATTCGGCCGAATAGTTGCGGTCGGGCCGAATACGAATAGTAGTTACCTTACACCCTCTTCTGCATACACGGCCTTAATGCTAACAATATGGAACCTTTGGTTTTGTTAAAAGTTAATGCAGCTTTGCTGCATTAACTAAGCTGTCAGTGACAATTTCCAAGCTTAGTTACTTGTTATAATACTTACGATCCTTTCATTCCTAGTTATTAGTTACCACAGACTGACTGAAAGATGCAAAACATAAAATGTTTTTAAATGTTTACTATTCTGAATACTAACTAGATATGGAAAGAATATAAACTTCGGCCACATCCAAGTCGATAATATGAAAATCAAACGAATGGAAACATATAAGTACTTGGGTGCAAACTTTAACTGCTCCAACATGCTGAGAGAAAAAAGACAACCTAAAATACAATCTAGAAATAATGTATACTATGCCCTTCAAGATCTACTGAAGTCAAAGTGTCTGTCTCGCAGCACCAAGATCAAAATATATAAAACGTTGATAAGATCAATTGTTTTATTTGGCTCTGAATCTTGAAGCAGAAATAAAAGAGATGAGTACTTATAACAGGTTTTCGAAAACAGTCTTACGACAAATCTTTGGACCCATCAAAGATGCTAACAGCGGAGAATGGAAAGTGAGAAGCAACAACGTAAAACATAATCTGTTTAAATCTCTATTAATCACTGGCATTAAGAGAGCTAACAGACTAAAATGTTGGGGCATATTGAAAGAATGTCAGATGACAGAGAAGTAAAACTGTGAACGCCTGAGAGAGGAATGGGGGTAGACCATGAGGCAGGCATAAAAGAAGTTCGAGAGATAATGTCCATTGAGACCTGCAAACAACTGGTGTCACAAATTGTGAAGATAAGACCAGCCAGAGAGATGAATGAAGACGAGTGATATCTGCAGCAGTAAACCTCAAGGGCTCAGAATGCTAAAGAAGAAGATGACTATTCCTTGCTACGTTATATGAAGTATAAGTTCAGCGTACATTTGACATTATGAATGTTTTTTTGTTTGTTTTTTAAATATATTTTTTACACTATTCGTATTCGGCCGAATTGTTGGTCCCGCTATTCGTATTCGGCCCTAATTGGAAGTATGACTTACATTTGTAATGTTTTAATTGTTGGAAGTATGTATGACTTACATTTTGATGTTTTAATTGTTGGAAGTATGACTTACATTTTGATGTTTTAATTGTTAGATGTATGACTTACATTTTGATGTTTTAATTGTTAGAAGTATGACTTACATTTTGATGTTTTAATTGTTAGAAGTATGACTTACATTGATGTTTTAATTGTTAGAAGTATGACTTGCATTTGTAAAGTAGTATTTATTGTTGGAAGTATGACTTACATGTGTGATGTATTTACTGTTGAAAGTATGTCTTACATTTGTGATGTTTTAATTGTTGGAAATATGACTTACGTTTGTGATGTTTTCACTGTTAGAAATATGACTTGCATTTGTAAAGTAGTATTTATTGTTGGAAGTGTAACTTTTGTAAAATACTGTTGGAATAGTAACGTGCATTTGAAGTGTTATTTTAGAGATACAACTTATGTCTGTAACTACTAAATACTTTTTAACTACTAGATGAGTGAAATGTTTTAAACATAAAACTCAAATTTAGAAAATGTTAATTTAAAAAAAATGTGACTCCAGTTTGTAGTATTAACAGTTGATAGTATAAGTTTTAAACATAACTTACATTTGTAAAATAACATTAAATAAAAGGTGTGACTTAAATTTGTAGTAACAGTTGGTAGAATAAGTTTTAAACATAACTTACATTTGTAAAATAACGTTAATTAAAAGTGTGACTTAAATTTGTAGTATTAACAGTTGATAGAATAAGTTGCCCTTGTAAGTAAGTGTTTTGTGGGAAACATAACTTCATTTATAAATACCTTGTAACTGTTAAGCAGATTGTGTATATTTGTATGTTCATGTTTTTTTTTGTGTTTATGTTTATTCAACGGATCAACATCGTGGCACAAGGGTAGTAACCCATAAGTGCTTCGTTCTACTTCTAACTCAAGTCGGCAGTTGACGAACTTCGTTGCACGGGCGAGGATCCTAAAATATTTTAGGTAGATTTTTAACTCAAAACCAGTGTGTGTGTGTGTGTGCTGTAGAAGGCAGACTCACGTCTTAACTGTAAAACCCATGTTGATTTGCAGCCTCGAGTCCCTGTCCAGGGTTTGGCTAACATTGTTCCACCCAGTGAACCAGATTCCCAGATTCCACTGGCATCAGCTATTCATAGTAAGTACAAATGATTTTCTCTCAGTATAATTTCTGTTCTTCTGGGTTGTTGTTATAGCTGCCACTGTACATTAGGTTAGGCAGTTCCATGCATGCTTAGTCCTCGGATGCAGCAGCCTTACCAAGGGTCTTTTACTGGAAGGGGGGGGGGGGATGCCAAAAAAAAAAAACCCTGATAAACAGGAAAGGTAAAGTTACCAGAGAAAAACCTATGGTATCAACAGTTATAAGATACAGAAGATGTCACATATTGAGTATCACCATACAGGCACTGAAATGAGAAACAAATGGATTGGGGAGTTAGCGACATCCAAGCAAAACCCTGATGAGAGAGTCAAAGGGCGCTGGGCTGGGTTCCATCCATGACATCAGAAACATTGCACATGATAGATTGAAATGAACAAATATAGGCTGTGAGCCCTGTCTGATATATAATGGCCCAAACTTAATGATGATTGGGGTTGGGGGCATGGAGTCAGCTACACAAAATGACTAAGGGTAGGAATGCTTAAAGTGGGTTGTCTGAGGAACTGCCTCATAAGCGGGTTTACCACAGTAGAAGTTAATTACACCTAAGTTATGCTAACCATGATTAAGTAATTCCAACCAATATGGTCATTTGATGACTGACCGCCGATGATCCGAAAAGTTTTTTTGCTTCCAGCTAAGTTTGTTGATGCAGATTTCCTATTTCTGGATCCGGGGTCCTAAAGTTCAGCCGCCAAGATACTGAGTTAAGAGCTTGATGCAGCACTGTGACCTATGGATTGTTTTTTTTTCTGTTTTTCTAGCTGTGTGTTGTTGACGACAATGAAATTATGGTGGTTGATTACTTTCTGAATAGCACATACATTTTGCTGTGCAATGCTGGCTTTTCTAACCACACCAGCACTGCGATTCTGGTGTGGGATCGTCTGCTGATGCATTTTGACTTTGCATGTGCAGGCTTTACAATTTTGCTGGGACTGGGGGTTTTCCCCACTAGTTTTCAAAATGGGACTTTAAATGACATTTTGTTTAATATTCATCTGGTTTACAAATGGGACTTGGAATGACATTTTGTTTGATTTCCACTGGTTGACAAATGGGACTTTGAATGGCATTTTGGGTAATTTTTACTGGTTCAGGAACGAAGCAATTATTGGACGAGCTGTCTGCAGTGATGTTGGAACTTGGGCTAACGATAAGTCAGTTTTGTCTCGACTTTGCTGTTATTTAACAAACTTTTGTTTTGTTTATTTTTACCCACAGCTAAAACAGTTGAGCTGAGTCGCCAGAACTTGCAGAAAAACCTCACGAAACGTTTAAATGGGGGCCAGGTGGATACAAAGGGCGGGAACAAGTTTTGTAATCCTGAAAATTTTCAGCAGTTCTTCAGTGATGCTGGGTTAATAAGTGATCGAGCTATTGATAAGGTTGGTGTATTTTTCTGTGATTTGAGAGGCATTTATCTAGCTACACAATTTGAGGGAAAAAAAATTCTAAAAGAAACAAGAATTTTGTCACGGATGCTGCCAGAAGGGATGTGAAATTAAGGATGTCCCATGTACAAGTGTGTCACATCTAAAGATATGATTTTATAGTGCTTTTTTCTGGAACATAGCTCTCGTTTCAGGGATTTAGCTCTTATTTCAAGATTTTGTATCAGGAACACTGCAATTGTTTCAAGAATATAGCATTTGTTTCAAGGATATACACGTGTTTCAAGGATATAGTTTTAGAAATATAACGTTCAGTATAGGGTAAAGCACTTTTTTCCTGGAAAATAGCTCTGGGCTCAGAATTTAAGCACTGGGCACAGAATTTAAGCACAGGGCTCAGAATTTAAGAACCGGGCTCAGAATGTATGTGCTTGATATACAAATCCTGCTGGTTTTATTTTCTAGGAAGAAAACCTCTGCACAAACCAGCCAACCAAGGAGGAACAGATTCAGAGGAAGCAGCAGATCCTGGAGGAGCTGAAGAAGGTTGAGCAGGAGCTTCAAGACAAGGCCCAGGCTCACTTATTGCACAGCACCCAGCTGGAACTGGAGGAGCACCACCAGCAGCAGATACAGACCAAGTTACGGCAGGCTTCCACCTCATTCCCTACAGCTTCTCCCTTTGGCCCTGCCAATGCAGTGGTGGCTTCAGCAGGTCTTGGAGCTGTTTCCAAGGCAGAACAGTTGGTAAGTGTTGAATGGTACAAGCTTCACATTATTCTTCTCCCCAGGAGTTCCGAGGCCCTCTTGTATCGGGGAGGGGGGGGGGGCAGGATAGACCCACTGCCCCCAAACAAACATGTCACAAGGGGTGTTTCCTTTGAAGTTGGAGTGCATCTGCCTGACAGGTAAAGAACCAGCAGTCTGTATACAAATAAACCCGATTTGTAAAACGGAACTTCATGCAAAAGTTAGGATCAGGAACAAAACCTAAGTCCAGATCTGGGTGAACACCCAGAATTTTGAATGAGAAGATTCTTCTTGTCTCTTACCCTTTATGTTTTTTACTTTGAGTTTTCCCACGATGTAGAAATTAAAATGGGAAATATAACATAACCCTTGACCCACCAGAGCTATGGAATCAGTAGCACGCAAAACCTGCCATCATTCTCTGTCTTCTGCCTGATGTATAATAATTTAGTCCTGTCTTTTTCTTGATATTGTCATTCCAGGTTCTTCTTTGCCCTTGTTTCTGGGACTACCCCCTACTACCCCCATAAAGGGTAAAGAGACAAGAAGAAGAATGCTTCATGTGCATGAACCAAAGTTAGCTTGCAAAGTTTCACCAAATGATACTCTCTCTGCAGTGGTCGGGTGCAATGTATCCATGACAAGCTATGGGAATATGTTAAGACCCCCAATCTCTTCTGCAGTATGACCCTCTTATCTGAAACCTACAAGAACTGTCTTCTAAACAGCCTACTGTGGGAATCGGACACTGGTAAATGTCCAGAAGGATCGCATTGTGAAAACATTTCTCTAAACTGTAACCTAGAGAAGCACAGGGAGATAAACAAGACATGAAAGTGTTACATGTCGTGTATACCCAGCCCTGCAGTTTGGTGCAGAGATCTGAGCAGTTAACAGTTTGTTGTGTGTTTTTGGCAGGAAGTTGCAGAGCCATGTGTGCGTTGCTTTGTGAAAAGTTGACCCTTTATACCAACGCAAGGCTGTCTGCTGCAGCTGGGATCAAAGCCAGACACTTTGAAAATAATGACGCCTGTTTGCAGAGTCCAAGCTACAGACACCAACAGTTACAGGCAACTAGAAAGTCAAATTGAGTCTCAGATGTGGATATACAGAATGGGTCATATTTCATGGAAACAAAAACAGTTGCGTACACGTTTTCAAGCAACTTTGAATGAGTAGGGAGTTACTAAAATAGACAAGTCAAAGTTTTTAGCAGTATTAAAAGATTATTATTAAAAGTCATAATCTTATAATAATGATACTAGGGGTTTTGGTAAGTGAACAAGAGGCAGTTAGTGATACAAGTGAGAGAACACCAAGAGGTGGATGAACAGTATGAGAGAGTACATGCAGAGTGGATGTAAATGCCGCTGCAACTAAACTTCACTATGATGATGGCACCTGATTGGCTGATTGATAATGAAACACTAAAAAATATTAGTAATTCACTGAGAGATTACATTCATGTTTGTGTTTATTTCTGAAGGCGAAACAGAACGAAGAAATAGCCAAGTTGCTGGAGTTGCCAAGTCACACGATTGGCTTGATAGATCCCCACAATTTGGATCAGCTTGACATTTCAAAAATTCTGGCCTGGAATGAAGAGAACTGTGCTGAAGCATCTTGTCCAGAGGCTTGTTTACAAACGGTATGCCTCTGTTTGATGCCTAAGTCTGATGTTCATTTGTTCTGTCTTTTATACCTTTTATAACAGTCATAACCACTATAATTCATAGCTTTCCTGTGGGTTCTGGGGCCCCATTTTACGGGACAATAGCAGCGCAACTATCCGCTAACAAGCATGTTGTGGGAGGTGACAAATTAGGGGTGGTCCCTTTGAAGTTAGAGGCATCTGCCTGAGAGGCGAGGAACCCGCAGTCTGCTTACAAATCAGCCAGATCTGTAAACTGAATATGCACACAAAACTCGAAGTTCTGTTCTGGAGCAGTACCAAAGTCCTAGAGTGGACGAACAACCAGAACTTTCCTCTTGAGTTTACACCTAGTGAATACTAAAAAGAAAAACAAATTGGGGAAATGGACCAAACAGACTGTTCTTACTTAGGGAAAATTATAACGCACCCAGAAGCTTATTGGTACAGTTCACTTCCAAAGCACAGTAACCTGTTTTTATCCTGAAGACTCATTGAAATCCTCACTTGCAAGCAGTAGACCTCGTACACCTTCTCCTCGACTTACGACCATCTGCACTTACGACGACAGAATAAAACAATAAATAAATAAAAATAGTATAAAATGAAAGGTAGGGTCAAAAAAGTTCAAGAAATCGATATGAGTTACATATTGTGTATTTTCATTTTATTGTGTATTTTTCATTCTACTTCATTACTTTGATCCTGGAATGCCTCGCAGCGTCAGGGTAGGAAGAGATCTCTGGAACGGGCCCTTCTGTTCGCTTCGTATCTAGTACTTTTCAGTGTCTTTGATATTTCTGCGGTTCATGTTCTATTCTGGATCTGTTACCATTGTGACTATAACCTTGCTGTCTGTGGTGCACTCACTGTCTAGTGCCAGTTTTGATACTTGACTAAACCACTTGATCTGTTGTCTATCAATGTATTGGTTCTGTGCCGACTTTTCCCCCTGATATCATCGTTCTTAGTCGATCATTCCTTGTTATGCCTATCAGACATTTCATTTATGTTATGACCCTTTTCCTTTTGTTTTCTGAAGACCGTTCATTCATTCATTCACAAAATTTAAAGATTATGTAGTCTTCACATTATGTACAATAATTATACATACATAGATTGAATTTTTGTTTTATGTAAAACTGTTGTAAACTTGTTTGAGTAAATATAATGTTGAAAATATAAATTGGACTTTTGACCAGTTCAACTTACTACCTGTTAATGTAAACGGAACTCAAATCGTAAGCTGCGGAGACCCTGTATTTAGATTGCAAATTGGACACAGTCAAATAAATATATACAAAATATTCAGTGATAATATTGAGGGAGGGAAGGTAAAAATAAATGGGCTCTTTTTGCGCTGGTATCTCATCTGATTTATGATACTAGGTCTCATATTTCTCTGGACCAGTTTGTGCTCGGTGGGCTGTGCGACACTTTGCCAGCTGCCTTTACTTCCCAACACATTACCTAGTACCCATATTAGGCTGGTCAGACCTGGGATTCACTTTTATAAAACAAACCGCCATGATGTGGATGCAAACCCAAGATTTTTGGGCCAGCAGGCAAGCATCTATCACTACGCCACCACGGCTTCATTGAGTATAAAAAGTTTTTCTGAACTAATTTATTTTTGAATATGTGTATCGTGCAGGTCCAAGCACATTTGCAACAACAGCAGCAGCAGCAAAGCCAACTGCAGAGAACTGCACCTCCACCTCCACCCTTGACAGCCGCTGTGGTACCAACTTCACCAGGTGTTAGCCCTGTGGCAGATACTCGCGGTGGGGGCGGCGGTGGCGGCAAAATTTTGGGAGGCAAAAGAAATGGATCCAACAAGCAGGTGCGAACCTCCAAGAACTCCCAGCCTTTGCAGCAGTCGCCACCGCCTCCTCCTCCACCACCACCTCCGTTATCTGTTCATTCGCCGAAGGGATCACCTATGCTTCCACTGGTCTCTCAGCAGCCGACCCTCGCCCAGAATCAGCCAATTGTGTTTCATACCGACCATAATGGAGGTAACTGGATGTTGTAAATGCTTTTGAGTAAAATGTCTGTCACAGGTTTGGTCCTTGTACTCATCATGCAGGCACAAACATGAGACATGCAGTAAATGTCTTTTACAGACTTCGTCCATGTACTCGTGTAGGGACAAACATGAGACATGCAGTAAATGTCTGTGTCACAGGCTTGGTCCATGTGCTTATGCAGGGACAAACATGCAGTAAATGTCTATGTCACAGGCTTGGTCCATGTACTCTTGCAGGGACAAACATGAGACATGCAGTAAATGTCTGTGTCACAGGCTTGGTCCATGTACTCATGCAGGGACAAACATGCAGTAAATATCTTTCACAGACTTGGTCCACGTACTCATGCAGGGACAAACATGCAGTAAATATCTTTCACAGACTTGGTCCATGTACTCATGCAGGGACAAACATGCAGTAAATATCTTTCACAGGCTTGGTCCATGTACTCATGCAGGGACAAACATGAGACATGCAGTAAATGTCTGTGTCACAGGCTTGGTCCATGTACTCATGCAGGGACAAACATGCAGTAAATATCTTTCACAGACTTGGTCCACGTACTCATGCAGGGACAAACATGCAGTAAATATCTTTCACAGGCTTGGTCCATGTACTCATGCAGGGACAAACATGAGACATGCAGTAAATCTACTTGCTAGTGAAACACATTTATATCTAATGCCAGTATAAGCATGATATTTAAAGTAAAAGTCTTATCACCACTCACACATTCATTTAAAACAAATCTGTAGTATGGCATACACAGTAAACTGTTTTTATCTATCATCACATCATTTCTCTCTCTCTCTCTCTCTCTCTCTCTCTCTCTCTCTCTCTCTCTCTCTCTCTCTCTCTCTCTCTCTCTCTCTCTCTCTCTCTCTCTCTCTCTCTCTCTCTCTCTCTCTCTCTCTCTCTCCCCCTCTCTCCCTCCCTCCCTCCCTCCCTCCCTCCCTCCCCCCCTTCCTCCCTCCCCCCCCCCCCCCTTTCCCTCTCCCTCTCTCTCTCAGATGGTCAAGTGGTTGGCTTTCCTCAGCCATCTCATCTCACATTTAATAATTGTATGTGCATAAGCCTTTGATAATGTCCAGGTTTGGTCTGTCAGTGGTAGAAATTGCGGGGAAGGTATGAGGATGATTGGGGTTACTGACAACACCCTCCCCTCCCCACATACATGCACACATGTTACCTAGAAAGTATTACAACATGCTTGTAAAGAGGCAGTACATCTTGTCTTTTTTCTCTTAAAACGAATCTTTTGGAACCCACACTGGGGGTGCTTGATGTGTCTGACATTGTTTGTCTGTCTGTTCCCAGTGTCCCAGTCAGTGGATTCCTCGCAGATCCTGGCTCTGAACTCAGCCTCCCAGGTAATGCTGGACCCGCTGCAGTGCCAGCAGCATCAGTCCCTGGCCCAGCAGGTGCACCTGCAGCAACAGCAGCAGCAGATGTTAACGGCCCAACAGCAGATGTTAGCCTACCCTCAGCTAATACCCCAGCAGCAGCAGGACCAACTGCTGCACCAGATGCTGAACCAGTCTAATCTTCAGCATCAACTACAGTTGCAACAGGTTAGTCGAACAGTGATCTGTTTTTTTTTAACATTGTGAAATATCTTTTTTGTGCCTGTTAACAGCAAAGATGCAATACTTGCGACTTTTGGCTGACACATCCGACTTAATTGAGCATTTGTCGACTTTCCTGATAGTTTCATGGGCCGTGACATAGTCTTATTTGTGTGGTGATATTCCCTTATCTATAAGTGTCTCTCTTGGAGAACCAATTCAGGGCATCCACGTGTAGACTGGTTGGCCCTTAAGGGCATTCCTTGCCATCCAAGAAGCCTTCCATAAATGCAGAGCCGACACATGAAAATCCTGTCCTGGGCTCACCCAGGGATTTGTCTCATCCTGCACATGAACGTGTATCCTGTGTTGGCCCACTTGTCACAGGGGGTATTCTTCCACATCATGACAGTTTGTTTTATAAAAGTGACTCCCAGGTCTAACCAGCCTAATATGGGTACCAGGTAATGTGCTGGGAAGTAAAGGCAGCTGGCAAAGTGCTGACCACACAGCCCAGTGAGTGCAAGCCAGAGAAACATGAGACTGGTATCATACACCAGATGAGATACCAGCGCAAAAAGAGCCCATTTATTTTTACCTCCCCTCCCTCAATATCATCATTGAATATTTTGTATATATTTATTTGACTGTGTCCAGTTTGCAATCTAAATACAGGGTCTCTACTGCTTACGACTGAGTTCAGTTTAGGTTAACAGGTCGTAAGTTGAGCTGGTCATAAGTCCAATTGATATTTTCAACATTATATTTACTCAAACAAGTTTACAATAGGTATTCTTTTTCAACATGTTAGACACCTTTAACGTTGTTACATCTGGACACTTATTATGACAGTATGGGACAAGCAAGCAGTTTAAAAAAAAGTAACATTTTACAGCATGCACCCCCAACCACAAAGGGGCACTTTAAAATAATGGATCCCTTTGACCCCAGTTCTGCACCAGGCACATATTTCTGTAAACTGTTGATGCATGGCAAGCTAGATGTTGTCAACACCTCTTTTGGTAGCAAGCAAGCAGTCAATGCAGAGCACAGTGAGAATGGGGAGTGGGGAGTGACCAAGGGAGTGCTCCATGCTCAGAGGAAAGGGAAAGATGGACATACAAAACCATCCTGGTTGGTAGTCTTCCCTGGCTGTTTTCCCCCCCCCCTTTTTTTTTTAATTATGGTCCCCCCCCCCCCCCCCCCCCCCCCCCCCCCCCCCCCAGAATAGTTGACTTTTGGCCAACAATATGCTATCAGTGCCAAACGTACACTTACACCCTCCAATGAACTTAAAATTGTGACAACAGAGATGAATCGCCTTAGAAGAGCTGCAGGAGTTTCAAGGAAAGACAGAATACAAAATCAGACGAATGCTAGAAATAAAGCCAGTCTTACTGGTCATACAAAAACAACAAATGAAGTGGTTTGGACACCTAACAAGAATGCCCTAGTACTATCTGCCACAGCGAGCCACACTAAAATGAAGTAGAGCGAGTGGAAGACCTAGGAAAATATGCAGTGATGGCATTAAGAACAACCTTACAAAAATGAACATCAATCTTAATAGTGCTCTTGCCAGAGCTCATCAATGAATGTTACATCTCCCCTGACACTTCGATGAGTTACAAGGCAGAAAACAAGAAGAAGAAACATTAGACTTACAATGGGTGATGTGGTCAACAGCTTTGTAAAGTGTAGTAACTGTGAAAACTATATTTCTAGGTACAGTGTGGTCAGCAGTTTCTACAGGGAGTGGCCAGCACTCAGGTGACCGCTGCGCACACAGCACAGTTGTCTCAGCAGTTGCTGCAGCAACAACTAAAGCCACCATCGACGTCCGGCACCTACAGCACACCACCTGTAAACAAATCTCAGGTAGAGTGATCTCCCTTCGTTGGCACTGTTCAACATGCTCTCTCCTTGTTGACACTATCATCATGTTCTCTCCTTGTTGACACTATTAAGTTCTTCCTTTGTTGACACTATCATGTTCTTCCCTTTGTTGACACTATCATCATGTTCTTCCTTTGTTGACACTATCATCAGGTTCTTCCTTTGTTGACACTATCATCAGGTTCTTCCTTTGTTGACACTATCATCATGTTCTTCCTTTGTTGACACTATCTTGTTCTTCCTTTGTTGACACTATATCATCATGTTCTTCCCTTTTTGATATCATGTTCTTCCTTTGTTGACACTATAATCATGTTCTTCCTTTGTTCACACTATAATCATGTTCTTCCTTTGTTCGCACTAACATCATGTTCTTCCTTTGTTGACATTGTATCATCATCATCTCCTCTTGTTTACACTATCATGTTCTTTCCTTGTTGACACTATCATCATGTTCTTTCCTGGTTAACACTTGTCATGTTCTTGTTGACACTATCGACATGTTCTTTCTTTGTTGACACTATCATCTCTTCCTCTGTTGATACTATCATCATGTTCTCACCTTGTTGACACTATTATTATGTTCTTCCTTTGTTGACACTATCATCATGTTCTCCCCTTGTTGGCACTATCATCATGTTCTCCTATTTACACTGTCATCATGTTCTCCACCCTCAGCATAGCTTTGAACAAATCTATGGTTGAGTGTTCTCTCCTTTTACACTATGTCGCACCTGTACTGAAAACAATCACAATGCAAATACATCATTTATATAAGCGATAAAGGAAAAGAAGGAAATGGATCTAGTAATTCTGCTGTTTATCACAAGAACCACTGCAGATCCTACTGTTGTAGTTCAGGCCCTGATGGAGCTGAAATGTTTATCAAATATGACCTTGGCTCCCAGGTTGACCCAGCCTTAAATGGCTACTAAATAAAGTTTCCCGGGAAGTGAAGAGGGCCGGCCTGATGTTTACTACATCACCCGCAGAATAGCAAATAAGATATAGGTCTAGCACTATAAGCTCCATACGTCTAAAGGTGGGCAAAAGGTCCATTTACTTGACTATAAGCTCCATACGTCTAAAGGTGGGGAAAAGGGTCCTTTACTTGACTATAAGCTCCATACGTCTAAAGGTGGGGAAAAGGTCCCTTTACTTGACTATAAGCTCCATACGTCTAAAGGTGGGGAAAAGGTCCCTTTACTTGACTATAAGCTCCATACATCTAAAGGTGGGGAAAAGGTCCCTTTACTTGACTATAAGCTCCATACGTCTAAAGGTGGGGAAAAGGTCCCTTTACTTGACTATAAGTTTCATACGTCTAAAGGTGGGGAAAAGGGTTCTTCACTTGACTATAAGCTCCATACATCTAAAGGCAGGAAGAAGGTCCCTTTACTTGACTATAAGCTCCATACGTCTAAAAGTGGGGAAAAGGTCCCTTTACTTGACTATAAGCTCCATACATCTAAAGATGTGGAAAAGGTCCCTTTACTTGACTATAAGCTCCATACGTCTAAAGATGTGGAAAAGGTCCCTTTACTTGACTATAAGTTCCATACGTCTAAAGGTGGGGAAAAGGTCCCTTGACTTTAAGTTCCATACGTCTAAAGGTGCGGAAAAGGTCCCTTGACTATAAGCTCCATACGTCTAAAGATGTGGAAAAGGTCCCTTGACTATAAGCTCCATACGTCTAAAGATGTGGAAAAGGTCCCTTTACTTGACTATAAGCTCCATACGTCTAAAGATGTGGAAAAGGTCCCTTTACTTGACTATAAGCTCCATACGTCTAAAGGTGGGGAAAAGGTCCCTTTACTTGACTATAAGCTCCATACGTCTAAAGGTGGGGAAAAGGGTTCTTTACTTTATCACTTTTGGTTTCATATGGTTTTACAGTGTGGTCTTAAAGATTGACAATTCATATTCACACACACAAGTGAAAACAGCTTGTAGGTATTGGCACACCTGAAGTTATTTACATCTGTCAGGTCCGCAAACAGCAAAGAGTGGCACAGACAGCCCAGCAGACTGTGATCCAACAAAATGCTATCGTCAACGTGGACGGGAGCTACCCTTCGCCAGGCATCCTGGGCACGGCCATGAACTCTCTCTATTCATCTGTGGATGTGGATTCTCAGACGGAGAGCAACCATGATACGGCTCTGACGCTGGCTTGTGCTGGTGGCCATGCCGAGCTGGTCACTCTGCTGCTGGCCAAGGGAGCGGATATAGAGCACAGGGATAAGAAGGGTGAGTGCTTGTGGTTCAAGTTACAATAGGCCTTAAATCAGTGGCTCTAAGCTTTCCTTATCCCACGCACAACCCTTTACCATATTTTCACTGCTACTTCATTACTTCAATGAATGTGTTTGGCGACCCCCATGAAAGGGTAATTTGACCCCCAAAAAAGGGACTGCGACCAGCAGGTTGTGAACCACTGCCTTAAATTACTACTTTTCTCAAGCAATGTTTACTGATTGAAAAATCATCATAGCATGCCTATAGATACTGTGTGTCTCCCAGCAAATGTCCTTATGTGTAGATGTTAACTGTTCCAGCACCACACTGGCTGTACACGTGCCCTGCCAACTGGCGTAGGCGCTCATGCGTCTCCACAGATCACGGCCCCTGGTTGTGTTGAACAGGACTCTTGATAATATCCCTCCATGCCATCGTTTCAGCCCATCCAGCACCATCTCTCTTAATCTGCCTCTACCCCTTTTCGCACTGATCTTTCCAGTTGTCACGATATTCTCGAATGTCTCTCTTCTCAATATTTTGCCAAAGAACAGTGTTTGTCTCTTTTTTTATTGTTGTATATAGTGATCTACTTTTATTAGCTTCTTTCAAGCAATCGTTGTTAGTTACTCTGGCCGTTGAAGGTATTCGTCTCAGAAACCACATCTCTGTTGCTTCTACAGGCTGTACACACATTACATTTTAATCTCATAATCCTTTCTTGCTGAATCTACACTTAATTCCATATTCACACATTCTTATCCATTATTTAATCTAATATAGAATCTTCAAACAACCCAAGTTTATCTCAGATATCCCCCTACGCCTCAGTGATTGAAGCTACAGCATGGTCAGCCAATACAAGTGTGTTTTATATGCCCCAGGCGGATATTCTATTTAATGCTTCACCCTGTTTGTGTTTATAAATTACTGCTTTCATATATTTCAAAACATAATTTTAAAATCTAAATAAATCAATTTAATATATTTTTGAGTGAAAATTATTGTTTTTAAATATTTTTTTCTGGTATTGACTGGGGTCAGGGCTTTAAAAAAAATGTTCCAGGGGTGAAAGGGTTAAGAATCAACCCAGCATACTAGTCATGCCCCATAAGTGCTCCGTCTTGTACAGTAAATATCTTCCTGTGTAGATGCTGACTGTCCAGTAGCACACATTTCTACATATGTCACTTTCTTTCTGTTGTATATTTCTTGCTGGATCACACTCAATTTCAAAATGACACATTCGTTTGCAGGTTATTTCATCAACCCTTTTATCTTCCATATCTTTCCTTAACCTATAAAGAGAACAATCATTCTACTGACATGGACTTATCTCGGTCATAAATCCTGGCTGTGATGCTTTGAATGGTCCATGTGTCTGCTGATGCCACGCAGAGTTTGTGAATAACTATTAGAGAGAAATCATCTTCATAAGTTTCCAGCAGAACAGATGATGAGCAAATTGACACTTGTGGATGGGTACTCTTGGAAAGAAATCAGGATGTGGCGATTCCTTGGGTGAGCTTAGGACCGGAGCGTTATGTGTCAACCGGGCATTTATGGAAGCCTCCTTACCAGACTACATACGATTGTCCTGGACTGGCTTTCAAGGGGCAACACCTGACATTAAGGGGACAAAGCGAGCACGACAGAAAAAGGCCTGTGTCACTATCCCACGAAACTCTCCAGGAAGTTAACACGGTCTGCAAATGCTCGTTGAAGATTGATGTGTCAACTGAAAGATGTTAACATCGCAGCTTTGCTGTAAACAGGCAGAACATAATTACGTCACTCAGACAAATGATAAAAAGAAGAAGAAGAAACAAGCTGGGAGACTCAAGGGCACATTAGACGACATGAAACTCAAAAGGAATAGTTAGCATAATGTGACTTCCAGGTGATGTCTATGTCTCGCTGCAGAAACAAGTGTGCTTTGGCACACGGCCAACTCGACATCCCACCAGGTTGGCAACCTGTATATTTCTATGCAACAGAATGCTGAAATAGTTGCTCGATATCCCGGTATGTTTGCATTCAGCTGTTTCTGTGATCATTTTATTTCTGTAATATTTGTATACAGCTGTCTGATTATGTAAATGTTTCTGCAGGATTCACACCACTGATCCTTGCTGCTACGGCAGGCCATGTTGATGTGGTGGAGATCCTCCTAGACCATAATGCTGATATTGAGGCTCAGTCAGAACGGACCAAAGATACTCCTCTGTCCCTGGCCTGCTCTGGCGGTAGATATGAGGTATGGTCAGTGTGTTTTTGCTGTATACATTGTTTTTATTAGTTCAGATCTTTTGGGACCAGGTAAGGTTATGGGTTTTCTGTTGGTGGCAACAAAATGTAATAAAATCCCATCCTTCAAATTCTGGGGACCAGTATACAAGCCATATGGCTCTAACTCCTTAAACTCCAGGGCCGTATTGTGGGGAGGACAAGAATAGACCAACTGCTTCCCCGATAAAGCATGTTTTAGTGATGACTAATTGGTGGCATCTTCCAGGGAGGCAAGGAACCAAGAGTCTGCATACAAAAAAGCCAGAGATCTGTAAAACTCAGGTTTTTTTTTAACGACAAGTTCAGAGGTGGATGAACAACCAGAATTTTCTGCTGGAGTTTACAGCCAGTGAACGTGAAGAAGAAGACTCCACCTCCCGGCCTACACCACAAAAGTGTTAAAAACAGTTAACAGTTTTACCATTTTATGGACAGACCAGAGCAAGTCATTATCCTTCGCCTTAGAACAGGGCACAATCGACTTCGCTCCCACATGTACAACAAATTTAAGATTGGCCAATCAGCCATGTGTACTTGTGGACTGGCACCTGAAACAACAGATCACATCCTTCAAGACTGTCCCAGATTCAACGCTTTCAGGCAAAACCTTTGGCCAAAAGAGACACTTGTGGAAGTCAAACTTTACGGGCCGCTTAGTGAATTACAAAAGACAGTGAAATTCATACTAGAGACAGCTTTGCAGATATAGACAATTTATTTCATGCGATCGAAAGAAGAGAAGAAGAAGTTAACAGTTGTTGTTTTAGCAATCTTTTGGCAGATGTTGTTAAGATATGAACTTTTAATGTGGATCCTAGAACTTGTATAAGGTCAAGTAGAATAGTTAAACAGTGAAGATCTAGTTCATACTAGAGGCAACATTGCAGATATAGATAGTCTATTTCAAGTGAACGAAAGAAAAAGAACTTAAGTTTTAAATTAGCATAGCTGAATGGTTAGGTTAGGGTGTAAATCTCAGGTCAGAGGTACCAGGTTTGGATCTCAGTATGTTTGCATACTTACCTTATGAGATGGCACAGTAGACCTGTCTTTGTGTTGGCTTCCATAGCAGGGCACTGTGTGTGATCAGCTCTTCTCTATATATATGTATGTACAATGTTTTTTGTTGTTGTTGTTTTCTGTCCGAGCCAGCAACAGAAATTAGGTTATATATTTTTTGATCAAGCAACAGATCATGTTGCATCAGTGAATATGAAAATAAAAGTCTCTTGACTATGTCTTTGCAGTTTGTGTTCTTTTTGGTATCTGTTGTGAAATCTACTTGAAGCAGAATTGTTGTTTCTTCTCTATTCATCTTAGAAGGTAGGTTGTTATATTGTGTTGTGTTTTACAGCTAGGCTGTGATATTTGTCTTATATATGCAGGTTGATCTGCATAGGGTTGGATGTGCAGCGAATGAAATCACTAGTGACAGTCTACAATAACTTGGACCTATAGTCGGCTTGTGAACCCTGTTCCTTTATGTTAATGTGTAAGCCTGACCGTGGTACCTAGCAAAGGATGAAAAGATATATTGGGCATACATTTGCTACCATCTCCCCCCACAGGTTGTAGAGTTGCTGTTGAATAGAGGTGCAAACAAAGAGCACCGCAATGTCTCCGACTACACACCGCTCAGCCTGGCAGCCTCTGGGGGGTACGTCAACATCATCAGGCTGCTTCTCAACCACAATGCTGAAATCAATTCCAGGTAAACCCACATGTCTGTGCCATCAGAATGTTCAGTCTGCTAGAGATTTTCATTACTTCTTTTGATTGGGGGGGGGGGGGGGGGGTATTTTTGCTTCTTTTCTCAACATATTTCTTCTTCTGTGCTCTTAAAGTGTGGGAGATATATTGTGGTTTACAACTAGACTCATATCTGCACCTTTTAGCTTCTTCTGCTTTTTGCATGTGCCCTCAAATGGGCAGTTTTGTGTTGCGTTTTACACTTTGGCTGCAGTATCTGCACCTTTGATCCTAGTTGTGATCATGTTTTATTATGTGCTTGTGGTGTGCTTTTATTTGTACATTAACTCCTGTTGTTTTTATTTCAGATAGTTGTTACATTAACCTATGTTCCTTTATCTCTTATAGTTGTTGGTGGGGTGGTGATATCGATAATGGGCGCAAGAAAAGGTTAAGGTCATTGGGATGTGTTTAAAGAGTTACTTGTTGGGATATGTATAAGGAGTTACCCCTTTGGGATGTGTATAAGGAGTTACTCCTTACCTCACCTCAGTGCCACCTGTCTACATGTACATGCCCTGGATAGGGTCTACAGCTTTTGCCTGGTAGACAAGGGGACAAAGAAAAAAAACACACAAATAAGGCAACAACATGCTCCTGTCCCACAAACCTATCCAGGAAGTTATGCTCAACAAATGCTCGATAAAGTGGGATGTGTCGGCTAAAAGGCACAGATATCGCAACAAGCACAACGCATTCACGTCACTTAGACAACAAAAATAAGAGGATATAGTTGTTATATTACCTCCCTAATCTGAATTGTTTTTCTTTTTCTATCCATGTTATTGACTTGTTTTGAATCAGACTCAAACATTAGATGTGTTGAACTAGAACTTCACCAACTAGTATATAGAATCAATTTTCCTAGTTGAAGGTCTACCTCAAGTACTCATCTTTCTTATCCCTGTGTTAGGAAATACGGAAGATACGATGTTAAGATTGAATAGTGTGTGAATTAAGAATAAAGTATAGATCGACATGAAAGAACATATGAAATGAGTGTGCCATGTGCACAACCAATGTGCTAATGAAATAGATAAGTAATTGATAGGCTGGCACCGACAGAATTGAATATTTCAATATTTCTGATGGAAACAGGACGGGCAGTAAGCTGGGCATATCCCCCCTGATGCTGGCGGCCATGAACGGACACACAGCAGCCGTGAAGCTTCTCCTGGACCAAGGCAGTGACATCAATGCCCAGATTGAGACCAACCGCAATACAGCCTTGACCCTGGCCTGCTTCCAGGGCCGGCATGAGGTCGTCAGCCTGCTGGTTGATCGTAAAGCCAACATTGAACATCGAGCTAAGGTATGTTATTCTTTTCCTTACCTCTGTATTGCAGTCTCCTGAGGAGTGGCTGGACAAGGGGTTAGAACTGTAGGCTTTCATGAGGGAAAGCCAGGTTGAAAACCTCACTAAGGCAACGGTAAGAAGAAGATGGCTAGCATTTATGGATTTTAGCAGCTGAAGCCTCTTTCATTCATTTCTCACTTTGACTTGAGGCAAGCTGAAGCCTCCTTCATTCATTTCTCACTTTGACTTGAGGCAAGCTGAAGCCTCCTTCATTCATTTCTCACTTTGACTTGATGCAAGCTGAAGCCTTCTTCATTCATTTCTCACTTTGAGACTTGAAGCAAGCTAAAGCCTCCTTCATTCATTTCTCACTTTTACTTGAGCCAAGCTGAAGCCTCTTTCATTCATTTCTCACTTTGACTTGAGGCAAGCTGAAGCCTCCTTCATTCATATCTCACTTTGACTTAAGGCAAGCTGAAGCCTCCTTCATCCATTTCTCACTTTGACTTGAGGGAAGCTGAAGCCTCCTTCATTCATTTCTCACTTTGACTTGATGCAAGCTGAAGCCTCCTTCATTTATATCCCACTTTGACTTGAGGCTGAGGCACTTTGTGAGACTGAAGAGGTGTCCTTGTCGGCATATTTTCTCCTCTACTTGCTGAAGTAGTTTAAAGTCATTGACAAACTAATATGCCGATTTTTGCAGGTTTTACGGTGTTATTATTATTGATGTATATCATTGGCATTTTTTTTTTTCATTGTTCCATATGAAAGTGGTATGTTTTTTATAGTGAGGCATTAGAATCGCAGCCAGTTAAGGCCAGGATGTCCTTCTTCCTTTTCTTTGCTCAAAATCTTGGTAGTCTTGTAGAGACTATGTTTTACCCATCATCCCACCTCATCTTGCCTTGTTTACTGCAAAGGTAAGGTAACTCCAGTATGTTTAGAATAAAGCCTGAATCAAAAGCTGCCGGATCCTAAGAGCTGTGCTTTATCTTTCTACCGCCTATAAGACCACCCTCTGCATGAAGCTCTGGGTGCAGTTAAGGGTCAGCGGCTGATAAGAGGGAGGTCATGGATGGCTCAGGCAGAAGACACAATCAAACAGGTTTGCATCCTTGAGAACATTAGGCGAGGAGAGGAGTGGGTCAAAGTGTCACCTGAGCAGACAGACTTGTGTAGAGTCATAATCACGCTGAGCCGGGAATGCAGAGACTGGCCAGCAGGTGCCACAGAGGTGGAAATTCAGCAATTAATTCAAGATAATGCTCGCTTAGCGGATTTGATCATTTACACAGACGGTTCAGTGTCAAGAGGCTAAAGAAGTGCTTGGGGCTTTTTAGCAAAAGTTAATAGTCGACGTTTGGTGCAGGAGAGCCTAGCATATAATACCACAACATCCGGCTTAAGATTGGAGGTGGAGGCGGTCACTGCAGCTTTCCGCTGGCTAAAGAACACGACACACACACACACATTGTATTTGTAACTGATTCAGAAAGCATGCTGAGGAAGATCAGAACAGGTATGCTTCGTGCAGAGTGGCATGCTTCGCTGCGGAGGACACGAGTGAGGAATATTGTCTGGATTTTTTCACCAGCTCACGCTGGTGGGTCGGGAAATGAACAGGCGGACAGACTTGCTGGCTCTGCACAACTTGATGGAATACTGCTACATGATAGGACAGACGTGGTTAGTGCCTTGTGGGAGAGCGTGTACAATGCGGAGGAGCAGATGGATCACCACAGTCTGGTGAGATTGATGCAGTTGGGGTCGACAAGAGGTTCTGGCAGAAGCTTAAGGCTCAGAGGAAAGGCAAGACGGACGTTTAATCAGAAAGCTACTGGCATCATTAGTATCAGAACTCTTCGCTGGTTGCTGAAGATGGGGACGGAGCGCTTATGGGAATAGCCCGAGTGCTGTGATGACGGTTCTTGAATCAAATCAAATCAATCAATCAAACCACCTATCAGAGCTTTCCTCCTAGACAAACTGCTCTGCCCTGACATTACATTCAGTTTTTATTTTTCATTTCCTTTTCCTAGGATAAGGCTAGTATTCACTCCAGTGTGCTTCTCTGCCTGAAGCTGTTGGCTCATCGTGGGTTGTCAGGTTTGGTATTCATTGCCCAACATTCAGTGTTACTACTTTCTGAATCAATCTTCTTCTACCAGAGAGATCGCCAAACTTCTCTACCACCAGTTTTCTTTTTAGCTGTTTTCCATTCCAGACCTCGGTCAGGCAGGGATTGTCGATGTAGTCTTCCCAGCAAACCCTGGGTCACCCTGGTGGTCTGGTTCCTTGGTAGTATTACTAGAGAGCATGTAATGTTGGCTACTGTTATAAGACAGCTCAGTGATATCTTACCAAGACCTGACTCCCTCATGTTTTACATCAGTTGAGAAAAGAACCCTGTTTACTTAGCATGTGATGCTAAGTTCCATATTTTTATAGACCAGTTAGTCCTTGGTTGGTGATGTCAACATCACGCTGACTGCCTTTACTCCCTAGGACTTTGTTCTTCTGCCTTCTATTCCCCATTGGAGCATAGATGCTTAACCAACTCATGCCAAGTTGTTCTATCCTCTGCTAATGCAGATTTCCTTGTCCTCCCATCTTTTTAACTTGGTCTGCCTTTATTTCTATGCCCTTGTGGGTTCCAGTGCAAAGACATTCTAGTTATATCGTTCTCAGGTTTTCTCAGCATGTGTCCTATCCAACACTAGCATTGTTTCTTCACCTCTTGGTCCACTGGAACTTGATTAGTTCTCTCTCAGTGCTCACCATTAATGATTCTATCATACCATTTAATTCCCCCTATTCTGCCACCTTTTTCCCATATTAGGATAGGTCGAATGGTTATTCAGTAACTACAAATGAAACTCCAGCATAATTCTACCATTTAACACAAGCATGACTAACCTGTGTTCTCAGACTGGCCTGACTCCATTGATGGAAGCTGCTTCAGGAGGCTATGTGGAAGTTGGCCGAGTTCTCTTGGACAAAGGAGCAGACGTGAATGCTCCCCCCGTGCCATCTTCCAGGGACACTGCCCTGACAATTGCTGCTGACAAGGGACACTACCGATTTGTGGAGCTACTTCTGCATCGGTATGTAGATGTGACGTGCAAGTTTTCTCTTTAGTTATGTTGGAATACATTTTATAGAGGCTGCAGAAGTGTTTAAGAAGTATGAGAAAAGATAAAACTGGTGACTTGGTATTCCAGGAAATTATCCCACAAGGGATTAGCTACTTGCATTAAGAGCACATCCTGTGGGCACATTAACTCTTTGAGTGTAAGGGTACTGGTTACTTGCATCAAGAGGACCTCATTCTTTGGGCACATTAACTCTTTGAATACCAGGGGACTGGTTACTTGCATCAAGAGGACCTCATTCTTTGGGCACATTAACTCTTTGAATACCAGGGGACTGGTTACTTGCATCAAGAGGACCTCATTCTTTGGGCACATTAACTCTTTGAATACCAGGGGACTGGTTACTTGCATCAAGAGGACCTCATTCTTTGGGGCATTACCTCTTTGAGTACCAGGGGACTGATTACTTGCATCGATGACCTCATTCTGTGGGCACATTAAAAGAGGGAACTGGAGTACATTACGACTGCAGGAGATTTAGAGAGGAAGAGAGAGACAGGGAAAGACCAAAAGAGATGTTAGTTTAGATGCCTGGCATTCAGGAACACCTGCATCAGAACCGGTAGGCAATATTACATGACAGTGCCAGGGAACAGATTTGATACTAACACTACATGGACTGTGGGAAGAAAACAAATGTTGAAGAAGTTGCCAGGTTCTACAGGCTGTTTATGCAGTAGTTCAAAGCATTTCAGAATTTGTTATCCAACTTTATCCTCACACCACTTTGAACCTGCTGACATGCGTGAAGACTCTCTGAGATACTGTCGAAGAATATGGGTGCTTCAGTTTGACAAATCTATTGATCACACACACACACCTCTGCTGTGCTCCAGTGAGAGAGAAAGGGTTAGAAAAAGCTACAGTGTTGGGAGTCTTGCTTCTAAAAAAATTTATGATAAAAAAAAAGTTAATGTATAAAATAATGAACCACATGCAGAAAAGTGGATAATTATTAGTTTCACCAGCCAGTTGGTTACCCACACATCTTGTCTTCTACCATGCTGCTTCCAGTAGGAGCCAAATTGGATTTCTAATTTAGTTGCAGTCTCAGTATTAGGACTGAATCCAGTCATTCAGTTCATTAAAGAGCAACAGGTGAGATGGTTTGGCCATCTGACGAGATTGTCTTGGTACCATATGCCACCAATAGCCACACTGAGGAAATGTACTGAACAGAGAATAAATACAAGATTATGGAAAAGATGAAAGGGCGGCATCAAGAACAGACAAGAAGTAAAGGTCAGCTTAGGCAGCGTATTAGGAAGAACACATTCCTCCCCCAATACTTCAGTGACAGTAGCTGGAGAAAGGGGATCAGCAGCAGCCATGATAGATGGTCAGCTGAAAGCCTCTACTCCAGTTAGGGATAATGATTACGAGAAGAATACAGTGTTGAAGACTCGCATGCTACTTTTAATAAAAACAAGAAAAGTGAACAGAAATCTCCAGATGATCAACCTAAATAAAGAATTATTTTGTTACACAGAGGTGCTGCCGTAGATGTGAAAAATAAGAAAGGAAACTCTCCACTCTGGCTTGCATGCAATGGTAAGTGAAAGAGTTATGTTGTGTCTTCATGCATTGACATCTACGTTTTGATTACTTCCCTTCTGCATCAGTCCTCCGATGCAGCTGCTTCTCCAAGGTGCACCTGTACTGCTTGTTTCCATGAGAAGTTGATGAAAATGTCTACTATCTTACTTCATAGAAGTAGGTGATAGGCTTCATTCAGAGGTCATGTAGTGGTGTTAGCACCTGAGATTCAACATTGTCCACCAGCCTAGTCCTGGATGGCTGAGATTTGTTTGATGTAGAGATGTATCCACTTTACCAACTCGTGGCGCACTTTTATAATCTTGCATATTTTTTTTTTCTAAACAAACACAACTAGGATGGTTTATTGCTTTGTATTTCTCTCTTGTAAATTCCTGTCAGCGTTGTAAGATCCAGACAGCGGAGCATAGAGATGAGAAAGAACATCATCATTCACCATCTGTGTAAATCATCACTAATTACTGGCATCATGAAGGCTGATAGACCTTCTTGATAGGAGTGCATCTGCCTGAGAGACAAGGAACCAACAAACTGCATACAGATAAGACAGGACTGTAAAATGGATGTGCATGTTAAGTCAGATTTTAGAACAAGACCAAAGTCCAAAGGTGGGCGAACAACCACTTTTTACACAGCTCCTGAATCTCTAGATTATTGGATCTGTTGTCTCTTGGTGTAGTTTAGCACTGCTTTGTCCCAGTCTCTCTCTCTCTCTCTCTGTCTCTCTCTCTGTCTCTCTCTCTGTCTCTCTCTCTCTCTCTCTCTCTCTCTCTCTCTCTCTCTCTCTCTCTCTCTCTCTCTCTCTCTCTCTCTCTCTCTGTGTGAGAGAGAGAGAGAGCTAGCTAGCTAGCTTGTCACTGCTGAAATATGACTAGATGAGACCCTAAGTTATATAAAGCCCTGAGGCCCCTGCTGTTTTTAAATTACACCAGCCAATCTCAGAGATCTTTAAAATATGAACGCCTTTTAAATACATGGGTAATGGAAATATACTGAAGTTATAGTTTTTATTACAAAAAATAATAAAGAATGTATTAGTAAAACCACAAATTATATTACATAATACTATAAGACTCTTAAGTTACAACTTAAGACATTTGTTTTTTTGATTTCCCAAATGTGCACACACACCCACACGTCATCACATTGCATCATTAGTTTTCTTCACACCTGTTTTGCTTGGACAGGTGGACACAGCGATGTTGTCTCCCTGTTGGTCCAGGCGGAAGCTGACATTGACAGTCAGGACAATCGTAAGGTCTCCTGCCTGATGGCTGCCTTCCGCCGCGGACACATCAAAGTGGTCAAGTGGATGGTCAAGAAGGTCACCCAGTTCCCCTCGGAAAATGAAATTAAGAGATACATTGCCACAATCACTGACAAGGTTGGTTTTGTTTTCTGACACATGCTGTTCTTTGTTTGTGTTTCTTTTATCATGACAAATGAGAATTGGCAGTCATTGGGAAGATTGATAGAAGGACAAAATTGCAAGTGGAATATTTAGGTCAAACACTATGTATCAAGTACACCAGGAAAAGTATCTCTTATATTATTTTAAAATGTAATTTAAGTATTGTAAAAGGGAGTTGGTTTGGTCCCAGTGGATCAAAAGATGAGGAAAAGACGCTGGTGTTGGATAGGACACACACTGAGAAAACAGAACAGCATAACTAGAATGTCTTTGCATTGGAACCCACAGGGGCATAGGAATAAAGGAAGGCCAAAAAACACATGGAGAAGAGAGCTGGAGAATGAAGTTAATAACTTAAAAGTGAAAGCATACAGAATGTTGCAGTTAGACAGCCTTCATTAGCATGTAAAATAAAAAATATGAGTGAATCTGCAATAACTTGAAAGGGAAATAATAAGAGCGTACATAATCACAGATATTCAAATGAACGTTGCAGTTAGCCAGCCTTCATCAGCATGTAGAAACAAAAAGACGAAGAGCTAATGATCGTTGGAGTTGCACAACTTCCATCAGCATGTAGAAACAAAAATGAAGATGGCTAATGAACATTTGAGACAGCCTTCATCAGCATATTCTATTTTTAAAAAAAAAACAGATGCTAATACAGCAGTGTATTTGAATAAAGAACTTAAAAAAAAAATCAAGTAACTTTTTTCATCCTGATGACTTTAAAAAAAAATGCCATTGACCTTATTTCAGAAATTCCTGGAAATTTCTTTATATTTTCCCTCCACATTAGTTTAAACAATTTTGATTATTCCATTATGGACCAAAACAATAATTTATGTGCTGAATAAGAGAAGTTATAAGCAAACAGTGATACAGCAGAGAATTAATTAACTGACCTCTATATGATAATTCAAAAAATGTATACAGCGACTCCTCCCACAGTTTTTGTGCTGGCGCATACGATATTGCTGCTAATAGTGAACAAGCAACTGTAGCAGAGTCAGTAGAGGCTTTACATGGAATTGGAGCCGACCAGAAATGTCATTTTTTTTGGTTGACATATTTTAGTTTCCATAGATAGTCACAGTGGTATTGATTGCACACACCACATAGTGAACTGATATAAGAAATTTAGAAAAGGCAGAAGACAAATCAGTGTGGGAGGGATGAGAGAGGAGAGTACACAGATCGGTTCTTAATTTATAACGTACCCCAAACACGAAATTCCCGTGGGAAATCCACAGCTGACCTGACAGTCCATTATTTCAAGGGGTGCAAGTGTGCTGTTGTGTGGTGCTGTTTTTGAGTGTTCATCTACTGTATTCTAACCCTAACCCTAAACTTGGCTGTAGATAAACTACAACCTGAAAACCCTAGAATTAATTGGGAATGTCTCCCGTGACGCAGTCGTGACGTCAGGGGTAAGTTATAAATTAAGTACCCACAGATCATTGGAATGACAGTGTAGAAGGGTCTAATCTGTCAGCTAATTAACAATTAAAAACACCTAAATGAGAACCCAACTTTAAAAAAGTGGTTTTCTAGAGTGGAGCTGAAATAGTTCTTGCAGCTTGCACTAATTTGCAGCAGTCTTATCTTTTTTTTTTTTTTTTATTAATGCTGGCAAAATATAGTTTTCAGATATTGTTGTTAATTTTTCTGTGCAACCTGCTTACAGAATATATTTAATAACTTCACAGATCACTTAGTCTACTTTCACGGTCTGTATATTTTTATATTTTATACATATTGACACAAATATACAAAACAGGATTACTTTTCTTTAATGCATACTGACACATACATATGTCAGGAATTGCCCATACAGCAGCAGTCGGGGGGGGGGGGTGGGGGTCGGGGGGGGGGGGGGGGGGGAGTTTTATACATCCTTGAGTTGATTTGGGGGGGGGGGGGAATATACATTGTTAGCCCCCACAAGCACATAATCAAAGGCAACAGTCAGTTTTCTAAAAAATAAATAGTTTGGGACGAAAGGTTCCAATATCGCTGCGTAATTTTTGACCGTGTGCCAGCCATTCTTTTGATCTTTCTGCCCTGGTAATTTAAAAAAACAAACATTATGTAAGAACCCAGTGCCCAACAAATCCTTCAACAACTGTTATGTATCTGTGACACCCCTACCCCTCATGATATTGAAAGAGCTATCAGTAAACAAGAATGGAGAGAAGCATTGAAGGGAATACCTTCCCTGGTGCCTTACAAATGAAGCCTGTGGCTGACACCATGACCTTGTTGGAATTGTAACATTGATGCTGGCGGCAAAGTTTGACCTCAGAATGGCTTGGCATTTAGCCATTATGTTCACAAGAAAAAAACTCCTGTAAGCTGTTTATAGTAAATATATTCATATCTGGGCCTCCTGAACTGCAGCCTCTAAAAGAAACTAATACCATTAACTAGGCTTCTCCGGGCCAAGCCATACAGCCGTGCTAGTTAACCAGCATCGATAAGAATGAGCCACAACAGAAATGCAATATTTGCGGTAGAGTTAAGGGCAGACCCAGAAGAAAAAAGGACACAGAGGGAGATTGAATGTTAAAAAATACATTTTTTCTTTTCTGCAGGAGCTTCAGAAGAAGTGCAACCAGTGTGCTGACATCATCGTGGCCGCCAAAGAACGCCAGGCTGCCGAAGCTAACAAGAACGCTGATAGTCTTCTAGAAGAGATCCAGCAGGAGAAGGAGCAGGCGGCCTTGAAGGCAGAGCTGGCCAGCAAGAGGAGGGAGAGACGGCGGGAGCGCAAACGGAAGGGAAAACAACGGGATGAGAAAAATGAAAAAGACAAGGATAGGTAAGTGTTGGGAATAGGGATAGTAAGACAGATACAGGGCACTAGGGTCGCCAGAAAATTGTGATTTTACTCTAAAATAGTTTTTGGCTATAAGAAAAATTACCCCCCCCCCCCCTCTTCAGTTACCTAATTGAAATGCTTGGAAGGGTAGGGGGTGGGGGGATGTGTGATGTTCCTATCAATCAGGAGGGGAGCTGCTTCATGTGGATTATGAGACTACAATTCTAGAAGAAAAAAATCTCACCCCTCCCTTCCCCCTCCCCCTCCAGCTAGCATGTCATATGAGACAACTAATTAGGGATGTTTTCTTCACAGGCCGGAGGGCATCTTCCTCAGAGGCAAGAAACCAAGCATACAAGTAAGGTGGATCTGTAAAATGAATGTGCACAGAAAACTTATGGATGAAACCCAAGTCCAGGAGTGAAGACACAACCAGAACTTTCTGCCGAAGATTACAGCTGTTGAATGCTAAGACGAATAAAGAGAGATAAGGAAAAGAAGCTTTAGATAATTTCAGTTGGTGGGGTGGGGGGTGGACGGACTGTTGTTTGTGCTTTGTTGCAGGCTAATCAAGGACTACGACACTTGTTAACCACTGAAGAGTCCCTTCTGCCGTGGGAGAGAAACAAAGAATTAAAGCGTAAATCTGTTATCTCTTTATGTCTAGCTACTTCATTTTCAGGCAGAACCTGGCCAAGAGAGACACCGGTGGAAGCCAAACTTGACTACGGGCAAATAACAAAAGACAAGTTCATGCTAGAAACATCAATGCAGATATAGATAATTTTCAGGCGAACAAAGAAAGAAGAAATTCTTCATACCTACTAGCTATCTACTCTAGAAAGTCGAGGATGGATATATTCTTTGTAACGAGTTAGCATTTTGCCTTGAAGGTTTTTGAGATAAGAGTTAACAGCGGAGGAGTGATTTACGGTAGAATTAACGGAGGAGTGATTGTACTAATTATGGATTAAAGAAAGAATCACAATGTATGAGTTCTTTGGTTTGCTGGATTTCAGTGGCAAAAACTCGTCACCTGAACCTGATGGGGAGTCCAACAGTAAAAAAGATGACGACGATGAAGATGAGGATGAAGAAGATGACAGTAATTCTGAACCTCCTATGATTGCTGGTGAGTCAGTTTTACTAAATGTTTTTTTTTTAAAAGTCTTTCTTGTCCACCCTTCCTCTCTGCTGGTCTTTCCATCTTCACTTCCCCACACTTTCCATTTCTGTGTGCACCTACTATGGAGATTTTTAGTCTTGTCTCTCCCTCTCTTTCCCTCACACTCCTTGTCTTTGTCTATATAATTCTCTCTCTCTCTCTCTCTCTCTCTCTCTCTCTCTCTCTCTCTCTCTCTCTCTCTCTCTCTCTCTCTCTCTCTCTCTCTCTCTCTCTCTCTCTCTCTCTCTCTCTCTCTCTCTCTCTCTCTCTCTCTCTCTGTCTCTCTCTCTCTCTCTCTCTCTCTCTCTCTCTCTCTCTCTCTCTCTCTCTCTCCCCTCCCTCTCCTCTCCTCCCCCCTCCCCCACCTGCCTCTCATTGTATCTCCAGTCAGTACTTGGACATCTGTTTCTTGTCCTGTAACTGCTGATGAGTGACAGAAGTTAACTTATAATACATTATCATCTTATAATCTCCCGTTGTGGGGATTACAAGACTAGACCCACGGTCATTCCAGCAAGCATGTCACAGTAGTCAACTAATTGGGGACAAATTTTAAAGTCAAAAGCCTGAGAAGCAAGGAACCAGCAGCCTACATACTACAAACAAGTAGAGTAAGGAAGTTTTGCTGCGCCATGATGTACCACAAGGAGGTGTCCTGTCCCCCACACTCTTCCTAGTCTATATCAATGACCTGCTTACTGAACTACCCCATGGAATTAAAGCTGCAATGTATGCTGATGACTTGGTACTCTGGTGTACAAATGAACATGCAACAGTGGCCACCAGACTGCTACAAAGAGCCATAGATGCAATGGCTAAATGGGCTGACAAATGGTGTGTCAGCATCAACATAGGCAAATGCAGCACCACCCTCTTTACCCTTTCTCCTAAACAAAAATCAGGTGTCCTACACATAAATGGAGTACCCCTGAGGGAGGATAAGGAGCCCACATACCTCGGAGTAACGTTTGATGATAGGTTAACATGGAGAAAACACATCAACAGGGCAACAACCAAAGCCAGAAGGAAGGTAGCCATTCTGAGAAAACTTAGTGGAACCACATGGGGTGCTAGCAGGAAAATACTTAAAAAAGTTTACCAACAAAGTGTTTGACCACATCTTGAATACGGATCAACAGCATGGAGTTCGGCATCAAAAACCACATTGCAAGAATTAAAGTGCAAAATCAAGCACTCAGAGTTACCACAGGCAGTATGAAATCAACACCTATAGCTGTGATGGAGAAAATGGGGATGACCCAAGCACTAAGTGAACGCAGAGACACCAAGATGCTTTTACAAGCAGAAAAGTTTCTTAGTGTGCCCAGTCACCCCGTGAATGAAAGATTCCAAAATTTGGCTTTGGGACGACTAAAGAGAAGTAGTTTTATCCACCAGGCCAAACGGCTCGGCAGACAAACCACTGATTTACCTGCAACTGATAGATCCTTAAATGCTGTCCCAGAACGGACCCCCTGGAGAGAGGAGTATAAGTTTCCAATACACATCAAGACTGAAGTGAAAGGGGTATTTGACAAGGAAGAACAAAACTGTGTGCAGCGCAAAACAGCCACCCTCAGTCTACTTGATGATGAATACCCACATAATCTTTGGGTCCGTGTTTACACAGATGGGTCGTCAGAAACGGAGGTGCAGGAGTGTACATTGAGTATCCTAATAATACCAGGGATACAGCCAAAATGCCAACAGGAAAGCACTGTCACAACTATGATGCAGAAGTTCAAGCCATCAAGATAGCGGCAAAGAAACTACTAAATACAGGGTATTTTTCACAACCAGTAGTATTCCTGACAGATGCAAAAGCGGTACTTCAGTCACTCCAGTCTCGAAAATTACCAAGCATACGAACACTGTTATCCAAACTAGGCAACCGTTGTAATTTAGTAATGCAGTGGATACCTTCCCACTGTAGAGTTCCCGGAAACGAAAGAGCTGATAAACTAGCTAAGGAAGGTGCAACTGAAGAACAACCTGACATACGTCTTTTACCAACAGAAGAAGAGAATGATCAAATCAATCAGAATGCCACTAAAACTGGCACAAGACTATTACCATATTATGGACAGACCAGAGCAAGTCATTATCCTTCGCCTTAGAACAGGGCACAATCGACTTCGCTGCCACATGTACAACAAATTTAAGATTGGCCAATCAGCCATGTGTATTTGTGGACTGGCACCTGAAACAACAGATCACATCCTTCAAGACTGTCCCAGATTCAACGCTTTCAGGCAAAACCTTTGGCCAAAAGAGACACTTGTGGAAGTCAAACTTTACGGGCCGCTTAGTGAATTACAAAAGACAGAGAAATTCATACTAAAGACAGCAATGCAGATATAGATTCATGCGAACGAAAGAAGAAGAAAAGAACTACAAACAAGTCAGATGTGTAAAATGGACATGCTTGCAACACATAAGGTTCTGGAACAAGACTAAAGTCGGTGGTACTTTCTGCCAGAGTTTACGGCTGTGAATGTGAAGAGGAAGAAGAAGATTTGAGACTCATTCACTGTATCTTTTCTCTGTCGCTCGTTCTCACAGTGGAAAGCACCCTATCTGCGGCATGTTCCAGAATGTGTCTAGGCTTGTATACAACTGTGCAGCTGCTTGCCGAATGGATAGGAATACTGGGCTGTCTCTAAGACTGTATGTGGTGACTGTAAAGCCATGTGGTGACTGTAAAGCAATGTGGCGACTGTAAAGCCCTGTGGCGACTGTAAAGCCATGTGGCTTTTAGACCTACCTTGCAAGAATGGTATATACAGCATTTAGGACGTTTTTTTTACAGCCAAACAAATATATAAGTGCTATAGCAATAGATCTCTCAATCTATTATTATAACAAATTTTGACACTCATTATTCTATAAGCACTTGTCTACAGCTTGCAAATTTCTTGCTGACTTGCTAGATTGTCTGTTATGCTGTAAGTTATATCCCTTTTGTTTTTTCAGCTCCGCTGACTGTGAAACCTGACCCCGTGAAATGTTCTAAAGTGAAGAACAGGACATCGGCACCAAACAAGTGCCAGACTTCACCAGAAAATCAACAGCCTGCCCGAGTCTTACCATTGATGACCTCATCGGTTGCCGTGACATCTGCAACAACTACCGCATCAACTGCCAGTGGGCCCTCGCCTGCCGCAGCTAGAGCTAGTCGAGATAGTCGTAAGAAGCAACAAAAGGCGGCCAGGGAAAGCCGCTGTGAAGGTAGTGACCAGGATCGGGGGTTGAGAAATGTCAAGGCTGAGCTCAGCAAGAAAGAAGTGACCCAGGCTCTGCAGGTGAAGGTCGTCAAGGTGACCACAGCTGCCGAGCTGCTAGTGTCAGCAGCGGGAATAACCAGTCGTCCTGCTACATCCGTAGTGACAACCAGCCCCACCCAGGTCATTTATGTCACCCACACACCAAAGGTAGCCAGCACAAGTGTGAACACCAACAACCCTGTCTCACAACCACTTCCACCGGTGGTTGGCTACACCAACAGCAAGGATAACCCCACCAGTGTTGCTGTTAATGGAGGCGCTGCCAGGTCCAGACCCAAGAAATCCACTGATATGATAAAACAGAGTAGTACAACTGGTAAGTTAGAGCTTCTTCTTTTTCTTCCTCTTTCTTCTACCCCTTAGTGGAGCAGTCGGCCAACTCACACAAAGTCATTCTATTCTTCACTATTGCATGCAACTCACCCAATATTCTCCACATATTTTTAACTTGACTCTCTAGCTGCCTTCTTCATATGTATTTTTGTCTGCCTTTATTTCGATCCCCCTGTTGGTTCAAGAGCTAGGACGTTCTAGTTAAATTTGTTCTCAGGTTTTCTCAACATGTCTTATCCAGTGCCAGCATCTTGGTCACCTTAGGTCCTCTGTAACTTGTTCAAGTTTTCTCCCAAAGCTCTAGACTGGTGATTCTATCATACCAATTCAACTGCCTGTATTTTGTGCAGGCAACAGTTAGTTAATGTTTATAGTTTATTAGCAATTGTTTAAGTTTTCCATGTTTCCGCTCCACACAGCAATACTGATTTGACATTAGAATTAAACATTTTTCTTCTTCTTTTTCTTGTTCACCGGCTGTGAATTCCGGCGGTAAGTCGCGGTTGTTCGTCCAAATAGACTTTTGGCTTTTACCTTGACCTGAGTTTTGCGTGTACTCATTTGTGTGGTGTCCTCTATGACCTTTAACGGGTGTGGCCCCCGGAATATCGTCCTTAAGGCAGCCCTAGGTAGAACTGTCAGCCCTCAAGGGAAGGCAGGGGCAGATCATGGGCATTCTCCGCCATCCAAGGAGGCTTCCATAAATGTAGAGCCGACACATGATGCTCTGGTTCTGGAATTAAACATTTTAAGTTTAGTGTATTATTAATTTCTTTTGACCTCCACAAATTACCTAGTGCTATGAAAGCTTCTCTTGCATTTTGTATTCATATTTAAATATCCCTGTCATTCCCCCCCTCTTCCCCCGTGGGGTGCCATTAAGAGAAACCACATTACTGTTTGCCTGGTTTATTCTCATCTTTTTTTTCTTATGGATTTTTAGATGTAGCTATTGTGATTTTCCATCAAGTATGTTTATCTTGCAGAGTTACTGCTAGTTGCTAGTAAGAACAAACAAATGGCTAGGCTTAAAAAAGGAAGCAGCAGTTAATAGAGAAATCTGTTAAGAGACTATGCGCTAGCTAAGTTTGTTAAAGCAGCTGCGTGGCTACTGGGTGACAAACTTCTTGCGGCCCGTTCACGTTCTGGTTCCCAGATTTATGGTGTCTATCATGGGATCAGGGTCAAAGAGTTGCAATATCCATAGTACTGAGCCAAAGGATTATCAACTCATGATTTCTGGATAATAAAAAAATTAATTAAAAAAAGGTGAGACTATGTGCATGCAGCCACAGTAAAACCTTATTAACACCAATTCCAAGGGACAGAAAAAGTCTAGAGTTGGCAATGAAAATAATTTGTGCTAATTGTGGACTGGATTAATATATCCCTGGGACCAACATTTTGTTATGCTGACTGACTCTTACTGCATTAGAAACAATGTTCTGAAGCCATGTAAATGTTTTTATGTTTACCTTCTGTAATTGTTTATAGATAGAATGTGATATCTGCTCTTTTTGGCCCTACACATCCTTTTTCAGGAAACCCTTAACTAGTGCCCTCTTACAACATGCCCATTAAGGTATAGTTGGTGAATTACTCGCTCAAATCCTACATGGAAATTGTGTTCTAACCTAGTATCAACTCACACTGCTTCACTTGCAGTACATTTGTATTTTTTAACATCATTACTTTTGTTACTGTCTTTGTTATACTGCAATCTTGTGAATATCACTACCTTTTCTCCTCTAATCTGCTTGTTCATCCTCTGCAATGACACCACTCCCTGCTCCCACCCCCTGCTCCCACTCCCTGCTGTGTCCGGTACCCTGCCCATCCCTGCTCCCACCCCTGCTGACCCCACTCCCACTCCCTGCTCCCACTCCCTGCTCCCACCCCCTGCTCCCACTCCCTGCTCCCACCCCCTGCTCCCACCCCCTATCTTCACTCTCTAGCTCTTTTTTCCATGTTTTTTTAATCTGCTGCTCTTTCTCCTCTCCCCCCCCCCCCCCCTTTTCCCCCATTGCCCCTGTGAAGACATTCTAGTTATTTGGTTCTCAGGTATCATTGGCTTTTTTTGTACTGAAATCTTATGTGTACATTTGTTGTTCATTCAATGTCCTGTTGTGCCATTATATATCACATACAGCTTACAGTCTTGTTCCCCATTCTATTCTCTCCTGTGCAATCACACACAATCCAGTCCAGCAGCTTTGGCCTCTCCACCAACATTTATTTCAGGGTTTCTCTAGGACATCCTCATTTCCTCAGTCCCTGTTGTTTTCCCTGTCAGTGATATTGTTTCTCCTTTATCTGAAGGTATCGGCGACTTGGATGACTTTGGAGTGATCCCTACCACTGTGCTGAAGAATATTGACAAAATCAATGGAACTGCGCCAGGTACCAAGAAGTTAAGGTGAGCTGGGCTTTGGGCTTTGAAATCTTTCTTGATCATTTTTTTCTTCTTGAGCATTGATTGAGATTTTGAGGTTCATTGCTGCAGATATCACTCACTTCCTTTCAAATCTCTGATTGAGTTTCTCTTTCCAGTTGGCTTGATTGCTGGCTTTATTGTAGTTGTTTTTTTTTTTGTTTTTTTTTTAAATAAAAATTAATTACATTTTTAGGGTTGGCAGCCATTCTGCTGCCATCCATTCATCTGTTTTACATCACAATTATTGAGCAGAATGCTTCTTTTGAAATCTTTCTTGAGTACTTTTCTTCTTTAGCATTCTGAGCCAGTGAGTTTCATTGCTGCAGATGTCACTTGCTTCCATTCATCTCTGTGATTGGCCTTCTCGTTCCAGTTTCCTAATTCCTGGCTTTAAAAAAAATATTCTCCCCTCCAAAGTTGCCCCTGAATGACTGGCACCTGGTGACATAAAATAGCCACTGTGTGGATGCAAATGGAACAAGAGCTCATCCCATAAACCTTGTTCAACTAAATAAAACTATAAATATTGTGGCTGCCTCTGTAAAGGAGTTCTGCTATCTTGCTGTTACAACTTGGTGTTGTACTCCCTGACTTACTGTTCTATCTGCTGACTTGCTGTTGTACTCCCTGACTTACTGTTCTATCTGCTGACTTGCTGTTGTACTCCCTGACTTAACTGTTCTATCTGTTGACTTGCTGTTTTACTCCCTGACTTGTTATTCTATCTGCTGACTTGCTGTTTTACTCCCTGACTTAACTGTTCTATCTGCTGACTTGCTGTTTTACTCCCTGACTTACCGTTTTATCTGCTGACTTGCTGTTTTACTCCCTGACTTACTGTTCTTACTGCTGACTTGCTGTTGTATTGCCTGACTTAACTGTTCTACTGAGTTACTATTTATTAAATTTACTGTTCTAATGACTTATTTACTGTTCTGCTTACTGACTTACTGTTCAGCTGACTGACTGACTTCTAAGGAATGACTTGCTGTTCTATTGACTGATATATGCTACTACTGTTTTACTGATTTGTTGCTGTTCTACACACTGATTTCCTGCTTGCTGCTCCACTGTGCTGAAGCTTTGTATGCACCACTGAACTGTTTGTTTCCTCCACTCTGCCAGTGATAGCAAGAAAGACTGGATAGATGAGTACAGCAAATACTTTGACAAAAACATGGTCAACAGACTGACCAGTTCTGCCCCTAGTCCAAGAAAGGGCCAGAAGAAGGAGGATGGCTGGAAGGAAGTCATCCGGAAGAATGTGTAAGTTAATATGTCTTGAGTCTTACTTTCTTGTGCCGTTGTCTTTGTATAGTCAGTGCATCAGTCCCCTCCAGACTGTCCTGAAGGTTTACCCCTCTGAGATTTAACACACACAAAAACATCCTAGTCTGGATAGGAGACCAACAAGGCAGATCACATTTACCCATCAGCCCCCAGAGCGGTTTTAATTAGGGCACCCAGCTGTCCAGTGCGGGTGAGGATGTGATTTATTTAGATTATTCAGCATCAGATATTTTGTGGAATGTGTCTAGAAATTGTCCTGCTTTTACTTGTTCATGGTTGGTTTGGTTTTGCAGTTTAACAAATTTAATTTAAATTAGATAACTAGTTTTGTTTTTATTTTCAGTATGGTCCCAGGTAACACGTAGTCTGTTGTAGTTTACTTTTGCACGCTCTCTCTTTCTCTCTCTCTCTGTTTCTTTGTCTCTCTCCCCCTCCTCCATTTTCTCATTCTCTCTCCCTTTGTTTCTCTTTTGTCTCTTTGAGCCCCTCTTGTTTTTTTTTTTCTTCTGTCTTTCTCCCCTCCGTCTTCCCCTTAGTCTCTTCACTTTATTCTCACTTTTTGTCTTTCCTTACGATTTTCTCCCTCATCACAGTTTGTCCCTACCGCACCCAGTCTTGTTCTGTCTCTCCCAGTCAAGTGTAGGTGGGTGGGAGGGAGGGAAATGCTATATAGTTTTTTCAAAAAAGGATCTATTTTCTTTTTAAGAAACACATATTTTGGAATACTTTATTATGCCCTGCTAAATTTGCAGACACATCACAGGATTTGTTAGTTCACATGAGTAATGTCCCACACGAGTAATGTCCTTTTAGTAATATTGTGTTTTCTGGAATGACATGGTTAAATGTAAACATAATAAGAGACAGAATAAAAAAAGTGCTAAATAAAGCATTAACACCGAACTTGATTTCTGACTTGCTTATTTCTCCCAGTTCCAAGAAACTATCTGTGCCAGGAAATGTGATATCTCGCCTGATTGGAAAAGGCGGCTGCAATATCAACGCCATCCGCGAGCTCTCAGGAGCTCATGTGGAGATTGAGAAATCCAAGGGTGCCGCTGAAAGGACTGTAACAATCAGGTAATGTCAAGACGGTCGTTCAGTATGATGATTACATCAGGATTGTTATGATTACGTTAGTTAATATTCCCTACGTAAGTTTTGAGGCCCCATTCTGCGTAACAAGAATAGACCCACTGCCACCTAACAAGCATGTCATCAGAGTCCAGAAGTGGATGAACAACCATAACTTTCTGCCGGAGTTTACAGCTAATGAACGCAGAGAAGAAGAAGTAGGTGATATAGTTTAGAAAAGGCAGTAATGGAACGAGGGAGCTGGACGCTTGCATGCCAGCCTAAAGGTCTACAGTTCAAATCCACATGGATTCTTGTTTTCCAAAATTGCCCTTGGCTTTGAGGTTGACCCAGCCAAAATTGGATACCAGTAAAAGAAAGGCGGTTTGTGAAAATTGACTGCAGCCAATGCCGTCTAAAAAAACATATGAGTCCAGCGAAGGGGAAAGGGTCCTTTACTTGATTGTATTGACTTTAAAGATAGATGCAGTTCTGGCAAGTCCATGCAGGGGCGAGCCTGCATGATAGCTGTGGTGTGACAAGAAAACTTGGTTCTCGCCGATAGTCAGGAATAATAGTAGTATGCTGCTACTTGATGATAATGATAAATCGCTTTATGGCTTCAATGTCTTCTTTCTCTCTGGAACATACTGTCCACTATATCTTTGCAACAACAACTAAATGTGTTGTTGATGTACTTTATCCCCATGTGGATTCTAGGGCCTTGTTGGAGATGAGGAACAGACACTGCCCTTGCAGGCATGTCGTAAAAAATAGACTAGCGGTTTTACTGTTTCCAGGTGTATTGAGCCATTAGAGCCATATGTCACAGCCCAGCCGTAACCCACAACACGTCAACTGCCCTGTTAGCCCTGTTAAGGGCGAGTGCAGAAGTTATACTTTGGTTTTATGTGCTGTCACTTCTTTTTGAGAATGTTAATTGTAGCATAAATGTGTCTGTTCATACTTCATTCAAGCACTTATTTTGTCTGTCCTGCAGAGGTGCTCCTGAAGCTATACGCCAGGCCAACAGTTTAATTAATGCGATGATAGAGGAGCCGGACAAGGATGTCTCTGAACTTCTGACTCGGGCTAACAAAGGTCAGAAGCCAGCACCAGAGAAACCAGCGTCACAGAAGGTGCCTGTGGCCATCACTGATTTTGCCATCGGCACATTTATTATCCCGACCACGTCTATGCACACCAGTAGCAACACCACTGTCAAATCTCCAGGGCAGTCCAAATCTGGCAAGCAGAATGGCAGCCAGTTCAGTTCACAGGCAAACTCGGCTGTCAACACCATGGGTCCCACTATCGGGGCTTGGCAGAACCCGGTTCCCGGCCAGGCGTTACCTGCCTCTCCCAGACGAAGCCCGCAGAAACAGGTGACCCCTAGTTCCTCTGTTATTGGAGCCAGGTCGAGTGCAATGGAGAATGCCGAAAAGGCATCAGCACGGCAACTGATGTTTGGCATGGAGCCAGGGAAAAGGCCAAGGTCACCAGTGTCTGTGATGTCTTCTAGCAGTGCTCCCATGAACTTCACCACCACGGCCACTAGCAGCAGCAGAGGTGTGGTCTGTACACCACTACCTAACCAAACCATGAGCAAGCCCCATGATCAGCAGCGCCTGCAGAATCAGATCAAACCTGCCATGCCTGCCGGCATCCCAGCAGCTACTTCTGCAGTTCGCTTCTCTCGTCCCCTTTCCTCTGCCGGACCCAGGATGGAAGGGTTACCCCTACCAATTGTTACCAGTGGCTCCTCTAGCCACTTAGACCGTAGCAACCAGGCTGGAAATTGCACTCCTTCGAGCCAGCCAACCTCCGGAGAGTATTCACCGTTCAATAACGGCTTGTTTACAAATTTTATGCCCAAGAAAGAAGAGCCAACAGACAAGATGGACTTTGCTAGTGTGGCCGCTGCGGGTGTGGTCACCACCAGCCCCAGTCCCCAGACGACTACCAACCCAAGCCCATCGACCAGCAGCAACACCATCAATGACATTGACCCAGTTCTCCAAGCCAAGGCACCAGGATACAAAATGCCCCAAGGGAACTCGCCCCCGTACAGGCCTGACATGAATGCCAGCATGGGAGGGTACCAGATGTCCCCGGTGGGAAGCAGCGTCACCAGCTCAGTCCACGGACTATCAAACATTAATAGCAGCATGAGACCCTTGGCTCCCGTAGCTACGTTGATGGATGACTTCCAGATAAACCAGATGCTTCACTACCAGTACTTGAACCAGCAAATGTCAGAGAACTGTAGTCCCATGCTGCAGAATGCTCTAATGCGAATGGACATAGGAACTAGGGGTTTGCCTATGATACCGGGGGTATTCCACCACCAAGGGATGTCTGGTATGCCTCTCCAACAACTGCCACAGAAGGAGGAGTACAGCAAGCCGCACAGACCCATGACACTGCCAGAAATCAAAGGAGGTCTGAACCCCAATGCTCCAGAGTTCCAGCTGCCTGGTACTGGGCCACCTATGATGAATGGCTTTGACCGTCATTCTGGAAGTTCAATGGGTGGGATGGTGAGAATGAACATGGCAGATGTTGGTGGACGGTCAGCGATGGGCCCCCTTGCGAATCTAGAAGGTCCTATTCAGAATTCAGGACCCAATCCAGGTACATACCTTTTTAGTCTTATCTTTACTTATCTTTTGTCTAAACTGGATGGATGTTTCATCTTTTGAATTAATTTGTAATGAATCTTGGCTGAGATAGTGGCAGGTTTTTGTTGTGATTGTCTGACCCAGATTGTACCCAATTGTAGTGAAACAACACCTGTTATTTTGCTCACTTTTTGCAGGTATTGTGAGGTTATCATTGACAGTTCTCTGTGTCATACACACAACCAGCTATAACCTAAACATCAACAATACCGGACCAAGTAACTAGAACCTTAGCAGATAAAAATTGATCAGCTATTTCCCAAATGTAGACAATAGAGGACCAATTAGAAATCAAACATAGACAACAAAAGACCAGCTAGAAGCCTAATATAGACATCAGTGGATCAGCTAGAGGCCTAATATAGACAACGGTGGATCAGCTGGAAGACTAATATAAACAGCAATGGACCAACTAGAAACCAAACATAGTACCTGGTACTCATTTAAGACTAGGTCGGCCTGGGGTGAAGATCATTTTTGAAAAAGTCTAGCCCCATTAGGACCTGAACCCTTCAGATCCCTAGGTGAACATGTACCCTCTGCACCAAAATGGCTCCCAGTATAGCTATGTATAAATTTTTTTTAAATGATGTTCCTCGATTCTGCAGAAGTATGTCAAACATCTAGCCTTATCAGATAAGGACACAAAATACTGTAATACACCAAACTTGATGTTTCTGTGGCAGGATGAACTATACCTGTTGTATATTTGTTGTTTCAAAGATGTGTTCAAATGTTCCAAAGATAGTTCAGTGAACAGTGGACAATGATCTAAAGAATTTTTCCTCTTATCATTATCACGTGCCGTGCCAACTGAACTTGGCAACCATGCCTCTCAATAATCTGCATGTATCAGTTCCTGTGTTGACCACCACCACCACCATGTCATGGCAGAATGCTGCCATTGTCTTTCTCTATCGCTTTTTCCACAAATCTTTCCAGTGGTCACATCGTCTTTTATTTTCCTTCTCATACTATGATCAACAAATGATGACTGTTTTTTTTTTTCCTCTGTTTACGATTAAGTCGTCTTTGAGCCCTCAATTCTTTCAACACATCTGCACTGTTTGGCTGTCCAAAGAATTCTAAAGATTCTTATGTGAAACCATATCTCTGTGGCCTCAAGAAATTGTTTGGCTTGTTTGTATTAATTGTCCAGAGTTGACAAACGTGTCAAAACTGGCTGTATATAACGTGTGAGAATTATGTTCTAACCTCCAGTGACCTAGATTTAGTGCATAAAATGTTCTCTGTTTCCTCTACCAGGTCATATGCCCCCTATAATGCATCCTGACATGCTAGGAGGCCCTAGTGTCCAGTACCTGCTTCACCAGCAACACCCCCCTGGAAGTGGCCTGGTGGCAACAGACAATGGAGGAAGCCCGCAGCTGGTTGCCGGTCAGATGACATCTAGTCTCAGCTCCATACCACACCCTCACAGTTCCGCACAAGGCATGATGGGACCTCCGGGCCTGTCTCCAGGCGGAGGAGGGATTCCCAACTTCCTACCCCAGTCGCAGCCTCAGAGGGCCCATACATCCTTGCAGAACCTAGCTGGGGTTCGGCCCAGCAGTGCTCCGTCTGTTCAGCCAGGTCAGTTTTTTTCTCTCCAGATTTTAGTGGGCCCTGATGCTTCAGTGGTACTGTGGATTCTATGTTTACATTTCAGATGCTTTCAGTATATGTTTCTTTATTGGTCCAGAAGTCTCTTAATACTTTCCGTTGCTGTGCCTTCATTGGTTATACTTTATGTGGTACACGTGTATGTACTCTTTCTGTCCATTAAAAGGGGCATTAATTGCACTTATTGTGCTAATCAATTTGGGAATTTTTACTTATTTAATTTATATATGTGATAAATAGCAGGAGGGATAGAACACTTCCCTGAGGGACTCCTGATTGTAATTAGAACATTTTGCCATTCCAGCATTTGATCTTGGATGTTGTAATATATACATTTACACTTATTTACTAGAGGTGAACCAAAACTCCAGAAGTCTTAGTTAATTTTTTTTTATGATAGTTTGGATTCAGCCTGGGTGTCCAGCTGGATTAATAAATTTTGTTTTAGCATTTTGGTGCATAATTTTAGTGACCTTATATCCTTGAACTGCAAAAATATCAGCGACACTAAAAAAGTTCTTTATACAAAGCAAACAGAAAAGCCTGTTTCAGAGATCTTTTCCTGGCCTGACGCTGCGAAGCGTTCCAGAAGTAGAAAGAGGGAAAAAATCCTTGTGCTATCTTTAATTAATAGATTAAAACAGATTAGGCAGCAGAAATCACATAGACTAAGAAAGTGTTAGTTGTATGTAACAATATAAGCATGTGAAACTGGCAAAGCATCATCGATTTCTTTATGTATATTCACAGTATAGCTGCGACATTTACATAATTTTTCAGCAGACACATCCAACTTTATTTGGCATTTGTTGTCCGGGTTAGCATTCCCTGTTAGATTCATTTAGTATAAAACTGCCAGTGGACTTTAGTCAGGTTTTAGTGGATTTTTTTTTTTAATCGTCCATGCATTGGGGGTTGACATTGAGTTCCAGGGGACTTCTTGACCCTGATTTTATGGCCCTTCCCCCCCCCTTTCCCCCCCAATTCAGCACACACACATACACACTTAACATAGTAAAGGCAGATGGTGGCAATTATCGATGGCATACATCGAGGACATACAGCAGGGTTTTGCTTTAGGTTACATAAAACCAGCACCGGTCCTGGGGTTTAGATACAGGGTATTGATCATGCCTGTGACCAAAATCACTGTTCCAGGGAGAAGCTTAAATTTACAGACCGAAAAGCACACTGGAGTATAAATGATACTGAAGACCCTAAACATTTCTTCTTCTTCTTTTCCACCATTTACCTCAGCGAGGTGTTTGGGGAAAATGTAAAGTTCGTTAGTGAGCTTTTTCCAGTGCACTGTACAAGTAGGTGTTCATTTCTGTTAGATTACTCCTGATGGTGTCGCTTCATCTCTTATTTGGTCTTCCCCTTGCTCTGTGTTCATTAAATTTCTTCAGCATAGCTCTCTGTGGCAGTTGGTACCAGGGCATTCTCGTCAGGTGGCCAAACCATCTCATTTGTTCTTTAATGAATTGTATTGCTGGTTTCAGTCCTAGTCTTTCACTAATTTCTTCATTTCTGATTTTATCTCTTCTTGTCATCCTGGCAGCTCTCCTATCCTAAAAATTAATTGCATAAATAAAATATAAAAAAATAAAAATTAAAAAAAACAAATAATCCATGAACTCAGAACTGAAGAAGACTGGTTAAGCAGATTGAAAGAAAATTGTATAAAATATTCTAGCCATGCGAAAAGAGACATCAGGCTCAGGAAAAGACAGATACTGCTTTTTAAATATATTATTTTTAAAAGAAATGTGGATTTTCTTGAAGCCCTGTGTTAATGTTTTTAAATGCTCATTGATTGTTTTAATAAGAAAAATATAATCATTGGGCAGTTTTTCATGAACCTGTTTTGACTTATTGATGTACAGTGGATCCTGGAATCATGAGCGCCCCAAGGAGTGGATCACCTCTGTCAGCAAGAACTCCACCACTGGATCATGGGAAACTGATACAGCCAATCGGAGGTGAGCGACGGAAAGGAACAGGGAGGCCAGGGCCTGTGCCCAACGCTGGCTCATACAGTAATTTATGGAGCTTTGGCGACTCCACGGGTAATTATTGTGTTTAACTGCTTTATGTTCTGAATTACTAGAACACTGCTATGCCTTGTTTTTGCCGATCATTTATTGAGCATCTGTGTGTGGTGTTCCAAAAGTGATGTTCCCTGAAAATAACACCTTAAGTGACTTTTAAAGCAACGATTTATAAAAGGCCTTTTTTTTTTTTTTATATTTCATTATTTTTAATTTGTGTGTGAAACACAGTAGAGATCATTTTCCCAAGCAGTCATGATTTACCCTGGCAATTGAAAGCATTTGGGATAGTCATCTCAGAAGCTGCGGCTTCCTGCCTTGAAGCTTCCTCCAGATTTATTTACATTTCAATGTTGAATTTATCTACACCTTGATCTCGTTGAGTCATCCTATCTTCACGCTTATATATTTAATATTGTATTATATTAACCTCTTTTGAGATAGAGGCTTATTTGGCATTCAGAGCCTTCAAGAGGGGATTCTCTAAATTTGCACACACACAAATTATGAAAAAATAAATCATTTAATTCAACATGAATGTATATTCTTGTAGGAAATTGAATAAATTAACACACTCTTTTTGAATCACGCTGACACTAAGTAACATCTCAACATTTATTTAAATTAGCTATGCTGATCTGCATATTCATGCATACATTTTTTTAAAAACATAGGACAAACATGGGTAAAGTTTAATGATTTGGGTACATTTTGTGTTGAATGAAGCCTGAATAATTCCTAACACTTGTGTGTTTTGGGAATCAAGACCCATGGAGGCCCTTCAGACATTGCTGGCACATGGTGCTACTCCTTTTCCTACCTCCAGATATGGTTTGGTTGCTACGACCTAACAGTCTTTTTCACAGTTGTTGGAAACAGGACCCCCCCCCCCACCACAGAATTGATGTAAAATTACAAAACACAACTTTCTTGAAAGCCGCCATTGAACAGCCTGCATCTGCAAGAAATATGAGATCTGATTGGCTTGTATGAAGACCAGCCAGCCAATCTCAGGGTATTATTATATTACCGGGCTGACAGATCAGTCCAGCCTATGAGCCAATTTTTTTCTTTTTTCTTTTTCTGTTTGGCAGACAGATCGACCCGCTAATCCCCAAAGGGTTAAGCAGCCTATTTTTACTAATAGTCTGCGTCTGCAGCTTACTGTTTAAAACTACAGTTTCAAATTCATGAGATTGTTACATCTGCAAGCCATTTGGCAGCAGGCTACCTGGCATTGATTTTGACAGTGATATGTGCACCGACCGTTCAAGGGCAGTGACAAACTTTTCAACCTAAAGTGACCAAGTAAAACCACAAACAGCCAAAACATGCTGGAAAACTGGAGTACCTCTCGACGTTATAAGAAAGTTAGAAGGGAAGAAAGGCAAACTGAGAGAAAAGCTGGACAGTTTGACATCATGGCATGGAAGATCATTTGTGACCTGAAAGCACACGAGACAGAAGGTTGTGGATAGACATGACTACTAGCGCCACACAGCATGGACTATAAAAAGAACAATGGTGATAAATTTGGAAAAATTTAATTTAACCGCATTGTTTTGTTTCTTGTGTTTCTTAGCCTATAGCCCCAAGTGGTCTACCAGTGGTTCTATAAGGGCTAACCCTGTCCCTTCGGCAGTGATGACAGCCCCAGGGGTTTCCGGTGGTAACATGGTCTACCCAGGTATGCCAGATGCAGATAATGAGGTCCTTGACTACGGTCTGCAGTCACATGTTCCATTTAACGATACAGGGATGCCTGGAGGTGATGGCGACCATAATAGCATGGGACAGGTATGTGTGCACACACAGTCTATTTCTCTCTATCTCTTTCTCTCTCTCTCTCCCTCCCTTCCTCTTTTGTACCCTTTCTCTCCCATCGCCTCTCATTTTTTTCTTATTCTTTCTCTCTTCTGTTCTCTTTCTTACTCTGTTTTTCTAGTTTACTCTTTCTCTCCTGTTCTTTCTCCGGTTCTCTCTTTCTCTCCCCTCCCTATCTCTCTATCTGTGTGTGTGTGTGTGTGTGACTATTCACACATTGATACATGCCTGATGTGTATGTATATATGTGCATCTACTTGTGTATGAGTGGTCGGAAGGAGTAAATATAACCTTCTCAGTTTGGGACCCTTTGAAAATCATTCATTTAATCTTTTGTTCTCTGCTTTTTGTTTCTGTCTCGTACACTTGCCCTTGTATTTTTAAATGACACCTGGGTGAACATTAATGAGAGAGTCTAAACATGCTGGACTGGATTCTACCGATACCGAAACTGTTGCTTAGAGTGGAACTGTGAGTGGGATAGAGTGGAACTGGCAGTGGGATAGAGTGGAACTGGCTGGGATAGAGTGGAACTGGCAGGGAGATAGAGTGGAACTGTGAGTGGGATAGAGTGGAACTGTGAGTGGGATAGAGTGGAACTGTGAGTGGGATAGAGTGGAACTGTGAACCCTCAGATTCATATAGTGGCACTGCTGTTTGATGATAATGTTATTTTATCATTCAACTTCACTGCACATTAGGCATTCCCATGTGTATGCAGTCCTCTGATGCTGCTGTTCCCATGAGAGGTTGGTTATAATCTCTATCTCAACCGTATCAGCACAGCTGGTTGGTGAACTGATACATGACAAGGCAGATGTGGTCAGAGCCCTTTGGGAACACACAACACATTCAGAAGAGAAACTAGATTATTATGGCCTGGTGAGAATGATGCACCTGGGTTTGACCAGAAGGTTCGGCCGGCACACTACACTCAGGGGGAAGGCAAGACGGACATACAACCAGACTACAACCGGCACCATTAGTAACTCTGCGCTGGTTGCTGAGAATGGGGACGGAGCGCATATGGAAATGCCCCGAGTGCCGTGATGTCAATTCTTGACCTAGAAGGCGGCATTGACGTGCTTCACCATGCTTTACTGCCATGTCGCTCAGTTGATGATATCCGTTCTCTCCGTGCTTCTTCCTGTATGTGATGGTGCATTGCTTGCCAGCTGGTCAGCTCACTGATGACCCTTTACGCCGGCATGACCGGGTGTGTAGATGATGATGATAATGATGTATGCTGTGAGTTGTTTTGATTAAAGAAAGAGTCAATGGTGGTTTAGTTTGATGCATTTAGTGACACAGTAATAATAATCATTTGCAGCCGCCTGCTATGATGGTACCAGCAATGTATAGTAACGGTCCTTATCCGATGGCTCCAATGTTTCCACCCAAGGGCATTGTTGGCGATTCCCATACTCCTCCTCTCTGGAACCCAGCCCTGACACTTGTGCCCTCTGGCCAAGGTGACAATGAGGTAGGAATCATGTTCTTGTTAGCAGTTTTAACTCTGACAGTATGATTGATTGAGTTGATTACATTGGCTTTTTAATTTTTTTGTCAGTTTTTTTTTTTTTTTGGAGGGGAAGAATTGAAGCTGATATGCCCCCTGTTTTGAATAATTACTTTACATACGATTTTCAGTAATCTGTTTGGATGCCATTTTAACCCTTTCTTCCGTGGGAAACTGCTCAGAACTCCTGGTGGAAAACTTGGAAAACTCCTTAAAAACAAATATTTTATGTACGTCACTACACTAACAAAATAAATGTTTAACAATGTATTAATAAAATATTTTTTTTTTAAATTTGATCAAACTGTATGGTAATCATTAAAATGTAACTGGAGCTGGAAAAGCCACAATGTCTGCCATACATGGGTTTGTAATGGATGGCGCATACACAGTATCAGCTTCTCAGAGGGTTGGAGATTTGTGGAGCTGTTCCTTTTGTCCTGCCTACACTGCACAAGTGTAAATCAGGCAGTTTGTGTGTGTGTAGAAATGCCATGCCATTTCCTACAAACAATACAAGAGCTCAAGTATGAAGTGTGCACAATTTTAGTTTCTGTTTTCTGATAGTTCACATTGTGTGGCAATGGTAGTTATGTCTATCCACAGCCTTCTGTCTAGTGTGATTGTGATCATTTCTGACACGGATTTCCCATGCCATGGTGTCAGACACTCCAGCTTCTTCTCTCTCCTTCTGCAGCTTTCCGCCCCCAACTTTCCTCCCTTGGTATACTCTAGTTTTCTCCAGAGAATATGGATGTCTCTTTCTGATGGCAGTAATACAGAATCTGATATCTACTAAAACCAGTGCGACAACTTTCAGTATATTTTTTCCCTGCCGAGGCTGTATTGTGGGGGGGGGGGGGGGGGGGGAGGAGGACAGGAATAGACCCACTGTCTCCCTCACAAGCATGTCATAGGAGCTAACTAATTAGGGGATAACTTCCTGTCTGCCCAAGAGGTGGGCAGCCAACAGTCTATATACAAGTAAGCCAGAACTCTAGGATGTACATGCAGAACCCAAGTTCTGAACAAGACTAAAGTCCAGAAGTGGACAACCAATCAGAACTTTACTGCCAGTGAACGCAAAGAAGAAGAATATATTTGCATGGAGGGAAACTCTCATACTCACTTTAAAACAACTCTTCCAAAACCAGCAGTACTGCCATGCTCCATGGACAGATAAGGAGAGGGTCTTAAACAGTAGGAGTCAGCCAGGGCCGCCTGCTCTCCCTAGAATTGTTGAATATCTTCCTAGAAATGGTACAGTATTACAGGTACCAGAGACCAGTAGTGAGAGGCTGGCCATGACCTACACTCAGAGCTTGGCTAATTGGACAGACCTTAAACATGCAGACATCAGTCCCATAGTATTTGACCACATCACACACCAAATGCCGATTGGTCTATGAAATATAGGTCTTGCCCTGTGTGCCCAGATGGCATGGCAAAGGGTCCTATCTTCAGCTATCTTTTCATCCTGGTTTCTTGATTACTTTTGTATCTGTTTGTTTTTGCTTCTGTGAACTGTGACCTGTTAAATTATATTTACTTTTTTTTCCCCCTCTCCTGACAGAGATGGCAGTCATGGAGTCAGTGACAGACAAGGGAGCTGAAAGCTTGCACCGACTGAGGAGATACAATTATAGTTACAACTAATCATTTCTATAGTCACTGATGATTGTGTCACTGAAGTCATGGAACCCAGAAGGATACAATCATGTGCAACCCTTGCTTTTCTGTGTATGTTTTTCGTGGGTCTTATCTCTTTTGTTTCATACACCCGTCTTTATTTCCCTGGATCTCGAAGAAGAGTTTTTGTGTGACAGAAGTCAGCGCTGAACTTTTGTGTGGCAGAAGTCAGCGTTGAATTTATTAGATGGAAATGGAGCAGGTGGCTGAGGGGTTAGATTGTAGGCCTCATATATTGTGGGATGTGTTTGATTCTTGGTAAGACTTGGGACTTGGGTTAAAAAAAAAGTAAAATAATCGCATGCTGCAGCCTGAAAAGAAAAACAAACTTTTGGCATGTGCCAGGGATGGTTCAGATGCCGTAATGTAAACAAACACACAACCTAAGAGGTAATACAGCGATTTTGTTGTTGCTACGTGTTTGAAGGGGGAGTTACGGCAACTGCTCAGTTTGATCCAGCCACAGGCCAATGTATCCTTTAGTACATGTGGTGAAGCCAGTCAGTCTTTGGTTTAATATATGTTCTTGTCTTGCTATAAAGCTACATAGAGGTTTTGAGTTCAAGTCCCTGTGAAGTGCACCATTTCCAAATTGTTGCCATACTACCGCTCTTTGTGTGCACATGTGAGGTAGACAGTTTAAATGTTTTTTGTTTTTTGTTTTAAAAACCAAATTTAGTTATAGCCCTGTTTGTCGAAACAACCAATGCTTATGTCCAGTCTACCACAATCTGCGATTTTTGACCTTTCCACAAGCGTACAAGTCAGTCAGTCTTTTTTTTTTAAATTGGACATGACCCTAAGGTGGCGTGAAGGTCCCTGCTCTGTACTGGAGGGGTTTTGTGTGTGTTTGTCCAGGCTGTATTTCCCCACCGGCTGGTGGGGGTTATCTAGGGGTGACACTTGAGAAGGGTGGGTGTATGACGTTTGAGAAACTAAACAATAAAAAGCAAATTAATGTTTCTGTGATTCTTTTTGTGGCTTCTTTCCGTAGTAGTATTGAAATGGGAAGATGAATGAGATGGTATTGTGATTGATGCTTGTGTGGAGTTTTGTTCTTAAGATGTGGAGTTTATTTGTGTGGGAAATTGGTGCTTGATGTGTGGAGTTTCAGGATTTATGTGGTGTGTGAATTTTGGTGCCTAAGGTGTGAAGTTCATTGATTTATGTGTGGAGCTTGGTGTATAAAGTTTATTGATTTATGTGTGAGGTTGGTGTGTGAAGTTTAATTTATATGTGGAGATTGGTGCTTGGTGTATAAAGTTTGTTGATTTATGTGTGAGCTTGGTGTGCGGAGTTTGTTAATTTATGTCTATAAATTTGTGCTCGGTGTCTGAAACTTGTTAGTTTGTATGTGAAGATTGGCGTTTGATCTTTAGAACTGAGAGATTTGTATATATAATATACAGATATATATTATATACAGATTGGTACTTGCTATGTGGAATTGAGAAATTTCTACATGTAGAGATTGGTATTTTGTGTGAAGACTAGTATGTGATGTGACTTTACCTTTCATGGAAGAAATGAGATTTCTGACTAGAAGTGAGATGATGTGATAATTTGTTCTTTGTATAGCCTATGATGTTGACTATCTTATCTGTCTCCTGCCATCAGTCCCGTGCCTTGACAGTTTGTCCACACCACGGTGCCTAGCGAAGACAACAAATCAAAAAGTCTGCACACTTAGAATGAATTTCTACAAAAAGAGGACGAGGTGGACCAAGAACAAGATGGAAAAATAAGATCAGAAAAACTACAACAGCACAGGCGGCCAGAAAAGTTAAAAGCAAAACCTTCAATAGGACCTAAGGTATAGCACCTGCAAGCAGGTTAAAGCGAACATTTTGAGATCATGCAGCTTTTCCTACTTATGGGTGTTAGTCATGGACTCTCACCCAGTCTTTGAAGAAGATAATAGGAACTTTTGAACTGAAATGCTACAGAAACATTCTTTAAATACTAAGGATCAAGATGAAGAACAATATTGACATCCTGTATGACGTGAACATCAAGGAGAACTGGCTCATAAACAGCATCTTCTCTTAACAGTTAGGCTATTTTGGACATGCCAAGTGCCATGGTGGCCTGGAGAAAGAAATGGTGATGGAGGCTGCAGCTTCCAGAAAAAGAGGCAGAGGTGGATACAGGACACTGAAGATTCACTGGATATGAAAGCATACAGAGCAGAACAGTTGGCTAGATAGAGACTTTCAAGTGTGCTGTGGAGTGAGCGACCTTCTGTAAAGAATCTGCCGATGGATTGACTGACTGTGATAGAACATTTGTGGTGCGTTTTGGCACATATTTTTGTTTTCTGGGTGGAGGAAACTGATAAAAATGAAATATAATCTGGCATTATGGCAGGGATGACCATCTATATGAAATATTGTAAAAGTAAAGGAACCTTTTCCATGCCCTGAGGTGTATGGGGCATATAGAGCTAGACCTTTATCATATAAGCACTCAGTGGATTTTGTCAAACATCACTCTGATTGCCTTTACTTCCCATGAGTTTACCTCTTACCCATTTAAGGCTGGGTCGACCCGGGACTCAGGGTCATTTTTGACCCCCAAAATAAGTCCAGCCTCATCAGGATCTGAACCCACAGCCTTTGGGTTCATTCATTCATCGCGTGTATATCCATACACAATGGCTGCCTAGGATAGTATTGGCAGTACACGAAATAGAAAGATGACAGGGGAACGTGGAGAAGAAAATACTTGTGTGTGGATCAGACCCATGGTTGGTAGTTGCGTATCCTTTACAGGACGTTGCAGAACCAACCCCAGCAGCCACTGTCTGTTGTGTGGTTTCTCTAGGAAAATTTAGGTCTAGTAGTTTGCCATTGCTTTCTGGACATGCGGCACCCCAATACCACTGTCGAAACCAACACAAATCGCATGGCCTGCAGCTGGGATCGAACCCGGCATTAGAAGCGTTCGCATCGACTTAGCCACAGAGCCACAGAGCCGACATCAAACCCATAGACTAATTAAAACAATTAATAAACTGAACATTTATTAAGTGATAGCTAGATGGGAAAGCACTAGAATAGTAAGTATAATAGTAAAGAGAAAGATTAGAAAATAAAACAAATCTTGCTGTACTGCAAGAAATGTGAACTCTAAAGGATGATCCGGTGCAATAGGCAAATGACAGTAGAAAACATGCTAGGAGGAGATGACTACAGAACTACAGGGTAGGGTGAAACCGTCCTTCACAAGAACAGGGATTGGCAAATGAGATGTCAGTATACATTCGAATCTGGATAAGTAGAAGTCGCAGGGACCTAAGAAAATGCTTCCACTTAACAGGATTTCTACTTATCCAGAAAACACACACAAGAGAGAAAATTGCAGGGACTAAACTGGTCATGTCTTTAAATATCAGAGATGATGTACTACTCAGTATAATTCCTATAGCTGTTTGAAAGAACACATAAAATATGTTGAACTTGACAATCTATGATCCTACAACCTTTCACAGTTAATACAAAGCTCCAATTTTTTCAGTAACCAAACATAAATTGATTTGCATAAATATCAATTCATCATCAGTCAGCAAGTCCTTTACAGAAAGAACATCGCTCTCTTCACGACACGCCTGAAAGTATCCCTTTCCCTACCCAGCTTTCCAACCCCATGTGCTTTCAGTGTCAGTGCTTCTTTAGTGTCCTGTATCCTGCTTTCAGTGCCAATGCTTTTTCCATGTCCTGTATCCATCTTTGCGGTGGTCGACCCCTGCCTCGCCTTCCACCAACTGCACCTTCTATCACCGTCTTTTCCAAGCCGTAATGATGCTGTTTATGAGCCAGTTCTCCCTGGTGTTCAGCTCATTTAGAATGTTGTTTTTCCTCTCCTTGATCCATGGTATTTTAAGAATTTTTTTTAAACATTTCAATTCAAAAGCTCCAGTCTTTTGCCTTAGTGACTGAGTGAGAGTCCAAGACTCGCAACTGTAAGTTACCACAGGAAAAATGCATGATCTCAAGATTTTTAGTTTAACCAATTTACTAGCGCTTTGCCATAGGTTCTTCATGCTGTTCTTTCAGTGTTTGGATTCTCTGTTCCAATGCACTGACCATTTGATCCCATATGCCTTTATCACACCCGCTTTATCATAAAGTAGCTTACCACCCGGAGAGGTGTCAGCAGATAATCTACAGCCTGCTCCTTACCTGGCATACCTAAATGCCATGGACAGATAATACACGATATGATCCTGATGTGGATAATATCAAGTGATGCAAGCCACTCAGCACGCGGGACGCCCATTTCAGTTTGTGGGAGTCTCCAGTCACAATATATCAGGCTGTGCTTTTCTCAAGCCATCGGGAAGCTGCCGTTACCGCCTCCACCTCTATTCTCCTACTGGATGTAGTGACGTTATACTTCTACTGTTTCTTCTTTTTGCTTCTTCCTTTTCTTCTTCCTTTTCCTTTTCTTCATCTACCTCTTCTTCTTTTTTTCCTCTTCTTCTTCCTCTTATTCTTTTTTGTGTTTTCTTCTGTCTTCTCCTCCTCTTTTTATTCTTTCATTCTCTTGAAATAGATTATCTATATCTGCAATTCTGTCCCTAGTATGAACTTCGCCGTCTGTTATAATTACAATGGACCTGTAAAGTTTGTCTTGTTCCTCATGGCCAAAAGTTTTGCTCTGTTTTCAGTGTCCATGCACTTATGTAATAAAACCCCACCAACTCTTATTTTTCACTACAGACCTACCTGTATATATTATGATGTGATTTTCCGTTAATCTGCTTATGCATCGCTGACTGAAACAGAAGCAAACTATGTATCCTAGCTGACATACCCCACACGGTCTGAATAAGTCCATACTTACCTCCATAGGACACCTGGCTGTTGTAGCCATCTGTTCCGTGTGCTTTAAGTATACAATTTGTGGAGCTTGAACTAGGTATCTAAGATCTGCCGTCTAGACTGATTTTTTGGGTGTAATTTTAAAGCAGCAGCACAGAGAGGACAAGCTGATAGATCGATCAATTTCCCCATTACAAAATTAGGTGGGGGAGGGGGTGCATCAAGGTGCGTAGGTCTCTAGGTTCCGGCACATACCTACTTTCAATAACATTATTATAATTATTTGTCATTTAACTTATTATTGTAAAAAGCAAAGGACACCTTTCAGGAGTATATAGGGATATGCCTATATTTTATAGACCAAACAGCGCCTTTACTTCCCAGGACTGCACCTGGTAGCCACTCAAGGCTAGGTCGACCTGGCAGCTGAGGTCAAAGCGTTGGGAGGGAAAGAGATGCTGCTAATCTTACGTTGTACAAGTCGATCTCCATTTCTATAAGGCGGTTTTTGGTGCCGTTGTTTTATATTTTGCGTGGTTTTGACTTTTCTGGACCGCGGGTGTACCAAAGTTGAAGAACATCATCATCATGTAGCAGGTCCTTTGCAGAACGTCGGTCTCATCACAGTCTGCTTGCTTGCAAGAAACTCGGTCTCTCGCCAGTTCTCCCGCCTCACGTACTTTCATACTCAAGGAGTCACTTATATCCTGTGCATATCTTCGTGTCGGTCGGCCCCTGCCCCTCCTTCCTGGTACCATGCTTTCTGCAATAATTGTTTCCAATCAGTCGTTGCGCTGGATATGACCAAAACATTTCAGCTTCCGAGAAAGGACGCTTTCTTGTTGTTGCTAGGTGAAGAACACTGTGTAATTCCATGTTTTGTAAAAGTATGGCATCAGGAAATGACTAAGGAAAATCAACGAAACAAAATTACATCTCCGAGTAATCATTTTCTGACAGTATTTTTGTGTCTTTATCGTAATATTATTATTAATAAATAAACAAAGCTATTGTAATAATTTTGCCGAAGTCAGTGTTTTAGTTATTTCCGAGAATCAACCTGTCAGAAATTTACAGACTTTATGATTAACTGGATTATTAAATAAATTAAATAATTTTTTTTTTTATCATTAATCGTTTTCCTGCTGCTGTGTTGTCCCACTCTTCAAAAGTTTAGAACTTAGACGATCTTGTTTTATTTCCAGAAGGAAAATCTGCAACCTTAAACTGACTTCTGTCTTCTTTAGATCTGCACAGTGACGGTGTACGAAGACAAACATATTAGAATTTGTTGTGTGAGCTGTTGAAAGTTCCCCGAAATTCCAAATTTAAGTTGGGTCACTTCTGTAAGAAAGAGAAGGAGTGCTATTTTCCGGGATGGAAGATTCTCGCAGACACAAGCAAATGATAATAAAACTCGGACGTTTGATCAAAACTGATGAACTAAACACACTGAAGTTTCTTTGTAAAGATATTATTCCAGCCAAACTTCGCGAGAAGATCACGACAACTGAAGCGTTGTTCGAGGCATTAGAAGAAAGAAGGAAAGTCTTGCCTGGAGACCAGACTTTCCTCAGGGAACTGCTCCAAGATGGCTTGCAAGGACGGGTTGATGTTCTCGAGGTGGTAGAGGAGTATGAGCGTGGAGGTCTATGTTCCCCAGATGTGGACTCAGTCAGATTTTCTGGACTACAGATAGAGGGTACAGATTTCTGATATTTTTTTCTTTAAGAAGGTCAAAATAAGGGTTGGGGGGTAAAGATATTTTTATCTTCTTCAAGTAGGTAGAAGTGGGGAGAGGTCTACAGATAGAGGGTAAAAATATTTTTTTTTCTTTACATAGGTGGAAATGGGTGGGGAAAAATGGGAGGGGGGGGGGGGGGCTTTAGTGGTATTAGAAGTAGCAGTGGTGGTGTTGGACATTAGTAGTAGAAGTTGTGGTAATGGTAGTTAGTAGCAGAGGCAGTAGTGATTGTTGTAGCAGCAGCAGCATCAGTAGTAGCAGTAATTGAACAGCTTCAGTACTATCATCATCAATCTCCAGGTCCCCTACAGAACGTTAATCTGGTCACAGCATGCCTAAAACTCTCTTAACAAATTCTGCAGCCCTTTCTGCCTTCACAACCAATGCATCTTCATTGCCTTATCCACCTTCACAGATGTTGAACTCAGCCTCAGTTTCTGGAAACTATGCCTTCCATCACCTAGTCACTACCAGCCAGAGATTATTTAACTCATTCTCTGCCAGAAAGATTTTAATTTAACTAATAAATATTTGTCTCAGAATATTTTTCTTCTCCAACATTTCAAGTCCATGAGATTAAGTGCTGCAAAAATTACCTGCCGCCATGCATCTTTGTGATTGGCCATCTCTTTCTGTTTGATGATTCCAAGTATTGTAAGGTCTGCATGTACATTCATCCAAAGTCATTGATTGATTTCTTTTGAAATATAGGCTTAGATATCTTTTATGATGCAAATGAGGTTTTACAAAGGTTGGGGTGGTGGTATTTGAATTATAGGCTTAGATATCTTTTCTGATGCAGTTGAGGTTTTACAAAGGTTGGGGTGGTGGTATTTGAAATATAGGCTTAGATATCTTTTATGATGCAATTGAGGTTTTACAAAGGTTGGGGTGGTGGTCCCACGTTTCAGCCCCAGCCTTGATGATCAGGCTGCCCCTCTTTGTCTCTTCTGCACCCATTGACCTGTCTGTCCAGCCTAGAAGGACCTTGCTGGTAGCTATGCAAACTCTGGCATAGTTTTCAGAAGAAGGTTGAAAAGGTCAAGCTGTCCTACTGCAACAGGGTGGAGAATGGGTTTTAACAATAACACTGAGAGACAGAGCATTAAAATAATTTTTGGGGAAGAGTGGGTTAATGCAACAACTGCATGGGGCATGAGGAGTTAAGAAAAGGGTTAAATGTAAACTGAACAAAAGAAACACATGCGGAATTGCTTGGTTCTAAATGAATTAATCAGTGATATCCTGTTCAATCCTCTTGTGTTATAACTGGGATATATATAGTTTATATCTTTTCTGATGTTGGTTTTTTATGTTTATCTCATACTTGAGTTTTGAGAAGCAGCATTCAGGGCATTCTCATAAACGCTCCATCCTCATCTTCAGCAGCCAGTGAAGAGTTGCAACTATGATGGTACCAATAGCAGGCTGAATCTATTTCCATCTTGCTATTCCTTTGAGTGTCCTGTGTCGGCCAGATCTTCTGGTCATTCCCTGCACCATTATCTTCAGGCTTTGATAACCCAGTTGTGCCTCAGCATTGTTCACTCACTTTTAGTCAAGGTAACCTGATAACCTCTAGCTTTTCATTCATCATTTCACCACCAAATGGTGCAGAACCAGTCAGTCTCTCTGCCTGTTCATTTCCCAACACACCTGCATTCCACGGAGAAAATATCAGAATGACGTCAACTACCCTGGACTTCGGAAGCGATGCGTGCTACTCTGCTCAGAGCCATACCAGCCTCCACCTTTCTCAGCATGCAATGTGAGTCAGTTACAATCACAACATGTGTGTGCAGCTAATTTTCAAGCCAATGAAAGGCCACAGTGACTGCCTCTGCCTCCATTCTCAAACTAGATGTTGTGATATCAAATGTCAGTCTTTGTTGGGCTAGGGATCATCCCTTCACATTTGCAATGAACCCCCATGCACTTCTGCCCCCACACTACAGAGCCACCACTGTAGATAATCACATCAGCTGGGCGGGCATTGTCCGGAATCAGTTGTTGAGCTTCTGATTCTGCAGCACACAAAACGGGCATATAACCAGATTGTGACCGATACTATCAGTATTGGAACTCAGCGCTGGCGGCTGAAGATAAGGATGGAGCACACATGGGAATGCCCCGAGTGCTGTGATGTCAATTCTTGACTCAACTGATTCTGCAGCACCTGCTGGCCAGTCCCCGCACATCTGACCCAGTGTGATTAGAATGCAACAGCCTGATTGCTGCTCCACCACTCTGCCCCACTCATCACCTCACCAAATATTTTCAAGCATGCACACAGATCTAACTGTGTCTTTTGACTGCACCATATAAGTTTAGAAGTTAGTTGCATATCCTTTACATAACATTGCAGAACCAACCCTAGCATATTTTGGCTGTTGTAGGTTTTCTAGGCAAATTTTATGTTAAGTAGTTTGCCATTGCTTCTATATAAGGCCTTTTTTTTAAGTTTGTGACCCTTAGCTCTATCTAGAGCAGTGATCTCCAACCTAGGAAAAGGGTGCCGGGTAAGGGCCACTAGGAGGTTTTAAGGGGGGTGGGGGCAAGCAATTTTGAAAGTGAGTGTACATGTTTGCAAGCAGAATATGCTCCGAAACAAACATATTCTTCTGTGTTTTCAGATTTCACCCAGGAGGTACAGTTTTTAAAAGACAATATTGGTCGTGAATACAAGTCTTTTCTTCGACGTCTGGGTGTGAAAGAATGCCACATTGACCAGAAAGAAATTGAATATCCCAGGAACATTCAGGAAATTATTCATCAGTGTATACGTCAGTGGATTCACGATCACAGAGACTGGCAGCGGGACCAGGTACTTGAAGCTGTCGTAAAAGTTTTAAGAAAGGAGAGACGGAATGATTTAGCTGCGACATTTGAAGCAAGAGAATTTTAATGAATATTATTAGCTATTATGCTTTCATGGCCCCCTGACAATAGCCAGTGGCAGCCAACGTGCACTGGATCGCAAATTATTCCTCCCCCCGATGCTGAACGGCAGAAGTGGTTTTGATGATGATGATGATTAAATAGCTATATTTATGATTTTTATATTTACATGGTCCTTCACACTGTCAATAAGGAATAATGCTGGTGCCTAGAAACTGAAAGCTGCCTAAATTAGCTGCTGGTTTTCCTTCATCTGGGATCTGCTTGAGAGCGAATCTTTCTCATCATCTTCAGTTTTCACTTTAGTCTTTAGTCTTGGAGAGGAACAGCTTGCGACCGAGTCCTTGATGGGTAATGCTGACTGTTGTCATACCATGTGGGTGTATAATGTCTTTAATGTCATCAGTCCGTCTTTAAACATGGTCAGTGAGTAGGGCACTAGAACAGAAAATAACTACCTCTAAAATGTGCTCTCTCTCTCTCTCTCTCTCTCTCTCTCTCTCTCTCTCTCTCTCTCTCTCTCTCTCTCTCTCTCTCTCTCTCTCTCTCTTGTTGTACCCCACCAGGACATCACACAAAGGGATAAACACCCGGTGACACAAAGTGCCACCATGCGGATGAGGTCCCAGAAACCCCTTTCAGCTGTTTGGCTACGTTTATGGCCCAGCGATATTCAGGGCCCCCACAAAAGCCAGGGTGGGGCTTCAAATAACAAAAAAATTGCATCCCACATGGGGACGACTATAACAATAAAACTGGGCTGTCTCCATAAGATCCCTAACAACACAAGGGACAGAGTTATGAATACCAGCATTACAAAGTTGGAATTAGACCATTTAACAGAGAATTAATGAAATGGTTCAAAAATCTAGTGAGGATGCAGCCAGACTAAGCTGCATTTGAGATTATTTTTTTTTTGGCAGCAAAACATCTGAGAGGAAGGACAGGGAAAGACAGAGAAACACGTTTTATGAATGATGTCGGCAAAACCTGCTGAAACCTTCAAAAAGATGAACAGTTCCATCACACAAGCCACCAGGGAAGCACAAGATAATACAGAAAACCACACAACACTGGGCTACAATCTATGATCAGTGAGACGACAAAAGAAGAAGAAGAATCAATTTTTCTTGAGCACCCTCTTGCTGTCAAATAAGACGTAGCTCCTGAATTGGAAATTCTTGTGGCTACATTCTGACGCAGTGTCCAAACCGTTTGATTTTCTGCTTCTGAATGAACTTGATTTAATGTCACAAATATTAAAACCATAAAATAAATAACAACATATAAAAATTGTCAGAAGTATAAGCAATTATCTGTATACGTGAGATTCAGTTCTTAAAGATGCACATACTATTTCATTGGTGGTTATAATTATCAAGGGAGTGCGTCATTTTATCATTTGTGGTATAATATTATAGATAATTTTATATTGTCTTGTGTAACCAATAAAACTCTGGGAGACTTTAATAATTTTTTTTTAAATGTTTTTTAATTACTTTAATTGTATATATTTTTAAGAAAGTTTATTGTATAAAAATATTTTTAATGTTATTTTACATTTTAATCTAGTTTCCTTGATACTCTATCTATCTATCTATCTACTTTTACCCCACCAGGACATCACACAAGCGATAAACACCCGATGACACATAGTGCCACCATGCGGATGAGGATCACCGTGGAGAGGTCCCAGAAACCGCGTTCAGCCATCAGGCCCTATTTATGACCGGGCTATATTGCAGCCCCTGGCAAGAGCCAGAGTAGGGCTTCAAATAACGAAAATTTGCATCCCATAAGGAGATGGTGCAATATATTTTCCTTGACACATTGATGGTACTATTTGATAGAGACCAGAATTAAGCCCCACTAATGTGTTACTGAAGCGAAGAATAGAAATACAAGGTCCGACAATTAGAGGAGACAAATTCCATAACAATTAAAATAACCCCCCATGTGGGTTCCAGGGCCCCATTGTGGGGAAAACAAGAATAGACCCACTGCCTCCCCAAAAGCATGTCGTAAGAATCGACTAAGTGGGGAGCTTCCTTTGAAGTCGGAGTGCATCTGCCGGAGAGGCAAGGAACCAACAGTCTGTATTCAAGAGAATGAGATCTGTAAAACTGATGCACATGCAACACTCAGGTTCTGGAGCAGTTCAGTAGTGGACGAGCAACCAGAACTTTCCGCCAGAGTGTACAGCTGGTGAACGCGAAGAAGAAGAAGAAAATAATCAACAGCTGAAGATATAACCTGTATCTGATTCAAAGTAAGCTCCTTGTACATTGATACAGCAAGTCGCATGATCTAACAAACACAACGACCGCTGCTGTTCTTCTGTTGTTATGGCCATTAAAGTTGATGTTATGGCCCTTTTTTCTTCTTCTACCTTTCTATCCCCCAATGGAGCATAGGCCCTCAACCAACTCACGCCAAGTCATTCTATCCTTCGCCATTGCATGGAGCTCTTCCCATGTCCTACCCATCTTTCTAACTTCATTCTCCAGCTCTCTTCTCCATGTGTTTTTTGGCCTTTCTTTTATCCTATGCCCCTGTGGGTTCCAATGCAAAGACATTCTAGGGTACTTAATTTATAACTTACCCCTGACGTCATGGCAATGTCACGGGAGACATTCCCAATAAATTCTAGGGTGTTCAGGTTGTAGTTTCTCGCGATTTATCTACAGCCAAGGTTAGGGTTAGCATTAGAAGACACTAGATGAACACTCAAAAAAAGCACCACACAACAGCACACTTCCACCCCTTCAAATAATGGACTGTCAGGTCAGCTGTGGATTTCCCGCGGGGATTTTGTGTTTGGGGTACCTTATAAATTAAGAACCCATTCTAGTTATGCTGTTCTCCTGTTTTTTCAGTTTGGATGTCATCAATATTGTTAAAGAAGCGTCCTTTCAATCGTAATTTTAATTTTTGGTAATAGAAAATAATCAAAGGGAGACAAGTCTTGGGAATAGGGTGAAAGGCTGAGAACACACACTTGTTTTTTGGGAGAAATATTCTTGTTTCGATGATGTCTCTTGGGTACTCAACTCTCTGATGTTTTTGGTATTCAGACAATGAATGTGGTAAAAACTGGGAAGCAACTTTTTTTCTTGTAAAAATCTTTGCATTAAAATGTTATGAAAGGTCTCTCTATTAACACCAGATTCATATGCCATCATCCTAACAGTAAAACAATGATCTTTTTGGATCCGTTCTCTGACTTTTGCAATGAGTTTATCAATGCGAATAGAAATTTGGCATCCAGGTCTAAGTGTGCATTAATAATCATTTCCAAACCATTTTGAATCACGAATACCACCTGAAAATTTGTGCATCATTTCAACTGTTTCAATGGCGCTTTTTTCTGTGTTTTAAAAGAATTTAATGTTAGCTTTTTGCTCCATGCTAATTAAGTAACAATGCACCTGTGACCAGGTTAACAAAATAGCAGCTTGTTTGTTGTCTTCTTATCGAGGGGATATGAAAAGTTGCCCGTTCATAGATGAATTTTGCCTCTTTAGATTCCATGCTTTGCTTCATAGACGGCATTTATGTCTTGGCCTTAATAAAATCAGTCTCATTATTTAATTGTTGGACAATGCACGTCGTAACTGTCTAGTAAAGATGGTTGCTTAAATTAACTACATTCTTCTTCTTCTTCAGCATTCCGAGCCCTTGAGGTTCATTGCTGCAGATATCATTAGCCTCCAATCATCTCTCTGGTTGGCCTTCTCTTTCCAGTTGGTGACACTAATTGTTTGCAGGTCTGTCTGTATATTATTTCTACATCGTCTTCTTGGTCTGCCTCGTGGTCTACGACCATTCGTCTTCCTCGTGTATACAGTTTTTACTTTTGTGTCATCTGACATTCTTTTAATATGCCCCAACCTTTTCAGTCTATTAGCTCACACGATGCCAGTTATCAGTGGTGATTTAAACAGATTATGAATTTCATTGTTGCTTCTCACTCTCCGTTTACTGCTGTTTGCATCTTTGATGGGTCCAAAGATTCATCGTAAGACTCTGTTTTCGAAAACCTGTAATAAAGGCTTCATCTCTTTTAGTTGTGCTCCAGGTTTCAGAGCCATATAAAACGACTGGTCTTATCAATGTTTGATATATTTTGATCTTGGTGTTGCAAAACAGACATTACCTACATTACTGTGAGCAAATCTGCATAGGGCTTAGTTCGACTACTTGAAGGCCTTTGATCCACTTAGTTGAATGGCAGGATAATAAAAAGAAGAATAACCTACTCCAGGCAAGAAATTAGCTTTACAGGCATGCTGGTGGCCAGATTTTAGCACATGGACCTGTTTTGTCTGTTATTGGAAGTATTATTATAATTCATTTTAGTGTAATCTATTCATCATCATCAAGTATTTTAGTCCCTGGGCTGGTCATAGTTTCTTGATCATTCCGTTAGCTCTTCACTGCTTTTGTAGATGGGGATGGAGGACTTATGGGAGTGTCCTGAGTGCTGTTATGTCAGTTCTTAACTCAACATTCCATTGTCCTTTCAGTTTGCAAGCAATGCACAGTCTGTGAGTGACACCATCCCTGGATTTTCCTCCACAAAATAATGTGTTCTTTTAAGTTTAACATTTGGTCAGACATTTGGTTTCTGCAATGCCATTTCTTGTGGCACTGATAGTCATGTGTATCCGCAACCTTCTATCTCGTGTACTTTCAATAAACTCTGACACAGATGATCCTCCATGCCATGATGTCAAACTGTCCAGCATCTTCTCTCTCGGTCTCCCTCTGCTTCTCGCCACCCCCAACTTTTCAACTGTCACGATGTACTCCAGCTTTCTCTTTTTAATAACATGACCAAAGAATGTAGATTGTCTTCTTCTTATGTGGGTTATCAGTTCAGATTGTGAATCAGTTTCTTTCGAGACATATTCACTACTCTTTTTAGCTGTCCAGTGTATTATCATTCGTCTATAAAACTGCTTTTCTGCCATTTCCAAATAATTTTACACTAATCGACCAACTGTC